TCCAAAAATAATATTATATACAGAGTGTTCCATTTGAAAAATCAAAGTTGCTACTGCTTTCTAATAGAAGCGGCAACACCGCATTGTCGAAAATATTTTAGTTGACTAGAGAATGTCCGAATATGCCCTCCATTAAATTTTCAAAGTGATCCGTTGTCTGGTTCACCAGAAACGTCTAATGTGCCATCCACCGTGAATCAGCCTGTATATAAGTTTGACAACCCCAGTAATTTCTATAATCTCCAGAGTTGGATTTTCATAGTTGGCATCCCTTTTCATTTAATTACCTCCCCATCCAGCTAACCTTCAATCATTTCATTAAAGTGGTCATTAATTTCCACAAAATAAGCAATAAGCGAGTTAATGGTGAATAAAAAAAAATATTATTATTATACAAAAAAGTCATCAAGAATGCTTCTACGAGTTTTTCAACGATAGTACTACTGGAAGATATTTTTTCTGTGCATCGTTATCCTCAAGAAATTGTTTCCAATAATGCAATGTCAGTGTACCGCAATGAATATGGTATATTTCAAAAGTTTATTGCTCCTGGACATCCTGCTCATATTGGACTTGCTGAATGTAAAGTGCAAACATTGAAGCACTGACTGATAGCCGCAGTAGGACCAGAAAATCATGAAAGAAAAAGTTCTGGAATTTCTGTTTTGTTACGGAGCAACTCCATTTACCTCTGGCCATTCACTAACAGAATTATTATCTCAACCGAAAGCTAATAATTCGCCTGTATGCAATTTTTCCTTACAGAGAGACAAGTGAGGAAGAGAGTTCATACTCAATTTTGGAGAAATAAAAAAGAAACTTGATAATCGGCATTACATTGTAAATTTGGAATGTGGTAGAACCGTGAAAAGGCACATAAATCAATCAATTTAAAGGGCCAACGAAGAATGTGTCCTACTCAATTTTCCAATATTCCACGAATTCCATTGAAACCTGGAAATGAGAATATAGATCATTAACATCCAACCGATTTTTCTGCTACACCTTTTTTTTGCTTCTGGCGAACCCACTACTGTTTAAAAAAATCTGTTTTAAAATCTGTTTTTCCGTTAATCAGCTGTCGCCCCCATACGAACGACAACTCTCAGAAGTTGAGAAACTTGTGCGAGCTAAGGACTAACGAGGTCTTACCTTTTAACGTGTGATTCCTTACACGTTAAATTCCTACTAGACCCAAACAGTCTACAGCTTCTGTTTTCTCGGGTGAAATTATTGCTACATCTAGACAATCTGAAAAAGGAAGGCGAAAGCTTGCATGGACTCGAGATTATCACATGTGAAGTTTTCGTTAAATATTTTCTGATTTTTTCACATGAGTTATCGTCAGAGATATTTGCTCTTATAATTTCAGCTATGTTGTACCTTTGGGAAAGTCTGTTATATCTCTCCTATACTATAATTATTCTCTGTCTATAAAGTAACATGGATGTCAAAGATAGAAAAAGTAATAAAAACCATCTATTTATAGGATGTGTTAATGTCGGAATCATGTCCAATTATTCAAAATCTATTCGTTGTAGTAAATTCAATCGTTTATCAAGTTTTCTCATTACCTACATTTATTTAAAAGACATTGTTGAATAGTTTGATGTACTAGTCTAACTGATGAAGCAGCTCTGTAGCAAAACTCATCCTAAATAAAATATATTGAGAAAATTCTATAATCATTAACGTGGATAGATTATTTGAATAAACTCTTTTATACAGTGGATAAATTCCTGCATTAACAGACTTTTTCGACCATCATGATCTTTTTTTTATGTCAAATTTATATTTAATTCCTACATTCGACTTGTTTTATAAAATACTAGTACTATGTTGCTGTATCGCTGCTGTTCCAATGTTTTACCAGAATCAGAATCAACGAACTTAGGCGTGCACAGCGTTATAGAACAGTGCTTTCAAAAAATTGTTCTACAGCGCCATCTAGTGGCGAGTTACAGAAAAATTAATAGCCTAAAAACCTCTATGAAAAATTACTTATACATATCAAGTTTCATCACAATCGGTTGAGTGATGTAGAAGTTTATCACTTACCAACCAACCAACAAACATCCATTTTTATATATTAGACTAGTACTATGTTGCTGTATCGCTGCTGTTCCAATGTTTTGACAGAATCAGAATCAACGAACTTAGGCGTGTGCAGCGTTATAGAACAGTGCTTTCAAAAAAATTGTTCTGCAGTGGCGATGTAGAAGTTTATCACTTACCAACCAACCAACAAACATCCATTTTTATATATTAGATTGACATTTGAAACCAAATAAAATATAATATTCCTCATCAATTTGGTTATGATTTTATCAGTAGTGAAATTCCATTACCTAATCGACTTTGTTGAAGTGATACTTTGGTGGCTTTGGTTGAACATATTTTTTTCTTTAGGGTTATTCCTACGACCCTTACAACCCTTACTACCAGCAATACCAATATTACGAGAATCTCAGGAGAACCAACCCTCAAGCATACACGGAGTGGTACAGAAAGTACTACCAACAAGCTACAGGTCATGGTTCTAGTTACGGCGGCGAAGATAGAGCTTCAGTACATTCAGGGAGAAGTTCAGCTAATGATGAACTTGCCAAGGATAGGTGAGAATGAAAATAATCCAAAGTTATTTTCACTTATGTTTGAGTGCAGTGCTTTTTGTTTGAGTTCTATTGAAATTCATAGGTATTTTTTCTGAATTTGATATTCCCAAGTAGGCACTTATATCCAGATGATTAGAAACATTGATGTTCAAATCAATACTTTTTCTTTGGCATATTTTCTCAAAAAATTAATGGGATATGCAGAACTGGGTGACGGGCATATCAAACACGCACCATCGCAATATCAATTGTTTTCATAATTGCTAAACACTCCTCCACTACTAACATACACCAACAGCTGTCGACACCCTTCCTGTGGGTCTTTTACTTCAGATAAACTGTAACTTCATACATTTTTCTGAAGTAATTGGTCTGCTTACATGAGCGATACACTTGCTGCAAAGCATTTTTTATCATAGATGTGCTTTATTCCATTGTTTAGGTATACGCGGCAGAGTTTTTACAGCCAAGTGAGTCTGCCTCACCACGGAAGCTACTATGGAGATTCGCATGCGCATAGCGTGTCTGGTCATTATGGCCATGACATTTCTAGGTGAGCCCCTGACTTTCAAAATAAAAAATTAATTTTCCATGCGGTAATTTGTAATTCTCTTGGTAATTTCTTATTTATATTTCCCTGGTGGTAGGTATACATTTGAGTTAGATTGATTGGTTTATAAAATGATCATACAAATACAGTTGTTTTAACTGTAAATGGGGCTTTAACTAGTTGTTATCATTTCTTCTCTAATGAAACGGAACCAGATAGTAGGACAGTCAATATGGTTACATCTGTTGTTTATTACTTGGCAACATGAAAATTTGGAAACGTTCAGTCAGAAAATCCCTGGAAAAAATATCCGGCTAAGTTATATACCAGTTAAAATATCCTCTGACAAAAATATCTCGTTAAAAAAACTTCACAATACCAAAATATTCCACAATAAAAACATTATGTGGCATTATTACATGACAAAAGTATTCTAAGGATCCAGTAAGGCCCAGAAGCAAATCAAAGACGAAAGTTGGTTAAGGTTAGTTTGAATTATGTTAGTTTAGATTAGACTCATATGAAATTTCGTCACTGAACAAAATTGCATGTTATAATTATTAAATTGTTAATTAATTAAAATGTAGATAATGATATTTGAATATTTGGAAATATATTGATGATTTCTTTGTGTCATGTGCTGTTTGTGTATGTCCTTGTACAGGATATTTTTGTCAGAGGATTTTTTTTTAGGAAAGTTTGTCCAAAAATTTTCTGGCCGGGGTTCATTGGGAACATTAGATCAAAGTTTATTGCATAACATATTGAAAAGTTTTCATAAAAATAATTGTGGAAATTAAAAAAAAGATCTTGGAGTTTTTATTGGTTTTGGATTTTCAGCACAGAATTCATGAATTTGTTGAAAACATTTTTCACTTCTCAAAACTAGACACATTTCCCTACAATAGCTTTTGATTTTTTACATTTTGTCATTTGCAGGCAATATGCAGTTGAATAGGTCCACTGTTTTTCCACCTGTCCCAAATTATGTAGTAATTCTATGTATTTTAACTTACCTGATGCCAATAAGTCATTTATTTTCCTAGAAATAAATATAAAGTATTTTTAAATATAATATTTTGAATAAATTCTTCATTTATAGTTGTTTAAAAATTTTGGAATTGATAATCTCATAATAGTGCTTGTCCAAAATTTGAGAGAAACAGATTTTCAAAATAATGCATTTCATTAATTAGTATCAACAATGAAAAAAAAAGTATCAACATTTTAGGGAAGGAAGGTGAAAACACCTTCCGTGAAAAAAATTAAAATTATTATTGAGGTGTAGAAAAGCAAATTTTTCAGTTTACACCAATAAGTTATTACGTACATTCAAGGTATTTTTCACAAAGAAATATTTTCTTATTATCAGTAATGTGTCCCGTTTGATGATTTTGCTTATCAAAATATAAGGCTATGAAATTGTACAGACACTTAACGATTTGGAGGCAAAAAATCTGACTTCGGATCACTTTCTTCTCAAAATTCCTCAACCGATGTCAAAGGTGTTTATGAAAAATACTTCGAATGTATGCGATAACTTATCGGGGGAAACTATAAAGTTTGTCTATAAAGTTATCCCTAACAATTTTAATTTTTTTCAAGATTGCAGAAGGTGAAAATACCCAAAAGGTCAACTTTCACCATAAAAACTTTTGTTTAGCATTAAAGAAATGATATTGTTCAACAAATAATTGGTCAGAAATGTTACAAGACTATTACTAAATTTAAAGTTGTCAGATCTACAATATATTCACTTTTATTACAGTAAACATTATAGAAGTAGTAACAAGGTTATCACAGTCAATATGCTTGATGTAATATTATTATATTAGATACAGAACAAGAACGTATACATCTATATTTAGGGTTCAAAAGAGACTAAAGACTAAACTATAAATACCTGAATGTCTCAGAACTTTGTCTTCTATGATCATGAAGAATAAATTGAAAACTTTGCTTTTCTCCAAAGCTTATTATTCGCTGGAAGAATTCTTCAATGATAATTTAAACTGACGTTGTTCGTGTTGAATATTTCATGTCGTATCATTCTGCATTGTGATGTAGTTTAGTCTCTTTTGAACCCTACGTATAGATGTATATGTTCGTGTTCTGTATCTAAAGGTGCGTATTCACCAAAAAAGGGAGCATGTGCGAGCATTCGTGTATGTTTGCTCGTGTTCGCTCGTGTTTGCTCGACATATTGATGTCTCGTCCACACTAGAGCGAATATCTTCAAGTTCGTAGTCGTAGTTGATCCATCTACTTTGTGCGAGCACCTTTTGATGTACCGCCTTATTCTCGATCTTTTCTGAACGCGGACAAGCATACGTTCGCTCGCCCGCTAGCCCGTACTCACCAGACGATTATTGATACAGAATGCTCGTTCACTCTTGTTTGCTCTTGTTCGTTCATGCTCGCTTTTTTGGTGAATACGCACCTTAATATGATAATATTACATTAAGTATATTGACTGTGATAATCTTGTTACTAATTCTATGTTTACTGTAATTGACATGTTCTACACCTGAACAGGTTTTTCATTACAAAGAACTAATAAAGGATATCTATCTATCTATCTATCTATCTTTACTTATTAATGACTAAATTAATATATTAATATTTATTCTGAATGTAAGGAAGCCCTAAATTAAAAAGTACAATTTTTTTAGATAGGACTCAAGACCTATTAGTTATGAATTTTCAAATGTTTCTATGAGAGTCTTTGGTCGAAGTAGCTTGAGTTTTTTGTATTTTTTTGTATTTCATGACCCTTATGAATTATTTTGTCGTGCATACAGTAAGGTACTAAATTTTTTATTGGTATTGAAAAATTCACGTTCAAATAATGAAAAAGTAACATTTTCAACTTCGAATTGAAAATCAATAAAAAATATTCCACAACTTAAAGATATTTTCAAATACTTGGCAGAATTTTCAGTTTTCAAAATAACACAAACAAGTGATATCTAAATCTAATAAGCTATTGTTTGCTAAAACCGATTTTCGAAAGTACTGAAGAGAAAATTTTCAAAGGTACTTATTTGATTAAAAAAAAAATCTGTTTAAAATCTGTTTTTCTGTTAATCAGCTGTCGCCCCCATACAAACGACAACTCTCAGAAGTTGTCTTCCGATCATGAATCGGGCGCACTACCACCGCAGCCAATTCCAATTTTAAAATAATATTTCCTATTTTGTAAGTCCAAAGCTTGTTCAGAAAATATAATGAATGATTCAAACAAACATAACTCAACTCTTCAATTGGATCATAATTTGATCCTAACACTTAGTTTCAGTTGAAGATAAAACCACGAATACAAATTCACTTTTTATTAATTTTCATTCAACTCTGCCTTGTTTGAACTTGGATATATTGATTTCGATAAAAATTTTCATAACTCACTATTGTTTTAGAGAGCTACCTATTTTATGAAAAGAAAAATACTCATACTTCAAGACGGTTCGGCCTAAAATCCTCATAGAAACATTGAAAAATTAACATAACTCGTTGATTCATTTATAAGAAATTAAAAAAAAAGAACTGAAATATTTTATTTACTTTTGATGGCTATAAAACCTTCATTTATGCTCAGTATTTATATCATTTTCCCATAATTTTCTCTTTGAAATATCTATATAAAGAACTATACTTTTTTACACATTAGCTGTATACACCAAAACCTATTGAAACTAAATTGTGGCTTGTCATTTACATTCAAAAAAACAAATTCTCAAAGAAAAATGTATAGAACACTTTAATATTGATCCCCATATCCATTGATAAATTCCCATTCCATTGACAAAGTTTTTGATATGTTGTTAGATAATCTCTGATCTTCCTTTAAATTTTCATGTTAGCTTATAGGTAATGGTACAGTTCTCACAATTTTCAGTTATATGACTGCCATAAGTTTATATTGATTGATACCTAGGAGAAGAAGTGATAGAAAATTTGTTTGGCATGCCTAACGATAATTAGCTTCTGCTTGCTTCAGTTCTCGATCATTGCACACTTTTAGGTGTAAGTAGGTGATGAAAGGTTATTTAATCTCATTATAAATAATGATTCATGATAAATCTTGAGGAATTTCACTCAAACAGTTTACGTAAATGGTGGCCCAACCAAACCAGAACAACACACTTGAATTATTTGAATGTTGATGTCATCTTCAATAACTTTATAACACATTTTCAGTGGTGCTTTGACGTAGCAATGCCCAAGCAAAATGTGAAACCACAAAAAAATCAAAGCAGAGATGGTTCCAATTACAAAAGAGCTCCAAGCACAGCTTAATGATTTAAAACAACTAAACTGGCTACGAAAACACACCACTGATCCGCTAATACAAGAATATTACAAATAAACAAAAAAGCAAATTATAAGAGACCTCTCCATAACAAAAAAAACTACCATACCAATGTAATTAATAATTCCAACAATAAAATGAAAACACTATGGACTTTGGTGAACAACAAAAGAAACTGTACAAAACAAAAACATGAAATCACACTAAATCACAATAATAAAATCATAACAGGAAAAGAGAAATATCAAATATTTTTGGAGTTCATTTTACTGATTCTATTAGAGAAAAAATAGAAGTCAAGCATATAATCCTTGACCTCAAAAAAACATATTTTCCACTGGTATTTATGGAATTCCTGCTATAATTCTGAAATAATTCGTTGATATTATATCAGTTACTTTAACATCAACAATAAACAACTCCGTAATGAATCGTACGTTTCCCATCCCACTGAAAATCACAAAATCAATCCCGGTATTCAAGAAAAGCGATACCCAACATGTCGAAAACTTTAGGATGATTTGCTTCCTCAGATGTTTTTCAAAAATAATGTAAACAGCAATATACAACCAAATTATTGCCTACATGCATTTGACACAATAAAACATGATTTTCTACAAACTAAATTGGAGGCAATAGTTATATGAGGCCAATTCAACGCTGGATTGAATCTCACATATCTAACAGAACTCTGAAGGTGCAAAATGAGAATGAGCTATCTGATGATTTCGACTTCAATATTGGCACTTCCCAAGGACGCACATTTATTTATACGGATGACACTGCAATCGTTGTTGTAACCGATACTGCTGCTGATTTAGAAAATGAAATTTGACCGGTTACAGAAGAATTCACACACTGGTGTAAGGTTAACCATTATATTAACAATGCCCAGAAAACCATATTCATGGAGTTGACAAGTTCCCTCAGGCCTACTCTCAATCTCACAATGAATAACAATGGCATAGAAATAAGTACATCACAATCAGCACGATATTTAGATCTGGAACTTGACAATGAACTTGCGTTCGGCAAAAAAGTTGATGCTGTTTGTAAGAAACTAAACAAACTATACTATGCTTTCCACACACTGAAGTCAAATTTCCATAAGTCTTATCTGATTAATTTATATTATGCATAGGTATATAGCACTATTAGCTGTAACATTATTATATGGGGAAGGACCACAGAAACTTCTAGAGTCTTTATGACCCAGAAAAAGTTCAACAGAATGATAGTTGATCATGACCATAGAGAATTGTGCAGAAACGTATTTGACAACAATGATATTTTAACACTTACATCTAATTATCTATACAAACTATTGATATATACCTTCACTAACAAAAGAAAACCGAATAAGAATACCGAGTAACACAAATATGATACCAGAAAAAATACTTTCATCTCTAATACACACTCAGATTACAGGGTCACAGTACAAAAGATCGCCTTCATATGCTGGGGCATACCTATTAAACCTGTTACCTCAAAATATTGAATCAGAAACAAATTTGATAACAGATGTTGAAAAATTACTCAATCCGAGGAGCATTTTATTCCATAGATGATTATATCAATGACCCTGGCTAATCTTACTGTTATGTAATTAGCTTTTCATATGTTTATTATGTATTTTTTCTTATAAATGTAAACTGACCTTATTGTTAATGTTCGCACCTTGTTTGACGTGTCTCATGTTGTTGTAAACGCAATCTGAAGATATATGTATTTTGTAACTTGTTACCTTACGTTGTTCAAGCTTGCTACTCGGCATCAGAGGCAAAGATTCTAATATATTCATCTTATGAAGAAGACACTTGTAGACATATTCAAAGTACCCCAAAAATTCTATGACAAGAAGATTGGATATGTGAAAATACGCCAGGAAGTGGGCATTTCCAATCTTTATTGAGATTTTGATTTTGTTTTTATGTAGTGTTGTTATCATTTAAAAATTAGATTTTGAAGTGTTTTCACAAAAAAATATATACAGAATTGTTCAACTTTTTGAAAAACAAAGATTACTTAAAATCAAAATATCTTGAAATTGGTTGCTCATAGCAACTTTTGACAGGGATATCTTGAGCTCAGTGGTAAAAAAATTAACGTTAAACACTCCAAAACTAGTTTGTTTAAGTTTTGTTGGGCCACTTTGTTTATAAAGTTTTTACAGAACACTTATTAACTTTATGATTTGGTTCTTTGCTCTATTCATTCATCATTATCTTTTAACATATCACCTCTGTTTCTAGTTACTCCCGAACTTTCGATAACACTGATTCATCTATGCACTTTGACGACAGCAACCTGGCAGCTCAACGTCTCACTCCTGCCAAATTCGCCACTGCCCACCTGAAAGCTTCCATAACTTCTGGAAAACTTATTCACATTCTTCCCCATTATCCTATGGACGGACAGTCCGCGATCGTGGAAGTATCTAGTTTGCATTCGCTGCTGCTCAACAATGAAGAGTACGTGGAGTTGAGCGAGTTTCCCGGGCCTCTCGTCAAGGGTAGTACACACAAGAAGACCATTATCGAATATTGTGAAAATAAAATCAAAGGTGCCATTTCTAATAAAGCGATTGTTGATGTGGATTCTTACGTTTTGATGTGGGATCTTTTGATTTTATTGATAAGACAGAACGGGGTAAGTTTCTTCGACTTCATTTGTATGGAATATGCATGCTCCTGATATTGTCATCTAATGGTTCGGTACTACAACACAAGAATTCTTCAATACCATTATCGGTTTTTGGTGAATTTTCTCTGGGACTATCCACCTCCTATGATTTGAAAAAATTAAAATTAGTAACCGAAAACTTTCTACAGTAGAAACTCCGATTCCTCCATAAAAATGAATCTCATTCAATACTATCGTAGACTTTTTGAATAAGAAATGGATTAATTATTCATAGGAATCTATTAGTGGGGATTCATCTGACAGATGGAGAGATTCCGATGATCTGTGATCAAATAAAAAATTCATTGAACCAAGTTATTAAACAAGAGCAGCACGGTTTTTGCCTGGGTCAATAAATAACTACAAATTTGCTAACATTAACCCAATGTATGCTGAATGCCTTGGAAAAAAAGTACCAAGTGGGTGTAATTTTCAGTTTTCCGAGGCATTCGACACAGTTAATCATATAGTATTGCTCAGAAATCTTGAAGTGATAGGGTTTTACGGAGATTTATTGAACTGGTCTGCAAGCTATCTTCGAGATAGAAATCAAATAAGAAGTCAAGAGTTTCATATTTGAGGATATTTACGTCAAGTCAGAAGTGCCACAAGGAAGCCACCTAGGCCCCTTCTTGTTCGATATTTTCATCAATGATATTGAAGGAATAATCAAACATTAAACATTTTTGCTGTTTGCTGATGATCTTAAATTCTTTAGCCGTGTCATCAACTAACAACAATGTGAGAATGTTCAAAGGGACCACACCTCAATTGTCAAATGGTGCTCCGAAAACTCCAGGGAACTAAATGTAAATGAATGTAATGCTGTCTTTTTATTGTTCACTTGAACATATAGAATTTGATTATAACATTGATGACAAACTTCTCACAAGGGTAAACATTGTTTGGGACCTCGGTGTTCTTTTTGACACTAAGGTTGATTTCCATCTCCACTATGAGCAGGTTGTGAATAGGGCGACAAAAATGCTGGACTTTGTGTACAGAACCACAAGAGAATTCATTAACATTAATTCCATTAGAACCCTTTGGTTAGATCAATATTGGAGTATTGCTCATGTGTATGGTCGCCAATATTATACAGAATTATATTGAATGCTAATTATATTCAACTAGATCTGTTCAATATCTCTGAAGGTAGCTTGAAACGAAGTTTGCCACACTTCTAAAAAACAATACATAGATGTGCAAATATGTATATACATGGTGTGTGTGTATGTGTGTATATATGTGTATTACATTGTGCTCATTTATAGTCTTTGGGTTTATTTTTTAGAATTTAATTTTAATATTGATCTTAATCAACAGTATTTATGTACACCTTTGTAAAAACATGTTTTTATGTTGCTAATGACCCTGCGTGGTTAATGCAACTGCTTTTATTTTATTTTTATCTGATATTTAAAAAAAATCCTTTTTGACAAAATCTGGGTGAGATTTCTTTGAGAGAAAAAGTTAGGTTAGTTTCCATTCTATAAGTATGATGGGATAATATTATTACATAAGGGTTTTCCTGTACCACATAGTTTTAAGAAAGTTATCTTCACATCTGGAAATTTTTATGTAGGAAAGGTATAGATTCATCAATTTCTTGTTCAAACGAAAATTGTAGATATGTTATCCGGGAGGTTATATATATATCGATTTATTTCTTTCATTGTGAATGTATTCAGCCAAAGTTTATACAAATATTATTATATCTGTGATCACTATTGTTTCAGATGGTTGTCGGAACCGACATTGCAGAACTGTTGTTGAATAACAAAAGAGAAATGCCTCCTCTGAGACGTTCTTCAATTATATCTAGTGTTAGTAGTAACAATGGAGATATCAATCCTTCTTCTGAATCTGGTAATCATCTTATATCTGAAAACACTGGTAGCTTAATGTCAATTTTAAAAGAAGAGGAGGTAACTAGTAAATTCAGAGAATTTTTGTTATACGGATCCGGAAAAGAGGCTCTTGAATGGGCCATGAAGCACGGACTCTGGGGTCACGCGCTGTTTTTGGCGAGCAAATTAGATAAAAGAACTTACGCGAATGTTATGATGAGATTCGCTAATGGCTTGACTTTGAATGATCCTTTGCAAACATTGTATCAACTGTTGTCTGGAAAGATGCCCGCTGCAGTGACGGTAAGAAACCCTTCGATTTAGATAAGATGTTTTTTAATAGATAATTTTTTCCAAGTGCGTTTGCGATGAGAAATGGGGAGACTGGCGTCCTCACTTAGCCATGATCCTGTCGAACACTACCCAACCTCCTGAACTTAGCATCAAAGCTGTCACAAGTCTTGGTGATACTCTCTTGAATCGAGGCAGTCTTTATGCTGCGCAGTTTTGTTATTTGATGGCCGAAGTTGGCTTCGGTAAGCACGGCAATCCTGATACGCGTTTGGTACTTCTAGGAGCTGATCACACTAAGCCTTATCCGATTTTCGCTTCCAACGAGGCGATACATATGACCGAAATATATGAGTACGCTTGCGGGTTGAATAATCCTGACTTCGTCATTCCACAGTTCCAGGTAAGAATTTGAAAGGACCGGGAGTTAGTGGTCATTTTTGTTGTTCATAAAATGTACAGTTTTGAAGTGAAAATACTGAAAACACTTGCAAATATATATTTAATTAACTCAAATCCCTTTTTGTGTCGTTAAGTGCTGCCTTCAAGGCTAGGTGGGTATTATTATTCATACTTTTTTTTCAGATATACAAATACTTACTTGCTACAAGGCTTGCCGATCGCGGTTTACTAGAGAAATCTCTGGGCTACTTGGAAAGTATTGCAGGCTGCATAGAAGCCGATCCAACTTCAGTTCAGGCCAGCTTTGTTGAGAATGTATGCATGTTGGCAGATAAACTGAAGTTTTATGATCCTGTTGGTGATATTGAAGACGAGTCCGAATTTGGAGGGATTATGGAGACAAGCAGGCCTGATAACTCTTGGTTGAAGAAACTCAGGGCTATTCAGGGCGATTTCCAGGTAATTAATTTACATTTTGAACAATCAATCAAAAAGTCTTGATATTGTCTGTTATTTTACAACTAATATAAAATTACTTATTGATGTCATTGATAAAAAGGGTGGGTAGTTAGGTCCAATGTGAGTGGATCTATTTGATCCTCCACTGCAACTTACAAAAGTTTATTGTGGCTCACACCTATTTGAACTCGACCAAATCCACCTTCTGAAATAATAATAGTATATTTTTCTCTTATTTTATGGTCGCCATAATCGTCCTACTAAGAGGACTATTTACTATGTGGTGGATAAATTTGCGTCCACTGTAGTAAACGATCTACCAACACCGACGAAACGCAAGATCTAACGATAACACCGCCGCTGTCTGTGAGAGTGTGCAGGAAAATCCGGGGTCGTCGATTTCGCGTTGCTCACAAGAACGACTTTTCGCAGACCACATCTTGGTGAATTTTGCTTTATGACTTGGGCCTGCACCTGTAAAAATTCAATTGACTCAGAATCTGAAGGTAAACGACCGTAGCCAACGACGTGTGTCTCTGAACGGGCTAGGGAGCAGTTGACCCTAATTTTCATTGAAAAATCATCTTCAGCGATGAGGCCCATTTCTGAATGAAAGGGTACGTGAACAAACAAAAATGTCGAATTTTGGATGATACCAATCCACACGAGATCCAAGAGCGTCCAATGCATCCCAAAATAACATCTTCTATTGGCCTGGAATGGGATGATCTGGACGCCGACATGTGGTTTCAACAGAACGACGCTACTTGCCACATAGCTCATGACACATTGGATATTCTGCACGAGCCGTTTGAAGGTTTTTATTTACATTTTTTGTTTCTATCGTTATGTGTAGCGAAGTGTAAGTGAAAAAATCAAACAGAAAAACAATGGTAACAGGTCCGTTAGCTTTTTTTCTGTCTTCGTTTAAAAAAACTCTCACTTTTCTGTCTTTGAAGAAAGATTGCTAATGATATTGATGAACATACATGACAAAAAACAATATTGCGAGTAGACGCAAACATTGAAGAATTGACAAGGAACTGCAAAATTTGGGCAAAATTACAAAGGTAGTATCTCACCCAACAGGGCAAAGGTGGCTTTTCCTTTGAGAGCCATAACTGAGACTAATGAGAAACTTTGATGACTGTCAACTTCTAATTTTACATAAAAGTCAAGAAACATCCAAAGAAAGATATATACACTTGGCAAATATCAGAATTCAAACAGATAACGTTCATCAACCATTTCTACGTAATTCAAATTAAGAAGTATTTATATTGAAATTTGAATGGCCTGGGATATTGTTGAATAACAAATCTTTCATTAACTTCTCTCAAAAATATTTGATCATTAAATCCATCCAGTCACTCATTTTCATTTATTGATAAATTAATGTGTGTCACTCCAATACAGGTTTTCATTTTTTTGGGTCCATTTTGACCAGTTTTTTGTCACCCCTTTTCCATACTTTTACAATCTATCATAATATTGAAATACCTGTTTTATATTAGGTCCACTCTTATATATAATGTATGTAAATGATTTTTATAGTGATCAGTTCGTTATGTATGCTGATGACACATCTTTATTGATAACTCAGGAAAATATTAAAGCCACAGTTAATAAAGCATCTGATGAAATAAAAAGAACCCAAAAGTGGTTCTCAGGCAATGGCCTCTTGTTAAATGAAAAAAAACTGTGCTTTTATATTTTAATCATTCAAGAAGCACTCCAGATCACAGTTTACTAGTAAAGACAATTAATGGATCCATTCAACAACAAGAGGAGACAAACTTTTTGGGTTTTAAGATAACAGAAAATCTCAAATGGAACAAGCATATTGATAGGATTTGTAAAAAGATATCCTCAATATCTTATTGTATTCAACTACGCTGGAATGTAAATAGATCACTCTTATTAATGTGGATACTTTCATTGTAACATTTCCTATGGTGTTATAGCTTGGGGAGCATCTAGTGATTGTTCCAGAATACTCAAAATTTGAAAAAGAACCATAAGGTACATAGCAGGAGTTACCAGAAGGACAAGTTGCAAACTCATCTTCCAGAATCTCACTGACTGTTGAGTATATACATCTATGAGATATTAAAATATGTAAAATCGCACGCAACCAGTTTTCCTACTCTTAATGGTAATACGAATTATAATACAAGAAATTCCCTACAGTTAGAAGTGCCAACACACAGATTAGTTGTATCCGAATCATGTCCCAGGCTTATGACCATTAAATTGTACAGTAAACTTCCAAGTACAATAAAAAATCTGGCTCTAAAACAGTATAACTATCAAATCAAAGAGTTGCTCCTGGATAAATCCTATTATTGTCTCAAGGAATATATGGATGATAACTTATGACCCTGTACATGTGTAACATTTTAGGAAGATTTTAATACAATGCTGTTACACAAATAACAGATTATTTTTGGTTTTGACTATTATATATTTATATTATCTATGTAAATTGTATATTGTGCTTCTAAGTGCACGGAGTTTGTATTTTTAATTTTGTATTTGTACATGTTTTGGACATACTCAATGTCATATATAGATGATCCAACTGAATAAATATTATTATTATAAAGACTTCATGTTTTTTTTGAACACTCTTTAGAAAACAGACACGTCCTTGCAAATTTTCAGTATTTTTGAGACATCTGATAGTTTACAAATTAATAAGACAATGAGAATGTGAAACATTCCAGAGGTAATGCCCAAATATTAAAAGAAAAAGAAGAAGGTGAATAAGTGTAATAATTATTGCAAGGGATAATTGAGTTAGTTCTACTAAATATCGTAAATACAAACCCACAAAAAATATAATACTGTCACAAAGTCTTTTGATCTTGGAGTTTCCAGTTTTTTGTCAGCAACTATATAATATTTTCCAGACTGGTTTGATAACTCATCAAAGTCTCCAGAATTTGGAAGAGTACCAAACTCCGTCACAAGAAACTGACCCCAATCAAACGCTCTACGTAAGTAGCAACCAGGATTCTTGGCAACAACAGTATGGCCAGCAGTATCACCAAAATGAAATTTTTCAACAACAACCGTGGCAACCGGATCAAACTCAAATTCCTCAAGCTGAATTTCAACATGACAATCAGGCTACACAGCTAAACGGTAAGTTATCAATATTTTTTAATCAACTTTTGTTAAATATTATTTCATTTCAGAATATTCACAGCCAGAATATCAAGATCAGCAAGTTTTTTGGCAAAACCAACAACAACAGTGGAACGATCAGATTGGTCAGTACGGCCAAGAAACCATGAATCAGCAGCAAAGCTTCTATGGGTCAAATGCTCAAAGTGAGGTAGGTGATTTTTTTGTCATTTTTGCTGTTGTTCAAGCTTGGTGGTGTTTCATAATCGGGGAGTTTTGTCTGGAACTGCTAAAATCATTTGGAATATGCGAGCTTTTTGGGGCATTTGAAAAGTATTGAAAAAACATAGACAATTTTTATACATTAAATGAGTTTTTGATAAAGACATTTGCTCAAAAAAATGATTAAATCTATTTGTGAAAACATTAATACTTTTTTCTTTGGGTTATGATTTGCTTTTGCTGATGATTCAATGCACAGTATATCTGGATTGAAAACTATGAGGCAACATTTTAGTATTTGAATGAAAGGAAGAAAACCACACTTTTTTATTAATTTTATGTGCAATTCTGACACTAGAATTTACTTTCTGGTAATTGGTATTATTCAATGTGAATATTAAAATATTTAAATGAACGAAAAATATATTCATTTATTTCATCATTCAGTGCCTGTTTTGAAAATAAAACAAAACATTTTTGTATACTCGCATTCTGAAAAACTTTTATCAATTTGCAAACTTTATACAATTCAACTTGAAATTGTTTACAGATACTTTTGGCTTTCTACTTCTTTATTGTTATATAAAAGGAATGGTTGGTTGTCTTATTATTTTTTAACTGCAATAGGCTATCCAAAACAAGCACTTTTAAGAATAACCAGAAATGCAATTCTCTTCAAAGCACCCTTCACCGTTTTTATTTTTTTTAGGCCAGAGATTCCAGTTTATTATGTAATAGGCTACTTGCATTTCCACTCAAATACCAATGAAACCCTTCACGTTCACTTGTTCACTCAACAAGAATTAATACACTGTGAAATTCATACTTTTACCCATTTTTAATTTTACATCACATCAAAACGCTTCTGATTTGTTGACTCAGTAGTTTGCTATGGCCTGTAATTCCTTTAACTTTTGAATTTCTTCATACGACTTCAATTTATTCAATATAAAATAACTCAACACTAAAATACACTCATAAAAATACATATAAACAACATCATCCAACACAACCATGCAAATAGTGCAAAAAAGGTAAACTAATCTGACCCAGTATTAATCCGACACAAATATTCACACTTATAAGACATACTCATTACAGACTCATAAATCCTGCCATCACAATTTTTTGCATATTTTTTGGAAAAGAAAGTTTTTGGCTTTCTACTACTTCATCTTGATACAAAAAAAGGGGATGAGAGAATCTTCCAAAGAAAGGAAGGAAGTAATCAATTCGAAAATAAGTAACTCTATACATGGATGTGTAGATCATGCAAAGAAGTAACTTTCAGACACAAAAACTTTCTTTCCCAAAAATTAATCACTCCTAGAAATATAACCCCTTCAATTTTTGCATATGTTTTGTATTATTTTTTGTCAATGATAAAATATGTGTGTATGGCTTGCTAAGACAAACTAAGTGTTTTTCCAAAAGATTCAGTTTTTCAAACTCTCCGGATGAGGAATTGAAAAGGTGTATTTTCGCCCAAAATTCTAGCTCCGATTTATTATTGGAAGTAAATAATTTACATGAAATGTTATATCAGTGGTATTTCATTTAATGAGTTATATATTGTTTCTCATGAATTATATTTGTTTTAAATTTCTATTATGAATGTACAGTGTATGAGCTGAGAAATGTTACCTTCCTTCCATTAGAAGTTTCTCATCTGCATTTGTGAATCAAGTAGGAAGCTAAAAGAGGTTTTTTTAGATGTTTAGTTATTTGAAAAAGATTAAAAAAAGTGACCAGTCAGAAAACTTTCCACTAAATTTTCAAAGAAGTTTTTGGTATATCGTGGAAATTTCTGATATAACTATCAATACACCCCGCTGAAATATTTTCTTGGTTTACATTACAAACAACTCATTATCTATTGATAATTAGTAAGGAGTACGAAAACTTTGATTATGTCACATATTCCTTACTTTAGAAATGAATTGTTAATTAACAAACATCTGTGTGGAAGGTTTTTTTTTGTGAAAAACCTGAATTTAAATATAGTATAGTATAATATAGTTTGATATAGTATATATAGATATAGTATGATATAGTATAGTATAAATATACTATATCAAATAGATGAACACACGTGAGTTATTACGTTATGTGGAACCTTTAACATAAGTGGACTATAGTAATGTTTTACTCATCTTGTAACTTGATGTAACATAAAATAAAATTGAAAATAAAACAATACAAATTCAGTATTTTTTCAAAGACTCTGTTGAATATAATAATGCAATGAAAACTGGTAATATCGTTTTATTCGAATTCCATTTTTTTTTCTCTTCAAGTTGTATTCCACATTTATGAAGAAAATTCAATAAAAAAAAATTTACCTGTTGTGACAGTTCCTGCATATACTTTTATAGATTTGTATTGTAAATAAACATGTAAACAAAAATACATCAGAAATATTGGCACAGTACACAAAATGAAATTGGAACTAACTCACATTTTGAATAAAATTGTGCTTTGTGGCAATGAATAAATAAAAATGTCAAATATAAAAAATTAATGTTTTTAGCATAAATAGAATATGAACGGTAAATCAGTATTTATTCTATTTCAAATGAACTCGATTTATTCCTGGGAAAACAAATTGGGGTTACACTCTTTTCATTTTCTTATACTATTTCAAATATGTTTACTACATTACGTACATTGAATGAAACATAAGTAAATGTACTTAGGTTAGGTCTGTAGTGCCCTACAATTTACTTCAAATGGGGTCTGCTAGGTGTTGCTAGGAGATGTTTTTGTTTAGATGATTTGGTTTAGAAAAGATAGAAAAGAATTAATAAAAACTTCAATCAAAAACGTTTTTTTAAAAGTAGTTTAAAAACTACAATTAGGTGACCCCAAGAAGTGAATAGTTATTACGCAATTGATTATTTCAATCAACTATCTAGAACAGTTTCAATTCGATCAGATCAATAAATGTGTCTATGAGACACATATCGTTATGTCGGATATCATTTTGTTGATATTAAGAGGGATTTCAGGGCATAAATTCTAAAATTCTGGGTAGTTTTGAATGACGGAGGATTCCTGGTTATTTAAACAAATGGTAATTTATTTGTTTGACTGAAATATGGAATTCATTGACTAATTGAAAAATTGTTCAAAAAGGTAGAAGTTTTAAGCTTATCAATTTTTGAAAATTATTTGAATATCAGACTTTCAATTATATATTTAAAAATGAAGACAATATTAAATATAGTTAGCATGTCTATCACTTAAATGTGAATTAAATGAATGAAAATCTCCAAGTAATTTTCAATAATCCTTTTTATGGTCTGATACTAATAGATGTTTAAAGATCACTTCATTCTTGGAATATAAAAAAGTGAAAAAGAGGATTTGTAAATGGAAATGATTCAACTATTATTTAATATCTCTTCTTCTTGAAAACTCCTGCATAAGTCTTGATTTAAGACTAAAGTTGATTCAATATTACTCTTGATTTTATCGGTGTTGCATCAATTCCCGGAAGTAATTGTACTTTATTATTTTCGATTGTTTATTTATACTGAAATTTGTTAACCTCTGTATACATTTGAATTATAAACCAACATTTTTTTTTTCGATTTGCAAGAAAACAATCATTCAAAACCCTCTAATTTTTCCTTAACCATTCCAAAGTATTAGTTTATTCAAAATGTGCCCATGTAAATATGCCTCAACTAACTTGCTTATTTTTTTTTCTTTTGCTGGCCGCAGCCTAAAGAGGTACAAAAAGACGTATCTGAAGTAAGTAAGTCACAATCAAATCTATCACCATTTTCTCAGCCGGTAGCTCCTTCCTTACGTAAAAGACTAACCGCACATAGCCCTACATTATTGCATGACGATATGATAGAACTGCAGAAATTGACATCGGACGACTGTGATAAAAAACAATCCTCTTCGGCTAAGAATAACAAGGTTTATTCCTGTAAAAACCATAGCGCCGAAGATTTTCGTTTCTCCAGACAAGAAAGCATAGATAAAAAGAGTTCCTCTCGAGAAAGTTCTGATCTGGAGCTGGAAACTTATATAGGCAAGCGAAGGCAGAAAAACGTTTCGTACAAAAACGAGGAAAAGTCTCAGCTGATTTGCTACAAAGACAACAACAAAGTCATCACAATCAAAAACGATTCGAGGCATACTAAATACAACACTTTCGATATTAATTGCAAAGAGAAAAAAGGCAAGTTGGTGAAGTATAAATCTTTGGATATACCAGATACGAAGACGGTAGTAAAATACCTAGAACCGAACAGTAAGGTGTCTATATCTGCCGAAGATTTTGGGTCCGACTATCGAGTGGCCAAGTTTGATCGTAAGAAGCACAGACACGACATAATCACGGACACAGTGGATGCTTGGGCGAAAAAAAGTAGCAGAAACGTATTTTCCAATCTGAAAAACTCGCTGTTCAAAGGGAGTGCCGAAAAAGAAATCCATTATAAACCGTTAGTTTTCGGTGGAACATATCCTATCGACTGTCCTACTTACGACAATAAATCAACTAGGAAACAGGGAGGGAAAAAAGAAAATGAACCAAACAAGTCAAAAGGTCATGCTGCCAATTCAAATCCGGCACCGCAGTTAAGAGAATATGGTCCTCCCAGAACTTTTGATATTGATCAACCTATTTAAAAATCTGTGTGATGCAGTACTTTTCGCCTTTTTACTCGAAATTTATATCTTTATTTGAATATAGATTTCATATGAATTATTTAATCAGTAAATATCAATTGAAATGTCGAACTAAATTGATTAGTCGCAAGTATCCATCAATGCAGCAAATACTAAAGTTCTGGAAGGTAAAAAATATAGAGATAGTCGCATAAAGTATCCAATAGGCATTTAACGGTTTCACCCTCATGAAATATTATGGGAATTTAAAGAATTTTTATGATGAGATAAAATATAAATCAGTTTGTTTGAAGTCGATTGATGGTTGTTACATGGTGAATTTCATTTCTTCGGACCTCCATTGTCTTATATGATATAACATGTTTTGAAATCTCTGAAAAGAACAAATAAAATTGAACATTTAAACAGAATAGCTGAAAATAAAAATTATATTAAGCAAAAAATCTGAAGTAAAAATTACAAAGGAATAAAAATAAGCAATAAAATTAAAATTGAACAAATAAAAAAATTAAAATTGAAAAGATTTCAAGCCAAGTACCTTCACGACGTTTCGATTGCTAGTATCCACAATCGCCTTCGGATGATGACTGTTATGATAATGATATAAATCAGTTGTTTCAAATTTAGTACCAAGTTGCCACATCATAATATGTATGTCTGTTAAAGTCTGTTTATTCTCCAAGCTGTCACCCTCTTACGAACGACAACCCTCAGAAGTCGAAACTTGTATGAGCTAAGGATTAATGAAGGATTACTAGGGATTTTTAGGGAGTAACATTCAGTAGAAATCGTGCCACATAATACTGTTATGTTCTTAAACAAGTGGTACACTCAAAATCAACAACTTCATTTAAATGTTCAGAAATATAACTCAATACACTCAGCCCCCTCAGACCACAGACTTTCTGTCAGCCGATAGTATAGTTTGGTCGGGTTGAGTTGCTAGCGCACACACTGGCCCCTTTATGTTGATTTTTGTTTGAAGGCAATCGTTTAAACCAGGGGTCTCAAACTACGGCCCGCGGGCCAAATCCGGCCCGCGACAGCCAATGATTTACTGTCATCAATCTGGCCCGCGACAGCCAATGATTACCTAATTGTTGTTACTATTGCTGCGATAAGTTGAAGAAGAAATAAGTGTCACAATACACAATAATAATTGAAATGCAAAAAAAGCGTAAGTTTTCTTAGGTCACGCACTTTGCGACTATCCTAGTCTAGAAATATAGTTAAGGGCAGAAATTGGCCCTTGGAACAAACTGAAAAAATCATTATGGCCCAAAGGCTTCAAAGTTTGGAGACCCCTGGTTTAAACCATCAAATTCATTTGCCAGCAATACCGGATCGTTGGTTTACCTTCTCCAGTGAAAGTTCACTAGTTTATCAATGGGAAATGCTATGAAATGCTAGAAATACTTGAGCTAAAGCATTCTGTTGACTTCCAGGCAGTGGATTCTCTAGTGGAGAGTGTTAGGAGCGTTAGAAGTTTCGTCTAGCATTCCTTCCAAATATTTTTTTATCTTCAATTTCTGTTGAAATTAATTTACTCACTGTGTCAGTTCTCTTTAGTTTATCTTTTTTTTTCCATTATTTCTGTTGAAATTATAAGTAACAATTTTTATAGGCCCACCAATCTACAGTAACGCCAATAAGAATTTTGAATCCAACTCTTGATGAAAGTATCAAAAAATATACAGACGCCAGATGTATAATGAATTGTTTGAATATATCTAAATTTTTTACATATATTCAGGGAAATAGTGTTATTCCTCCATTCTTATACAGTGATCATGACAATCAAAAACTCAACTCAGTAATAATTTTTTTAACAATTTTCACGAATTCAAACATAGAGTAGTATATAATTTTTATATTTTCATTCAAATTCTCATAATGTTTGATCTGATGGGGAAAGAAGTAGAGCAATTTACTATAGTTTGAAGTGTATTCAACCAGTAATTTTTTTTATCTTCCATAACTGAAATAAAATTAAGGAGATGTGCCATTTTTATAATAGGGGCATGAAACTTCCTTTGAATTCTCTTTTTTTAAAGTTATGTATCCTTTATTGAAGAGAGTTCATAAAATCAATATTTTTTCGGTGCTGGATAGCCTTAAGCTGTCTTCAATATAAGCAATGATTAGATAGATGATTAGGGATCAAAGCTTCGTTCACGATTCTCTCATAAATATTTTGAACCCAATAAAGTCTTGATTTAGTTTCAATAGAATCAATTTTGTTGAATTTAAAAGGACAAAAAGGACAATAGGAATTTGTAGAAACTCTTGTTTTCGATTCCCAAATTTTGCCTAACTGAATTCTCATAATTTATTTTACTTTTTTGTATGAGACTGTGATAGTCTGAACACAACTTTTGCAAAAGTATGTATTCATCATTGTTGTGATATGTATTGAAGTGTTATATCTATGATGAGATATTTATTAGATGTCATGTTCCAGGTGAACATTTGCACTAATTGTATTAACATAGATCGGGGCACACCTTATAGATTGATGGCATTGCAGTAATTTCTGTGTGGATTCGAATTCAAATTTGAGAGTACATAACCTATTACTATCCATGATAAACATAGAATTTTCTCTATAAACTTCACTTAAGACTCGTTTGGCTACACGATAGCTTCATCAGTTACTGGTGTAAATGAATATTACTGGAGTTTTTCCCCATCACCAAACCGAGGAAGATCTTCCTCTTGAAGATGATCACTTGGTGATCAAAACACGTGTCGATATATTAAAAATAACGGTTTTGTGTTAGGAGAAAACCCCAGTAATATTCATTACTACACCAAAGGTTCCAAATAGTGCATCACAAATTACTGGTGTAACTGATCCAGTAACTAATTAAGCAACTTGAATAAAATTTATTGTGAAAGTTCTATAATTATTATCTGGATAGTGTTTACATTGAGTAGCGGGTCAGAGTATTCATTGCATGCCTTTTGTTTGTGTCTTAGATGATTTAAAAAAATCACCCAAGTACTCCAACTGTTGAATTTTGTGACTGTAAAATTCTTATCAAAAACAGCAATTACATGAGCCTCAAAATATAAAAAATATATAATTTCTTTTTTTTTTTTTCAAAAAACACTTTATTCTAAAAATAACAATAAAAATTAATTGGCCCTAGGGGGCGACTTCATTGATTCCAGTGGCGCATTTGCTTTCTCAGCTGCAGGAAAACCCGGAAAAACCTGCAGCACCACATCATCTGAAGGTCTTGATCTGCCAATGTCTTCTCTCTCATAAAACAAAATGTAGGGTGTCTCAATTTATATAATTTTCTATATTTTTTAGATGACTTTATTTCCTTCTCTCCACATTTTTTGTTCAGATTTTTTTTCAAAATCTAAATTGACAATTGGAAAACAATAACACTATTTTTTTTGTAACAAAATAATTCGCAGATGTGATAAATAATTCATTGATAACAGCGAGATCTATTATTTATAATTATTCAATGCTTCGAAAATCAATATAATTCTCGGCTCAAAAAATAAACTGGTTCAACTCAAGCAAAGAAATATAATTTATTTAAAAAGTATATCAATACACAATTCATTTTCAGGAAAATGAATATTATTTTTACCACAAATAATGAGATAAGAGAGTATAAATTATATTTCTAGTATTCATGAAGAAATTAATATTATTAATTTCTCAATATTGGAAAATTGAAATTTTTAATAAAGACAAGCATATCAAAATTTCAAAAAGATATATTAAAGTTATTGGAAATTTAAAAAGGATTAAAATACACTTGATTCCAAAATCAAATATGATTTGAATTAGCTCGGAACAACTTTCAGATCATTATTGAGTAGAATAAATTCATACTATTTGAAAAATATGCTTGTGCATTACTAACACTTTCTCTAGAAACAGGACACAGATTAAATTTGTTGAATCAAAAAATTCACATTCAGAAAAAAATATATCCAATAGGCTTTTTTGAAATGATTCAAATCAACAAAGACCCAAATAGTATGAATAAGATAACAGAGATTTAATGAAAATCTAAGTAATCAATCTGGAAAGACAAAAGTTGTGGAAAAAATCGATTATCTTGTTGAAAAGTTTCAATTGGAAATTAGCCGGTCACCCTTTACAGAATTTTAACCAGTATATTCTACTACCTCGTGAATAATAAGAATGTATGCATACATATTAGCTTGAAAACTTTAAAATTTTGGGTTAACGAGTGTTTACCTTTCAAAATGCGATTCATCTCATTTTCCAAAACACGCAACTTTGTTGTACAAATTTGTTCTCTAGGAAATGGTAAAAATAACAATCGGAAGATGTTCCAATAATTCTATTCAAATGAATTGCTTCCTGCTATATATCGTTGTTTGTAAATTTCATTTGCTTTTTTATTTTCCCATCCCAGGCTCTGTGAAATTGCATATCCTGCATTTTATGGTCCCAAAATTTAAGGTTCTTATAAGGTTATTTTGTTACTTTTGTAGACCTGGTAGAACATGTTATTTGGATTACATATAAATTGTAGATATACAACATAGGACTTGTAGACTGCAAGTCTATTCTAATCAGAAGAGGGCATATGATACATCTATTGAATATATAATCTAGAAGTAAAAAATGTGTTCCAACCTCATACCGTCAGTTGTAGGTGGTGGTGCATGAGAAAATCTTTGAAAAGTAAAAACCAAAGTTGGAGAAATTTGCCAGAAGGTCCTATACGACATTTAAAAATTCAGATTCTGTGTCTGGGATTTTTCCCAATCAAACGCTGTACAAAAATAATGGGACAAAAAATAGAAAAAAATTTCATTGTCGGAAAAGTGATATTTATATGCAAAGGTGATAAACTCCTGTATGGCTTTTCTAAAATTAGGAATATACAAAAGGGTGATTCATTTTTTTTGCCATGTACTCCCAAATTAGTTGGTTTATGTGGCGGTAAGTTTATATCTTGCATATAGAGGTCAATTTTTCAAAAACATTTTTTTTCGTCTTGCCCCATTTATTCTGTGCGGCATTTGGTTAGGAAAATCTCAGTCGTAATTAAATTCACATTTATATAAAAGTTGTACAAATCCTTTCGGCAAATCACTTCCAACTTAGGTAATGTTTTATTTTTCCCAACATTTTCTCGTACGCAAAAACTGACAGCTCGAGGCTGAAAATCATTTTTACTTCAGGACTTTACTAAAAATCAAACATTCTAGAGATGATACCCAATGAAAATTTAGTATGCGTTTGAAGTCTATTATACCTATGTCATTTTACTGTTGTAGCTGACTACATCTGTAGCCACTTTCGTAGCTTTTGAGCTGAATAGCTCTTTATGTGCTCACAGAAATCCACAGAAATTGTTACAAGTCAGTCTGTAGACCTCGCTCACAACCAGCTTTAAATCGATGATGTTAATGTGTCAACACTCGCAGTTGTTAGGATTTTATTCAATGTTGACACTCGGTTGAAGAAGTGTTTTGACACAATCATATACGTATTTGTTGTATGACATAGTTTTTAGGCTAAATGTTGTTGGATAGTGGCAGGTGAAAATATGTTATATTTTGTGAATTTACAGCTTGTAACTTTTTTATGTTCATTAAATTGAAATGACAAATGATGTTTCATTTATTCAGGAAGTTTTCGGTTGATAGATTTTTGTTTGTTAAAACGTATTTCATGGATTTGACTTTATTATTAACAAGTAACTTTCTGGCCAATGGGAGATGGCGGAGTCAAGTTGCCTCAGTTTATTTCAAAATACAATCTAGATATCAGTTCAATAAGGTTTGTCCTCAATAATGAGGAAAGATGGCATTGGAATATATAGCTAAATAAATAACGGAAATCTCCAATCTCCAATCGCTATCCTTTGAAACTGAATATTTGGAAAGGAACTAGCTTTTGACAAGGGAACAACCTATTTGACATAAGGTTGAGACTACTATTTGTTTATATGCACGAAAAAGTTTAAATAAAATTATAGCAATGCTCATATTTCGAAAATACCACAAAATATGAATAAATTTCAAAGAAACTAGTTTTTAGAAGACACATTTCCAGTGCTGCAGACACTTAAGTCTACAACTATACACTTTTTTTTTGGTTTATCATATTTACATAAAAAAAATGCTAATACCATAAACAGTCTTATGATATTATTTTTGATAATTGGTTTTGAGATTGAAAAAAGGAAGTACTAAGGTATTGATAATATGTCAAATGTGTTTCAATAATTGCACTCTCAATTTCCAATTATCCTAAATATGTGTTGAGTTTTTCCTCGGGAAATCCAAAAAACTAATTTCAATCCAAATAAAGTGGGTTTGAATCGATTTACACCCGGTACATATAAGTATACCCACATGTTGAAAGCTATGCACAGTTTTGCAAAATCATCTGAGGAAATAAAAAGGTTGCTTTGTTTAGCACACTGTCGTCGAAATATATATTTCACATTTTTATGAAGAATGTTAGACTCCTAGTTCATCATGTATAGTGATTAAAATATACTTAATACTCATGACTTCCCATTCACCATAAGAAATCAAATGCATTGATATCACTTCAAACTATAAATATGAATTCGGTTTTAAATCAAAGTGCGCATCTAGTGTTTTGTTAAGGAGCAAGTGTGTGACAGTTGTTCTACCTGTTCTGTTCGTTAACATGGATGCATTCGTGTCTCTTCACAATCGTCAAAACTTCGTTCAAATTCTCCACATTTCTTAGAATAGACTAATTCTCCATAACATTTAGCTTGTCTTGCTTCTTACTTCATATCATTCCTGGCACACCCACATAATATAGGTAATTGTCGCTTTCTATACCGTTCCACAGGAAACTCTGCAGCCGCAAATTTCCCTTCCTAATCAACCAGGAGGTTCGAAGGAAGATATTGAAGAGAAGACCGCAGATGTTCCCAAAGAAAAACCGGTGGCAAAGGTGCATAGTCCAGCCCAGGAGAAAACGCAAAGCACTGGTTGGTTCGGCGGAATTTTCAGCAGGCTTGCCCTTAAACCAAAAAATCAGATGAAGTTGCCAGATGATAAAAATCCTAAGGTTAGTGTGACAGTATACATGTGGGTTTTTTGAAATGGCAACATTATTCACTGTGACTCTCAAATAACTAGCTCGTATTAAGTAGAGATAATTTTTGAGGAAGTAATCGAGAATTTTTGGACTTTTTCCATTCTCTAAACAGTTCATTGAACTAAAATTAATAATACAGAAATTCATAATTCTGTTATAGTTACTAAGAGCGGTGTCTGTACAAAAGTAGAGATTCACATTGAATTTGAATCGCTGGAGATTAAATCCGTTCGGAAAAATGTTCTCAGGAAGTTTATTTCACATAAACGCAGTTTTACAAATGAAAGAGTTCTTATAAAGTTCGAGGTGTACTGAGTTGAACCTCATATCTAGGGTTTCGTCCTACACGAAGGACTGGTAAAACTTGACTAGTTGTCGATATCAGAGAATATCGAGAATATTTTGAAAATATAATGACTGATTCGTATTGACAGCCGAAATGAGCAAAAAACATCAACTAAAAAAAGTGGTACACCAAAAAAAATCTATGTATTCATTCAGACTTGAAAAACTTAATTACTTGGAAAAAAAAGAGCCATTCCCATCCTCTTATAAGATATAAAAAGAGCCATTCTTATTCTCTTATAAGATATATTTAAAAAAATTGTTTTTAAATGTTCCTGAGGTATATTTTATTGTGAACAGTTTTTATCTTGAATAATGTAAATTTTTGCCAACATAGTAATTTTACTTTTCCTAAGTTAACAAAATTTTTCCATAGTAATGGAAGATTGTTTATAACAAATACAATTATATGAATATTAATTATATCGAAATGAATAATTTAAACCGTTTTTCTCAAAACATTTCCAAAAAAAAATTCATTACATAAAATTTTCTAATTTCTTGGCTTTACCAGTTGAACAAACCATGTATCTTTACGTTTCGAAGTTGATATAGAACTTTCTAAGCAGAAAATATATTTCGTAAATCTTATTTCAGATTGTTTGGGACCAAGACAAGAAACGCTGGATGAATGTCGACGAAGATCCCAATGATCCCGTCAACGAGTTCAAACCTCCACCTAAAATGTCCGACATTATGCCCAAGATGACTCCGTTGGCCCAATCTACACCAAGTATTGATTCCACCAGCTCTTTTTATCCAAATGGCTCTCCCCTATATCAAAACACACCTGCCGTAGGTAATGTGACAATTCAAACTCAACCATCTTCATTACCGAATGTCTTGACATCTAATTCGGTAGATAATTCATTGAATGATGATAGCGGAACTCCTGCACCGAAGTCTACTCAACCTAATATGTTTAAGCTTCAGAGGGGTAGAAGTAAGTTGAAATTTGTTACATTTGAGGCAGCGAATCATTTCACATGCTTCATCAATACCTAACGCGATAAAATAATAATAAAAACAATTATTTTCCAAAGAAACATACAATGTTTATACTGGGAAAAATCAATATGGAAAATAATGAACGCTAGACTGAATCAGTCTGTCATTTTCACTGCATTTGCAGAGTGTGATATTTGACCCTTTTGCCTTGGGTCATCCAAAAATCTTCACTCTTCGAAAATCAAATCGCATAAATGAAATGCCTTTGGGCCAGAAGGAGCAGTTATATATTCTTTCCTTTACTGATGGATTACCGATGGAATAATTTCTCCTAATATACTCTTTCGAAGTTCCGACCTTGTTTGCTATGTATTTTGATATTTCCTCTTCAGAAGTCTGCTCTTGTACTATTGCCTTGTTTTGTTGCCTGCGTGTACCTATCTAGGGAGTCCTTTTGTTTTTATCAGGAAAGTTAAGATTTCTTGATATTTTTGACTATTTTAATACCTTCAAGTTCAAGTTATTACACAATAATAAGAAGGAAGGCACTGTTATACCTGTGATGCTGTAAGGTAATCGATTAAATATTTTTTTAAATTATGTTTATGTATATTGGCTGAATCTAAGAGTTCTCTTTTCACTGAATTATCTAGAACATTCGTTTTTTGAACGCAAGCATTTTAATATGTCATTTTTAAGTCAATTACTTGTTGGCAGTTCCTCCTGTAACCGAGATTAGTAACTTGCATTGTCCGAGTCGAAAATACCTGACAGTATCTCCGAAAGTAATCTAATATTTGCGACAATTTTTCAAAAACGTCAGCAGACGTGTCTTCGAGGTAGTCGTCACTTAGGAATGAAAGTTAAGAGGCCGCATCCTACATGATATGGCTCCGTCTTTTTCTGCATGTGCAGAAAGAACCAGTTGATGTTGTTTCTTCCCGAGTAGAAATTACTGAATTCTAGTTTCAACTGATTTATATCCTTAGTATGTATTCCTATTTTGTATATAACATTGTATCTGTACTTATTTTTCATGGTTAATACATTTTTATTATTATTATTACTATAATTAGGGATTGCAAGATATGAAATTAGTCTTCCGGAAAATTTTAATTACCAGTGGTATAAAAACTATTAGGATTTTTTTATATATTACTGTCTAAAAAGTTAGTACGCAATTGGAATTATTCATTCTGAGTGATTTATTCCTGCACCCATAGTAAATTTCGCAAATGAAGCAATTTTTTCTATAAAAAAGTTAGGTTCTCAAATACACTAATTTATGACTCATGAGAAAAGATTTGTTGACCATACTATATCTCTTATTGAATAAAGAATAATTTTTTTTACAGATTTGAAAAACTCTTATATCGATGTGTTCAATCCCAATAGCAAGCCCGTTGGCCCTGCTTCTCTTCCTGTCATGGAAAAATTAGGGCCAACTGTACCCCAAATGAATTTTTTCATTCCCCAACCTGCTGACCCCAACGCTCCTGTCGACTTCATAACACCTGGGGGAGTGCCTCACATGGGAGAGACACAGGTAAATTAGTACAGAATAACTTTTTCTGTCCTAGCTCAATTTGTAAATAATATATAATATTACTGTGATTATGTGAATATTTTAAAAACATATTTGTTTGGTTAGAGGAAGAAAACTAACAATTCTTAAGGAGAAAGTAAAAAGTAAGATATTTTATTCATATTGGAGCATGTTTTTGCTGTTTTTTTTTGTTCAGCACGAAAACACACTTTTATATCATTCTGTTTTTATAAAATTAAGACCTATTTTATTGAATTCTGAAACGATTTTTGTGAACATTACATTTATTATAAGAAAATTTAATAGATGTTAAACAGAAATTTTAGTGAGTTTTCTTGAGTTTTTTGTAGAATTCTTGTTCAATTTGACTTTGAAATTGTGTAAAATGGTTGAGAATAAAACACGCTTGCATCAATGAGGCTGCAACTCAAAAAAAGAAGTTACTTCTGACAAAGAGTACAAGAATTTATTTCTAAATTCTGCTTGAATTGATAGCCGCTAGACATATTTCATTCATATATTTTATTCATCAATTGCAAATTTTAATAAACACAGCCCATGAAATTCAGCTTACTTAATCTTGAGGATTCTCAAATGACATACAGAAGCAAAGCCCTACCTCTACTTTGTCGACATCAAGTTTTATTATTGCTTCCTACCATAGCTGTCTTTTTTTTTTCGTTGTTCATCTCAGGGCTACTCAGACAATATAAATAATTGTGTTTCTTCTGAGAACCAACTTTTTAGTTGTGACGTTATTGAAGCTAGTGTGTGATATCTCTGCATGACGTATCACGTCAAAAAATCTTCATAGGCCATATTAGTAAGGTTGGAATGGAACTTCAAATTGTGATACATCACTTATGACTTTTCTTTTACTTGAAGGCAATTCATATAATTGAATGGAATAAAGTTGGTGTACAATTGTAGAAAGATTGGTATTCAAATGAAAAAATGTAAATCAAGACGAGGACTTTGATTTACAACTATTACTGTGGATAAGGAAGGTCTTTTATAACTGAACTGGTGCAAAATTGCAAATCTCTGAAACAAAAAAATGTACTATATAAACGATTATCAATCAGCTACTGACTTTTTTCTGCAATCTTTACTCAAATCAAATGCAAATTGAATGAACATTTTTTCAAACAACGGTGCATTAGATTCTTAGGTGTGTAAAAGTGAAAGCGCATTAACTATGTATAACAATCAGATGAATTTCAGAAAATGGAGATTATTGCTTAAAAACATGAATAACTGTTTTATCCACCTCAGATCTGAATACAAGAATGGGAGATAAAAATGTTTTGATCAATCCAACCCAAACTAACAAAGAAAACACAAAAAATTCACTCAATTCTCAATGTAGTCTCCAGTGAGGATCAGTAGCTACTCTATCCTGTTTATACATGTGCTAGAATTGGCCATACTTGATGGAAATCTGTAACATATTTGAATAACACTTTGTTGTGAGATCTTCACTGAACAGTTTACAAAAACGTAATATTTGTTTTACTATATATTAGCTTCTTAAAATAGCTGTGCAGTGAAAATCTCACAAAGTTACTTGAATACCCTGTTTATACTTTATGAAGAAAATTATGGGAGGCAAATTTGGGGAATAGAGAGTGAGAGAAAATATCAAACTTGATTTTGATCAATGTGACAACAGATGTGTGAATTAGTTCATTTTTCTTGAAAAGAAAACCACTTCATTTCACAAAGCCAACTTTTTCTGTTGAATTCATAGTTGTTTTTAAGATAATAACGATTATCTAATTGGTTATTATGTTTTATTTAATAATTATTAATTTTATATTTTCATTATTAATGAAATATGCTCAACAAAACTTTAAACAAACAGTAAAGTTGAACGAAACAAGTAGTTGATGTAAAATTCCACTTACATAAATCACCTTCAATATCACAATATCACACCTTGTTTTCAACTTCTCAATAGTATTATGAATAATTTGAATGACGATTCACTCATTTGCATTTTTTTTTGAATTCTCAGCATAGTAAAAAACATTTATTCTGTCATTCTGATCAATAAATCTAGTAAAAATTATTTTCAAAATTGAAACTTACATTTTTCTCAACAGAATCATGAAAAAATAGAATTCAGTTAGCCCATCAAAAGAATGATCCTAACCTAACAAATATGGTCTTTTGAAGATAGCAAAGTTTACTAACTGCTTTGTGCAAAGCGCTTCGTTTTTCGATTGAAAAGGTGGCAAAATATATTTTACAAAATTCTATGTGCTATGAGTTAAACATTCACATATCCGCTTACAGCATATCTAGCTGCCAGAAAATGATATTGTGTATCTGAAAATACAATATCTGAAACAGAATTCCATGTATATAAATAATTCACGCCGGTAATCAGGTCAGATGTTCATGTAATGGAGTTTCATTTTTGGCACTGCGCCAATTCACGTACCATTCTAAACAATACTATTAAGTCACTTAACATTTTTTGTTATCAATCTAAGTTAGCACTTAAATGTGCTACCATTTTGATATTCCCCTGTATAATATCAACACTCTCAGTATCAAAAATGCGTTAGTAGATGTCAACCATGATACATATGCAAGATTCAGAAGTGTCTGAAACTAGGAGAAACTGCTGCTCTCATGTCACTTAAAATTGCAGACTCTATACTACAGTTTTGAGCTTACTTAGTAGAATTTGCAACCTCTGGTGTAAAATGAATCTATTAAAATACTTCAACCTCGCTAGAACAAAATTGCTCTCCCAGTGCGTGTTTCACTAACAAGTTAGCATCATAGGGAGATGAGATTAAATCAATAGATATAGTTTTGAAGTTTACTTTAACGTTCATTATTCAATTGCATTTGGCTTTTGAAGAAGTAAAAATGTATGATAGTATTCATAGAAGGGTTGAATTTCAGACTTTCATTGACTAAAATGATATTAAAAGAGAAAGTTCATAGCCTAGATATTTGAAAAATGAGTACAAACAATTCTGGTATTTGTAGAGTAGGGAGGGTGAGTGTAGACTCACAACACTTAGGCCCCATGTGACCCATTGTACATCCTCCCGAGGAGTAGTCCTCCTTCCTAGGTCATCGTCCATCCTGTCCTTTCCAGGAAGGTGAACAGGTCACTAGAAGACATCTCCTTAATATTGGCAGGTGTAGGCCAAGACTCGTCGAACACACGGCTTCTTCAACCTTCTTGGGGTTCCCCCTGTGGAGGTGCACAAGTGAGGGAGCTTTCCTGCAGGGGCAGCTGGTTCCATACCTTTATTCAAAGCGGAGCTTTTGGCGCCCGTCGCAGAAAGTGCCCTTGCTGTTGGAGGTGATCTGTTATGTCCGGCCTCATTCCAAGCGGTAGATTGGGGTGGACATTTCTGTTCATCCCCATCCAACGCCTTAGATTGAGGTGAGCATTTCTGTCCAGCCTCGGGATTGATTTTTATTTCTGTTGTTTCATTCATGTGTGTCCACACGAGTAGCAAGGGAATAGTTGGTCACCTCTGGCAGAGCCCCGCATTACCAGAGGTAGGCTGATTACAATGAGGTTACGCTCAGTTCCTCAAGGGGATCGTTCATGACCGCATATCACCCTGCGGCCATTCAGCTGTTGGCACGATTCATTACACCTTAGCTTGGGTAGGCTGGTCCACGGAGGAATGTTTTGCAAAGGCTTTTGCGGGGTTTTAGTTCCCCTCACCCTATTTATTTCTGCCATTGACCAGGAGTCCGGCGATCCCGTCCGTAAGGCCACATTGGCGTCCCGGACAGGGACACCAGTCCCCTGGCCGTTTCCCTATCCGCCTCCTGGGGACACGCCCGATAGATAGCCCAACCCACGGGAGTACAAACAATTATTATGTGATTCAGGAAATAAAAATAGTTTCAGTCTGAAAAAGAAGATTTAAAATTAGAATAATCTGAACTGAAAGTGAGAAAGAGATCTAGAAAATTCATGTCTAAGAGAAAAAAGTTCACTGATTCGAAGCACAGACCAAAAAGTGGTTTTCACATGCAACTTCGAGTTCTTCAACATAAGGAAAGGATAGCAGTGCTTGTTTCACAATTTATCTCAAGGCAATTCCTCTATCTCATTCTAGTTTTGATAAATACTCTTGAACGTAATTAGTACTAGGTCTTCTATTTCTAAATTTCGCCACCAGGTTGCAGGCTCAAAACTGCTTTCACCATTTGCCACACCTAAAGTTTTAATGCATGTTTGTTATTATTATATGTTAGAAAAGTATTAACCAAACATTTTTATCCCCATATTTGGTGTTTGGCTCACGTTTTGTTGTGGTTATGGTTAGATGTCTAGGTGGAGTTCAACTAGTTCATTGTCGAGGGAAGTTCAATTCTATATGCACCAAAAAGTTCCTCCACTATAAACCATTGCTTAGATCACAGCTTGCACATCATTTTTCGTGCTGGTATGTAAAAGAGTTGATTGTTTTTTTGTTTGTGAAATGAATTTGAGAGACAATTGAAGAAAATTTAACTTCCTTGAATTCTAAGATGATTTTGGGTAATGGCGAATCTAAGCTGAGACTTACGAGGACCAAATAAAATATTAACTAAACATTAAATTTTATTGAATAATCACGATATTACATGGCAAATAGATCTTGCAGTTAGTTAATTGCATTAATGCCTAACAATGCACAATTTTTTACAATAAATTTTGGTTTTTATACAAGCCTCAGGTTTTATGTGGTTATTCAACGAGGTTTTGTATCATTAAAAATCTGAAAATTGAAAACTTGCATAAATGACAAGTTCAGAACTTTGAGCCACCATAACTGATCATTGATTTACCGAAGATAGAAATTAGCCTCAATTTTCCATGAAAAAATATAATGGAATAAAACGACATGCATAAATTAATAACTTGTAACATCAGGTAATCAATATACTTTAAAAAAATCTGTTTTAAAATCTGTTTTTCCGTTAATCAGTTAAGTATATTACCGTTAAGTATATTAACCTTCTTTGTTATTTTCGAGCGAAGAAAATATAGATACATTCTGAAAGTGCCAACACTCATTCCTAAATAATTTCATCTATTTTTTATTCCGAATTTATTTAGTATTTGCAGCTTCAAAGAAGTGAATTATAATCTGATAATATAATAATAATAATAATAATGAAAGATCTTCTATCTTCTGTTCTGTGGGTAGGGATAGTTATCTTGAATCCAATTTTTTTTTATTAGTTCAGTGAATAGAGAGTGGTTTACACTTACAAAAGGTCCGCTAGTTCTAAATTTTTGATATTGTCTAGGTTCGCAAGTATTTAAAATGCAAAATGCACAATTCCCCTGTTTCCTCGCTCGACCATATCGAAAAACCAAAAAAAAATCACTTTCGTTTGTTATTTTTTGGGAAGTAAATTATTATTATTATTTTTTCAATGTTAATTGAGGCACTCTAATTACTAAGCTAAATTGTTGTTTGTTGATTGTCATGAATAATTTCAAATTTCAGTATAACCCTGATATGCATATTGAAGGTTTAGACTATAGAACACTTTGTGTTCGATGTTGATTTTTTTGTGAATTGTTACATCATAAATCTTTTTGACTTCATGTTTATTGATAAAATTTCAAAAAAAAAAAACTCAACTGAAAATGTATTCCCCCTAAATGAACATACTATTATAGACAGGTTTTTTTTATTCTAAATCATTAGTCATTCAATGTTTAAATTTTAGTCTTTCACAATACCCATTGTTTATAAATTTATCAGATTCATAGCAATGGGTGGTAATTGATTCTAAATGAGTATTTTTGACTAAATATAACAGATAAATTTAAATGTTTTGTAACATAATGGAACTGGAAGTTCCAAATTTCAGAATGATGGGAAGTGTATTTGACTTTGATTCTTAAAAAATATTTTGGATTCGAAGATGTTTGGGATGTATTTTAACTTTTCTATCTTTTCGAACAAGAATCTGCCAGACAATCAACTCCTATGAGCTAGTATATTGACAGTTTTTATTGTTTATAATGTTGTATAAAAGGAATCATTCTATTTACATCTCTAGGTCTAAGCTTATTTTTGCCATGTTGCCTATTTGTTCTGTGTTGTTAAAATCGAATTCAGTTCATGAATAATAGCCTTTCAGTTATACATCATGAAGCTGGAAGTACTTTTTTTTCACAGCCTCATTAACTTGTGTCAGAAGATGGAGGTTATTGGTGGAATCTGAGGAAAATGTTAGAAAATGTGACTGCTTTATTGGAGATATTTATTTCTTCGAAATGTTTTTATTGTAAATTATAAATACAATCTTATTATACATATATTTATAAGAAATGTGGGAATAAATAGAATAATCGAAATCAAAGATGTTTTTTTTATGAAACCACAGCCCAGAAACGAAGCATTAGCGATTCAATACTACTTTTTCGCCATATGTTTCATTGAGTGGTGTTAAGCAGAACCACGAATGGACTGGACTTGTGGATTGCGTGTGTCAAAACTTTTTGGTGTAATAAACCTGTTTTATACCGTTTTAAATGTAACTTTTATTCAATTTAACTTACAAATTATCTATATTGATTTTTGGGAAAGAAAGTTTTTGGCTTTCTACTACTCCATCTTGATACAAAAAAAAAGAAGGACGAGGGAGTCTTCCAAAGAAAGGAAGGAAGTAACTCTATACATGGATGTGTAGATCATGCAAAGAAGTAACTTTCAGATACAAACTGAAAGAAAGTCCTCCTGAAACATCTACTTTCATATAAAAATTGAATTATACGAAAGAAAAAATTCTTTCAAAACAAATACTTGTGTATGAACACTGAATTATACAGAAGATACTTTTCTCTACTCAGTTTGTATTTCAAACATTCGTTGTGGAATAAAAATCAGATATCCTTCACATGAGTTCTACTTTAAATGAATGGTAACAAATTGCACTTACATAGAACACTGCCATCCTCACTGGTATACACCGATGTTTCGTCTTAAGACACTCGCCCTAAGGCTCTTTAGTATTAAATTGGATAACATTATAGAAAATACACACACTTCATTCAATAATATGATAATGTGAGGAAAGGTTATTTATCAATAAAATCTTCTATTGATTATTTTGTGCATGTACATATGTTATAGGATTAAATAATGATACTAATAATGAACATACACAAAATTAGTATCATCATTTTTAAGCTATGTTCCACACAATGAAAGAATATTACGTGCTTGCTGGTTAGATTTTTATAATAATCATAAACACCCGGTCGGTAGCCGGGAGGTTCGACGTGGGTGCTTTGTTCACTCAGTCAATCGGCCGATGTGTGACTCGATGGTTCAAGCCCCAGGCTGAACGCTCGATTTTCACTTGCTATCGTCCAACCCTGTTAGGAATCACACGTTAAAAGGTAAGACCTCATTAGTCCTTAGCTCGCACAAGTTTTGACTTCTGAGGGTTGTCGTTCGTAGGGGTGCTATAGCTGGTTAACGGAAAAAACATATTTTGAACATATTTTTCTTGAACTATGTGTACATAGAGAGCGAGGGATAGACAGAGAATTCACTTATTTTAGTGTTGAAAACAGTTTTTCAGGCGTAATTACACGATTTCCAAAAATAACAGGTTCCAGATTTCTTCTCATGTTATCTAAAATATAATCAAATATGTAAACTCATTCTTGTATAGTTGTAAAATTTTTTTTGGATGGCACCTCATCTCTTAATAAAGGGTATGAAAATCGCCAAAATTACTTCTTTCATCATTTACTGAGTGAACACCATATCTAGGTAATAATAACTCCGTTCTCATTAATAGACTTGGCTCCAATATTTCGACGTGTTACGATGAGGTGACATTGCTCACAACACTACTGCACGACTGACTGACCGAAGTTTCGTGCACACGCGAGATAATTCCCCGTCACGATAGAGAGGAGAAAGGAAAGCCAGACATACTGATGCGTAACGTTACAAAGTGGCTTACCCTCCCATAAGAAGTTATCACTTCAATATTGAACGTATATACAGTGTCTTCAACAGCGTGACCTTGTATTTACCCTTTTATTCACTAATGATCAAAATATTTCAGAATCTGTTTCAGTATGATATTGTCATTATGCGAATAAAATATTGAATGTGGATCTGAGACAAAAATTGTAGTGGATAACTTAGGTTAGGTTAGGTCCAAAGTGAGTGGGTCTATTCGACTCTCCACCGCAAGGTTTATTATGGCTCACACCTATTCACACTAAACCAAACAAACCCAGATTCTTAACGAAGCCGATTAGTTTGTATGGTGAGTGGTCTTTCAGGTCAGATGGTAAGGGTACGGCTCTGTCGCATTCTAAAACCTGATTTGGTCCCCAGCGGAGCAGGCACAAAGTATGTGCTCTGCTATTTCATCATTTTCCAAATACAGGTGACAAACACTGTCTTCCGACAGTGTGTGTCGCATATGATGTCTGCATATGATGATTCAAATGACAGTAACCTGTAAGAAGACATCGTAGTAGACATCATAGTTCATCCCTACTGTAGTCCAACAACTGTTTGGTATCAAGCTTTGAAGAGTGAATAAATGCCTTGGAGTGAGCCAATCCTGGAAGATTCTGACAGAAGTCCATAAATCTTCTTGCCATCCAGGTGTTCAATCTTTGTTTGGCAAAGCCTAAAGCTATGCCAATAACAGGTTCTGGTCCGATGAAGCTGCTTGCAGCACCCTCCTTTGCAAGGGAGTCAGCAGCCTCATTGCCTTCCATGCTAGTATGGCCAGGAATTCAGATCAGAGACAATCTGTTAAGTCTTCCTATCGAGGAGAGTCGTTTTTGGCAATTTGCTACCAATTTAGACATTGCTCGGTAGGAGCCAAGAGCTTCCAATGCCGCTTGACTGTTCGAGAACATTTTTATTGACTTGTGTATGAGGTTGGATTCTTCCAATCTCTCCGCACACAATTCAATATCGTAAATTTCCGCTTGAAATACAGTCGCATAGTTCCTAGGCAGGTTGATTTCTCTGTCCTGGATCTGCGACTGAAAACACCTGCACCAGAACCAGAAGGTGTTTTTGATCCATTTGTGAACCAACAACTATCTGCTCTTAATATTTTCTCCTCCCGGAGGAACCAATCATCTACTCGGAAACAGTAGGTACTTTATAAAGCAGTTCGTAGTTGACAGTTGGAGGCATTAAGTTCGAGATTATTTCCAGAATGCTGTGACTTCCAGTGTCAACCAACAGTCTGTTGCACAAGTCTATATGCAGTCCATCTAGCTTCTCTCTCCAGAAAAATGTGGAGATGAGGTAGATCTGGATCTCCATGACCGCTGACGGGGTGGTATTGATGGCACCACTGATGGCCAGACAAGCCTGTATCTGTGAGCCAGGGAGCTTCGCCTGAATCGTTTTCTGTAAAGCCTTCGGCCACCAGGCAATTGCACCATAAGTGATCATTGGTCTGACAATCATCACATAAATCCAACGTATTTGTTTGGGACCTAAACCCCAAGTTTTACCACAAATCCATAGACATGTAGATAGGAACAGTCTGGTTTTGTATAACTTCTTCCAAGTGAGCGTTCCAGGTGAGTTTTTTATCGAGGATAATTCACCTCCGTTCCAAATGGAATGACCTCACCATTGAGGGAAAGTAGCGTTAGATCGTCCAATTTTCTCCTCCTGGTGAAGGGGATTATCACAGTTTTGCTGGGGTTGACAGACATCTGCTCCCTCAGGCACCAACTGTGAACAACGTCCATCGTACTTTGGAGGATATTACAAGCTACCATTTCCGACGTGGGCCTTGACAAGATGACAAGGACATCTGCATAAAAAGTTACCACAAGGTATCAATTTAGGACCCTCACTCTTTGTTATGTTTATCGATGACTTGCCCTCAGTTCTCAAGTACTCAAGCTGTTTATTATTTGCAGATGATCTTAAAATAAAAAAAAAGAAACTGACAAGAGACAGTGTTATGTTGCAGAAGGACTTGCAATATGTTTGCGAGTGGAGTTGTAAAAATAAACTATTCTTCAATCTGAAAAAAGTCTTATGAAAATAACGAGGTTGAGAGAAAAAATGCAGTGTTATGGGAATAACAAGGTTAATAGATCCGATAACATTTGATTACATGATGCAAGGAGAGGGGTTAAAGAGCGTTATGAAAGACTTGGGTATTGCATATAATGATAGACTATCCTTTTCAAACCATGTAAAAAATATAATTAAATCAGCAAACCGCATGTTAGGCTTCACAGTAAAACAAATATCATATTTTTCCAATATAGAAGCTATAAAGATTTTGTACTATCGACACACTAGTCAGATCGAAACTTGAATTTGGATAAGAAATTTGGTTAGAATATCAAACTACACTTTTCGAAGTAGATTTTTGTACTACAAAAAATATCGTATATATCCTGACTGCAGAATAGTTAGAACAACACAATTGAGAAATGAATTCGGAATAATGTCTCTGGACGATAAAAGAAATCAAAACATATTAATATTTCTATTCAAAATACTGAATCATGAATTCAACTCCCTTGAACCCCTTACATGGATAAGATTTAATGTGCCTGTATTTCAAAATGTCAACTGAAGTTTCATTTTTAACATTGAACAAAGAAAAAAAACAAATAACTTTCTTAGAACAAATCTAATCAACAACATTAATTTTCTTAACCTTGTCTATGTCAATTTTTTCCCAAATAAAAAAATATGGAATTATAATATGTCAAAGGTGAAAAATAATGTTGCCCGATTGTTGTATATTTTTAATTAGTGATAATGTCACTTGACCCGAGAAAAATAAGTAGAGCGATTGGAACACAGAGGTATGGTCCGAAAATAACCAAATACTAACTGCTTCTCACCGAAAATTTCTGACAGCGATTACTTCGAATATAAATTATTAACTACTATAAAATTCTATGAATTAATAACTTTCGAAACACATGAACAAGGAAAACTGACAGCAGTGGGTAACCGCCCCATATGGTATTCGTCACTTTTTTTAGAAATATGACAGAAACTGTTAGTTTTGGACTGCATAGTCGATATTTTGAGTGAATTGAGAGTTGAACTACAGAATACTACTGTAGTTTCGATATTCCGTGGTTGAACCTTGTGAGCTGTCAAACTTTTGTCAGTTGTCAATTGATTTTGTAGTTATGTCAAAAAGTAAAGATCATTTTTTTCTTTCCTAAATAAAAAAGATATTCAAGATTTTTTGAAGAACATTTTGGTCAAGTCTTGAAAAATGTCCGAGGAGGCCTCAAAAAAAATTGATGACCTTCTGCACCGTATAAAAAATGAAAGGAGCCCCCCAAATCTTCCAATGAGTGGTTCTGGCAATGTTGGCTTACCTCCAAATCGCCCTAGATTATCACGTTAGTGAATCAAATATCATTTCATTACACTAATAACCAATATGTACCTATTGTACATTTTTTAGTTGGTCTAAATAGTAACAGCAGAAGCCCTATTATGTCTAGACCAAGGAACCTGACTTTCACTACAAAACAAAATGATGATCAGGACACTGATAGGAAACTGAGAGAAATTATGCAGATAAGTGGGGATCTCACGATGGATGGGATTCTCTTTAAAACAGATATAAAAGAAATGGAACACATAGAAGAACTTGGAAATGGAACTTGTGGTCATGTTGTAAAAATGAGACATAAACCTAGTAATAAAATCATTGCTGTTAAGGTAAATAAAAAATATAGGGTTATTGTATGATTTTATTTATATTTGTGCTTGAGGAAGCTAGTCTACAGTGAAACACGTTTCGCGTTTTGTTTTACTATTGTGAGTTTTGATAGGAATTTCAATCAAGTATTAGCTAGTTCCATTCAATGTTCTGAAAGATTGTATAACAAATGGTAAATATATCTTTTAATGATTTGCTCTACATTTCGGGAAACTAGTAATTGAACTAATGTTTTTTTTGTTTGCTGATAACGAATCTGCAGTCAAAACTTGGTACTCTGGTCTATTTCTGGAGTGTCAGCCAATCATAAAAATCAATATTTCAGGAAGTTACCTCTGGTACTCTATAGAAACACATAAATCGATACCTTTTCACAATTGCATGTTGTGGTCCTTTAGTCAACCTATTCGAAAATTTCCAATAAGTGAAAACTAAAATAACCTTTTTCTAAATTCTTAGATAGATAGATAGATAGATAGATAGATAGATAGATAGATAGATAGATCTTTATTTAAAATAGGTAACCCTAATATACATATATATCCCAATTAAATCAACGGTGTATATATACAACAACAAAAAAAGAAATACAATGCAACAATAATATACGAAAATCACAATTTTAAAAATAGAATTAGTAGAATTACAAAAATTACAAGAATTGCTTTCAGTACGATATCTATTTCATCTTAATAAGTTCTTTCAATTGTTTTTTAAACAAATTCAACGATGATGTTTTAATGAAGTCTGGTAGTTTATTAAATTCTTGGAAACCTTTGAAAAATAAAGAGTTCATAGTACTGCGATAAGCATGTGTAATGATAAGTATGTTCATTTCACAGAAATTTTATTATTTGTTGGCAACATTGAAATGTAAAGAAGGAAAAAATTGTAAATCAGGTTACCAAATTTTGAAAATTTTACTCATTTTAATCTTAGATGATAACAGGATCGTCACTTTTTGAAAAATTCTCAATTTTCAATGGGTAAATGATATTTTCTATTCAATTCTGCCTTGTTTTAAATGAAACACTGAACTAGAAACATGAAGTCAGTTATTGTGGAATGCACATTCTGAACCATAAAAAAAGGAGGGCACTTCTTATCTTTTCGATGGTTATATAATTTTTTTAGAACATTGGGGAACTGGCCTTTGCCGAAGAATATGTTGATTTGAGTGGCCATGATTAACAGTACGTGGAAATATTTTCGGTATATTATCGATTTCCGGTATATTATCGATTTCCGGTATTTTCATTTTTTTTAAAGACTTGATAAGTAGTTAAGTATAAACAGATTATTTTTGTTTTATAAAACAACAGAGATCTGGTTATTTTGTAAGTATCAAGCCATGCTATTGTGAAATTATAATCAATACACTTCGAGTTGTCTCCTACTCGGATAACCTAAATAAGTAACTCCTGTAGTAGACTAGTAAAATCTGTTAATACAAATGTTAAATAGTTAGAACTGCCGGTCAGGAAGTAGCACTCATAACATAAATTTCCATAATTAACTCAATAATGAGCTCTGGATTACAGTACTGCGGTAATGCAAGATTCACATATCTTCACTTTAGCATATTACAAAAAGTAGATGTAAGTTTCGATGTAAAATTTGGGCATTGTGCCTTCATTTCAAAATTATTGGAATCATGACTCTCTGAAATCAGAGATCTTTATTTACCTAAGATTGTAACTCATGTGAAGAGATCAGAAAAGGAAATAGGTATGCATTCCATGATTTAATTTATTTCCTACCGAGATCAAACAACAATAACAATTTATTTTCTACCGAGATCAAGCAACAATAACTAGAAATAAACAGAAATCTATATCCTTAGGATATAAGTGATTCCATGACATTGAAAGACTCGGAGGCAGCCATGGTTTATTTTCTTCATTTCAATTTCAGTCTTATATTTTATACATTCCCCATTGTTTTGTCTGTATATCTAAGTAACCGAATGATAGAATAATTCTCACAATAAAAGAATCATTCTCAATAAAAATATTTTCAAATCATTGTTTCGAATGTGCATACTTGACTTGTCCAAATTTGTTCAAATTGCTTAATAAATTTCAATCTACATAATTTTGTGTACTGTTTTTATTTTTCGTTATGTTTCATTTCTTGGTTTCAGTTTCATTTCAATTCAGTTTTTAGCGTCTTTTTGTTGATTGAAATTGTTATATTTATGTTTTTGGTTTTCAGCAAATGAGAAGATCAGGTAATAGTGAGGAAAATAAAAGGATAATAATGGATATAGAAGTAGTTCTGAAATCACACGACTGTAAATATATAGTACAATGTCTAGGCTGTTTCATTACTGAATCTGAAGTTTGGATATGCATGGAACTTATGGATACGTGTTTTGACAAATTATTGAAGAGATTCAAGCAACCTGTTCCAGAAGAAGTTTTGGGAAAAGTTACTGTAGCTGTAAGTAATTGTAAACAATTGTAATTTATGTGTATTGCGAATATTTTTCCAGACTGTTGAAGCCCTTTCCTACTTGAAAGATACCCATGGGGTCATACATAGGGATGTTAAACCTTCAAACATTCTATTAGACACTAAAGGTAACGTAAAACTCTGTGATTTTGGTATAAGTGGGAGATTGGTGGATTCCATGGCAAAAACCAGAAGTGCTGGTTGTGCTGCATATATGGCTGTAAGTATTTGATTTTAGGTAGTACATATTATTTTCAACATCTTGAGCTGTGATTTGCGGACCACAGCTCAAGAAACACTGTAGGACTTCTAAATAACGTTTGGAGGATATTTATTTATTATGCTTATGCCAGTAATATTATACTTTTTTAGCCAGAACGTATTGAACCTGATCCGCAGAATCCAGACTACGATGTTAGAGCTGATGTTTGGTCTCTAGGAATAACTCTAGTGGAAATGGCTACTGGTGTATTTCCCTATCAGGATTGCAAGACTGACTTTGAAGTACTCACAAAAGTGATAGGACAGGATCCTCCAAGTTTACCTCAAGACAAAGAATTTACTACAGAATTTAGGGAATTTGTTTCTTGTTGGTAAGTATCTGTTATTTCATTTTTCCATTCTTGCCTTATAGATATATCCAAACTCATTTTCATATCATTTAGTGAAAATAGTATATTGCATTACTAAAGGAAAAAGTGAATATTTTGTATAGGAACTAACCATAGCTGCCATCTAACTTTTCTTCAAACTATGAAAATGCCAAACCTTAGAAACTTGGTGAATATTTTCCTACAGTGAAGTAGATTCTTAGGTTTATTTCATTCAAATAGGGATCCTAATATAAAAATAACTTGATAGTATATGTAAAGTGAATCAACACATAAATGTTTGAATATTGAATTAAACATATTGGTTTGCAATAGAATTCAATACAAAACAGTATATTTTTATTGTCTTTAAGAAGTGAACATAATTGTTCAGAATCAAACAAAGATGAATAAATGTCAGAATTTAATAACAAGATGTCTGTCAATCTACTGATAAAATGGACCATCAACTAATGCAGGAATGCCATACATTGTGTATTTATCAAATCAAATCAGTTTATTTCCAGAGCCTCTACAGCATGGAAAAAGTCAATTAAACCAAAATATAGAAATTCAAATTCGTTTCTGTACATGGGGATCTTGTAAACGATAAGAGATACAGTGTCGCTTAAATTGTGGCAAAGATGCGTATTTTAGAAACCTATTCAATGATGTAAAAAAATCGAATATAGCTCTTTTGGTTCTGGAGATATACAGGAAAAACCAAAAAATCCCCAATTATTTTTTGCCTATATCTTCTTTATTCGCAGACCTATTTAAAATCTGTCTACATTTTGCTATTGGCACTTGACGTAGGCTATCAGAATATGTCTATGAATCTTTTATATAGGGTGTCATCTGATATGGGCCACCCCCCATCTTTGAATTTTTAAATACGGACCTGTATTTTTTGTTGTAGTTTTTGAATCGTAGACTTTCACTTCATAATGAGAAATTAAATTTTATTTGATATTTCGGTATGTTTCGGTAATATTCGATTATAATTGGGTGAATTATTCTCTTTTGAATTACGGCCCTGGAAATCGTTTCAATCTCTCTTGGGGGGTTCTGAATAACTAGGATATGAATTTGCGACGGTTTCTGGGTTGTGCTTCAGATTTAAGAACCTAAAATCCAAATATTCTCACTTTTTTCAGTTTTTTGCGTATGAAGAGCATTTAATTCTGCATCGAATTGTGTTTGAAACATCGATTTGGGCCCAGCCGTTCAACCGCAATCGCCCGTCAAAGATTTTATTATTACTCTTTATTAGCAAATAATGCTCTTCATAGTACAGTCAGTCACAAACTTTGCTAAAAAATTGACAAAAATCAACTTCTAACGCCAGTAGGTTGAAAATGACTGCTTCGATTGGAAAATATCATATGACTAAAGTTGTAAAAAATTTAATTCCAAATCGGATCCTTTTTTGAATTCAGAATTCGCTCACTCCAGTGCTGGGATACGAATTTGAAGCCAAGGTTGGGCACCAAATTTCTGCTTAGACAGAAGTAGAAGTAAATGTAATCAACTCAACTTAAACTCAAAATCATTTTTTCAAGGTACATAGGTAACTATAGTATCAGATCAATCAGTTATCAGGTGTCAGACGATCACACAACAACAATTCTGTTCATTATAGCAAATCATTCATTACTAATTCAATGAGTCATTACAATTGAAAGGGGGTAAATTACATGGGTTATAACAATTAAGAGGGGATTATAACATCCATCATTTCTTGCCTGTGTGCTTCTTTCTTAGGCTCCTAGTTCGTCTTAGTAGATCCTGTAATCAGAAGAAAAGATTTGTAGTATAAGTGATTATCAGGAATAACTGTCTTACATATCATGAATTACAATAATTTACCATTTCCAAATCACACGTCGTAGAAGGTTCGATCCGGTTTTTCCGGGGGAGTCGTCATCAGAAGAAAGTTCTTGTTCTCGTTGAAGTTGAATTTCGGTACTTCCTCACGGCTTTTTGTCATAAGACTTCTCTTTTCTGCTTCATTTTCAGGCTTTAAAATGTTAGGTTTAGACACCTTTGCGACACTTCTCGTGAACGACAACAGCTTTCTGAGTTTGCAACCATGTATTGATGCCCATCCTTTCGGGACGTTTCAAGTGACTTTTTCTTTGATTTCCCTCTATCTGCGCCCTCTTGTACCTGTGTAAATATTTATCTACTTAAACATTGAAGTGATGAGTGATAGTAAAATGTCATAAATATAATATTATTATAAGAGAAATAAAACTGATTGATTATTTATAAAATAAGTATCTACTTTGTTTTTAGTTTGAAAAAAGATAAAAAACACCGGCCAAAGTACAAACAACTCAAAAACCAGCCATTTATAAAAAAATATGAGGTAACCGATGATGTCAACGTTGGAGAGTGGTATGTAAAACTTCTTCAATCTTCCGAAGACGATACGAACATGGCGGCCCCTAGGTATGTTGCATGGTTAGTTGCCAGTTCTATATTTTACTCACCCTATCTAATTCCTTAATTTGCTTGATCTCGTGAATGACGTAGACTTTTATCTAGAAAGGTAACTCCTACGGATTGTGTCGAATGCGAATGGTAACAGTGTTGGTACAGTGTTAGTAGGTTTGTATATGTTTTTCTCAGGTTGTTAAGCAAAATCAAGCTACTTCGATGTAAATCAGTTATATTATTCACTAAATAAAAATGAAAACTCAATGTTTTTCAAATCCATTGAATTCTCACCAATAAATTCTTAGGGGTAATGATTGATAGTCATATGAATTGAAAAAACCCATGTGATAAAGAAATCAAGATTATTACCCAAATTCAATTTTTTTCAACAGTTTTCAAGTACTCAACAGCATGAAATGTTTCATTTTTAGGTGTACGAGAAAACTATATTGAATTTAATAACATATTGCCTTACTAGATCGCTTCGCGTACCGCACTAAAACTTCCACTTGACTGTCTCGAAATGCTCGTAACTACCCTTTATATATCATAATTGAATGCGCTAGAATATTCCTCCGAAATTCCGTCGAAATCGGTAGCTACCAGTGGCGGCTGGCGTTATTTTCTTTAGGGCATGATTTACAACAGTACATTCACTTGCAACTTGTTTTATAGACTGAACTTTTACTATTTGAAGTATATTGAGTATATCAGTATTTGGCCTAATATTTTAACATCACGATTTTTTAGTAATTTAGTACACGTCAATCACACCTGATTTGACTTTCCACGCCTACACTAGCACTTACACAAAATTCGATCATCTTCAAGAGTGAGAAGTTATTTAATTATCTTCCCCTTAACTTTAGACAAATACAGAATGAAAAAATGTTTAGCATAAGGTGAAACAGTTTCTTGTTGTGAGGGCCTATTATAATAATAATAATAAAAATGATAACTTGAATAATCTCAAGAGACATATGTTTATACAGGGAATAAAAAAACATAACAAATAAGCCGGAATTAAGTAATAAAAAGAATACTACATTGTTTTAGTGAATGAATATATTATTATTATTTTGTAATGATTTTAATGGTTTCAACACAGATTTTGTTGCAGTACCCCAAACAGGTATCAAATATTGTAATATTGAACAAATAACACTGAAATGATAATTTTTTGATATTTTAGGGGCTATAAAACCTGAAACTATAACGAATGCAAATAATTGGAGAAACTCTCTTCCTAAGATGTTAAGTTTTGATCTATGTATAACCCTTGGGATTTAAAATTGTTTGCACTTTGGATTCTACAATTGCTTGAAATGAGAGGGGTCAAAATTAGATGTGATCCTTTTGAGGATTCAGTGTTAATTTATGAACATTCAACCTCGACATTATGATAGCGGGAACTCCTCTATGCTTTTAGAGAAATAAACCTCTGTCCAGACAAGCAACAGGGTTCTCCAAAACATTATCATGCATAGTGCATGTGATCTCCCAAGCAAAGCTGCTTGTACAGAGTCGCACTAAAGAACAACCGATTTTTTTTAATAATATGCAACTGGGTATAGGAAAAGTTTTTAGGTGGAGTGTAGGGATACAAATTAGCAGTTTCTTCAGCCGTATCAGATTTTAGTGTAGATAAATTCAATCAAGATACCACAAAAATTTTGTTATTGTTGAAAATGGCCTAGCTGAATCTGAGATAATTTTACTAAGTATATTAACTGTAATAGTTATGGAAATTTATTTTATTGACAATGTTCTTATATTTTTCCAACTATTTTAAAATTGCTATATTGTTTGAATTGAAGGAGTTATATTTTTAGGAGTGATTAATTTTTGGGAAAGAAAGTTTTTGGCTTTCTACTACTCCATCTTGATACAAAAAAAGGGGATGAGGGAATCTTCCAAAGAAAGGAAGGAAGTAATCAATTTGAAAATAATTAACTCTATACATGGATGTGTAGATCATGCAAAGAAGTAACTTTCAGACACAAACTGAAAGAAAGTCCTCTTGAAACAGCTACTTTCACATAAACATTGAATTACACGAAAGAATTTTTTTTTTCAAAACAAATACTTCTATATGAACACTGTTAATAATAATAATGTCACGTGACATTAAAAAATCGTAATTCATGATTGATATGTGTGTATTTTCTATAATGTTATCCAATTTGGTACTGAAGAGCCTTGGGGCAAGTGTCTTAAGGCGAAACATCGGTGTATACCAGTGAGGGTGACAGTGTTCCATGTAAGTGCAATTCATTACCATTCATTCAAAGTAAAACTCATGTGAATGATATCTGATTATTATTCCACAACGAATGTTTGAAATACAAACTGAGTAAAGAAAAGTATCTTCTGTATAATTCAGTGTTCATATAGAAGTATTTGTTTCGAAAGAATTTTTTTCTTTCGTATAATTTAATGTTTATATGAAAGTAGCTGTTTCAGGAGGACTTTCTTTCAGTTTGTGTCTGAAAGTTACTTCTTTGCATGATCTACACATCCATGTATAGAGTTACTTATTTTCAAATTGATTACTTCCTTCTTTTCTTTGGAAGATTCCCTCATCCCCTTTTTTTGTATCAAGATGGAGTAGTAGAAAGCGAAAATGCTATATTGTTATATTGCTTTTACATTTATTTACTTTATCTGTATATATTACCTTACTTGTATATTTTTAGTCTATATTTTCCGCAATCAATAAGGATATATTCTTGAGATAATAAAGTTTATTTTGGATTGGATTGAAAATGAGTAATTGATTTTCATCAAGATGGCGATGATTTTGCTTTCAACGATTTCGGCATGGATTTAATTGAATTCTATTTGAACTTTTGATTTGTTTTGTTTATTCTTGAACACGTCTTGGATTAAGGCAATATATTAATGTTTCAGATTATTTGTTTCTATAAATATCTCTGTTATTAAAAATTGCAAACTAACCTATCAAAACTCATATCCGTTTAAACAGCTTTTTGGGATTGAAAAAATACCTCTTTTTGTGTTCAGTATCAGTATATATTTTCAATTCTGTTGAAATCCCTAAAATAAACAGATTTGTTTCTAAAGCTGCTAATTCACTGGACTGATTTAGTTCGAAATTTTTATTAGTGCTTTGTTCATATGCGGAGCCATCTAGTATTCGAAGGGATGTGAAAGTTGAAATATGTTGTGGTTGTTCGTATTCACCTACCTATGTTGTGGAAGTATATGGGATAAAAAAGCCCAAAAAAAAACATTCAATCCAAAATGCACCAATTAAAATGTTTGCAACTGTTACCAAAAATGAAAAATTCAACAAAATTATAGCGAACACAAGCAATCATAGCAAATATTATATGGAGAAAGAAGTTCATTAAATGAGCCTGTTTTTGTTACGAGGATAATTTTGATGTAAATACATCAGTTATTGAATCTTGTGTTGTATACTATATCAAGTATGTCTTGTAATGTACTGTTTTCAATACATTTCTGATCATATGGTGCTACTGTTTTTTTTTATAGTGTGTCAAAAAGTTTTATCGCAGTAGAATTTATAATCTGAAGTTGTTTCTTAATTCTCTGAAATTGACAGTCTATTCAAAAATCTCTGAAATTGCTCCCCTGGAACTCTTTTCAATGTTACAATATGGAAAATTGTAACTAATTGAAGAAACTAAGAAATAAGAATGAAAAAATCTGGGACATCCTGTAAAATTCTTTGTAACATATTCTATTATTTATGTTCATCAGAACAAATCAAAAGTTGAATATTCAATATTTATAATGTTTCATGAATAAAATGTTATAACAATTCTAATAAATCCCAACAGCACAATTATAACAAGCATTATGTGTTCAAGTTGCATCATAGTGAGATGTTGTTTTGGAATTATAATTTTTGTTTTATATATGCCAGTTTCATTTATTATAGAATGACCATTTTCATAACAAGAATTATTTATGGGAAAGATTCACCAACGAGATGAGCCATTATGTAAAAAAAATGTCGTTTCCGTTAACTAGCAGTTTGTTGACCCCTTACAAACGGTAACCTTCAGGAGTCGGATCTTGTGCTTACAAACGGTAACCTTCAGGAATCGGAACTTGTGCGAGCCAAGGATTAAAGAGGTCTTACTTTCTACCGTGATATTTCTAGCAGAGGCTTGATGATATGCTGTGAAAATGAAGAATCTCACTGTTGGGATTGAAACAACATATTCATGTAGCAGTTGATTTGAGGAGTAGAACAAATCACTCATGCTGACCAAGCGACTTCATCATTCATAGTACTGAATATGTGAATGATCTCTTCAATCTTAAAATCAACGAAAAATTTAATTTGTAGATGATACCACTTTACTGTGGAGAAGACTGGATTCTTTAAGAACACTGTTAAAATAGTCTTAGAAAAAGTAAATAATTGGTGTTTTCCAATTTCAAAAGATCCTGGGAAATTGTGATATGAAATACTACATAAATTTTCTAACCACATAACCAATTGAACTTAGAAACTGAAAATAGAAGTATCAACTTCAAATGAATTTAATAAGGATATGAGGGTACTTCAGCCACTATTTTAGACCCTCTTCTTTTCATCATTTACTCAAATGATGTTGATTATTATATCTAATATATAATTTTCGTAATAGTTATTTCCAGATCTTTTGCAGAAGACTTTTATGAAGGTTGATTATTTACTATGTATGTTGTATCAACTTTTGTTCTTACGTGACACAATAAAAACTATGGCGTTTATTATTAAATAATATGAAGAAATAAGTTATTATCAATAGACTATTGATGACCAATAAAAATATTTTCGAATCGTCATCAATGTACTTAGAGATCCAAACACTTTTAGATAATTGCAAACAACAAGAATGAACAATTCAAGTTTGTTTCTAAGGGGGACAAGGAATCACACGTTAAAAGGTAAGACCTCGTTAGTCCTTAGCTCGCACAAGTTTCGACTTCTGAGGGTTGTCGTTCGTAGGGATGCGACAGCTGGTTAACGGAAAAACAGATTTTAAACAAATAAACCATTATGAAACCTTTAATTCACTAAGTGTCGGTATCAGCCTCCAAATGTTCGAATGGGAAGGAGTCGAGTAATATATCATAGAAACGTTCTTTTAATTTATGAAAACCAATCTTCTTGTTTTCAATATATGGAGCTTTGGAATGCCAACAATAAATTTCCCGAAAAATGCAAAACTTGAACGAATTTTACCTCACCAAGCGAGCTAATCGAGTAAATGCTGCCAGCAAATCTCTATACAATAATTCAGTTTATCTTCAAACTGTTGTCATAAATTTTGGAACATTTGCATTATCACTTTGTGACATACATTGAGATTTTGTCCTCACAGGTCTTCCAGTGTGTCAGGTGGGGTGCAATACACTTTGTATTTTATATGTCCGCACAAAAAACCTATGGGCTTTGACTCTTGGTACCAAAGTGGCAATTCAATTGCACTCCTTCGTTTTATCCAACAGTATCGAATCTTGGAGTTTTAAATAAATAGGCACTTTTTGTTAGTGATATTGAGGAGCACCGTCTTTTTGAAACATCATTTTCTTTTCAATGTATGTAAGATTATTCTCTATCAAATTAGAAAGGAGTAAACCCAGAACCCAGGAAAAAAAAGGTCAGAAGAGAAATTTTAAAATTTACACTATCAGCTAACACGTTCAACTTTTGAGAGTTTTGTGTGTGTACCACATGAATAACTCTTGGATTACGACAATGACAGTTTTGGTTATTAAATACGCCGTTCAAAAATGACACTGTTTTCGAAAAAAATTATTAATGTAACTTTCGTTTCGTACCACTTGTACCACTCACGCCCGTCGCAGTGGCAAATTTTCTTGTATATTATTTATAGCAATTCTACTCAATAACGCTACCTCTATAGCTTTATTGAGTACCGGCTTTTCACATTTTCTATTTTCATTTTGAAGTGATCCAGTGTCTGTAAGGGTACCATTGGTTAAATAGCTCGTCAGCTAGATATGCACATTTATTAATTTCTATATAAAGTTCAATCATGAGAGTAACTCATGAGTGATGAATTAAAAGCTCTATCAATGGTTTTTTGTATTACTGGAGTTTTTTTTTCCTTTTAGGATAAATCTGTTCCATTGAACAAACTTGACGAGTTTATGAATTTTTGCGAATAGTTCTGCCTCAGCAGTTCTGTCTAGCTGTACGTTTTTGATGGTCGCTTTTTCAATCAGTGTCACTATTTTTCGGGTTTGAAGCCCGTGAATTTTTCGAATTTCTTCTTGACGTTTCGCTTGTGCGAGTGGCTAGCTTCTTCAGAGGTTCATATATCCTCAGTTTTCTCTGATGACTGGATATTACGGCTATGTAAAGTATATTTATGTTGTCTCAGGTAGTTTGATGTGCCAACACATAGATGGCACTAGTTTTATTGCATTGACCGCTTTTTTAGTTAATACTAACCTTTAAAAGGAAGCTGTTGAAATTTCATGATATTCTACTCAAAAGTTTGTGAGTTATTGTTAGTTTGTGTTTAATTTGACACTGCTTCTTTACGGAAAAAATACCGTTCAAGCGAAGGAATAGCTTGAAAAGTGTTATGAGTACTCCGCTCTATCAGAAACAACAATTAAAAGTTGGTTTGCTGACTTCAAACGTTGTCGTAGAGACACTGATGATACAGAATGCAGTCGACGTCCAAATGAGGCAATAACATATGAAAACAAGAAAAATCCACAAAATCGTTTTGAATGATCGAAAAGTAAAGTTGCTTGAGTTAGCTGATATTGTAAGTGTATCAAAAGAACGTGTTAGCTTTATATTGCATCAGCATTTCACTATGAGAAAGCTTTGTTCAAAGTGGATGCCGCGCGAGCTCACTGTTGACCAAAAACAAGAACGTCTTGATGATTTTGAGCAGTATTTCGCTATGTTTAAACATAACAAACCGGAATTTTTGCGTCGATATGTGACAATGGATGAAACATGGATCCATCACTTCATTCCGGAATCGAAACGATCGTCATCTGATCGGTGGTGTAATATTTATTGACTATCTTGAGAAGGAAAATACCAATAACAGTGAATATTATATAGCGTTAATGTAGCGTTTGAAATGACCACATATGGCAAAGAAAAAACTTTGTTTCATCAAGACAACACACCGTGTTACGAGTCAATCAAAACAATGGCAAAATTGGGCTTAGAATTGCTTACGCACCCATCGTATTCTCTAGGTCTGACCTCCAGCGACTTTTTCTGTTCGTAGACCTCAAAAAATGCTCATCAGTAAAAAATGTCGCTCGAATAAAGAGGTTATTGTTGAAACTGAAAAAAAAACTTACCGAAAAGTGAAAACCTGAAAACACCTTGAAATTGAAAGAAAACGCTTTAAAAACACATTAAAAATATTACCAAAAAGCACTGCTATAATACAATACTACCTGTTTTATACACAAATAACAAATATTATCAAGAAACACTAAAACGATTTACCGAAATATTTTTCAGTCCCGGTCTGTCACGGCATCCCGTCCGAATAATTAAATAAAAAACAAACGCAGCCATGCACTAACGGAAACCAACTGGAGGCTAGCCTCCTCTAACGCTATAATTTCTGCAACTAAAAGTACAAATCGGGACGTATGTCGCTGGTTGGATCGGCCTCGCGAAGCTTGTGTTTTTTAAAACGGTCGGAGGCTTGGCTCCCTTGCAACGTATGGCATTTATTATTTCGGGTTGATGGTTTATTCGTTATTCGTTCATGGGCGGTGCGTTTGAGGTTTGTTGATGCAGGATACAGTGTGGTACATACTACGTATAATATCCAGTCATCGGAGATAACTCAGGATGTATAAACCTCTGAGGAAGCTAGCCACTCGCGCAAGCGAAACGTCAGAATGAAATTCGAAAAATCGACGGCCTTCAAACTTTTGCAATACTGAAAATATTTCGTATGCCAATGTTCTTTTCACCAAGAGAAAAGCATTAACCGACATAATTATAATCATTCCTGGTGTATCTTTCCCAAATTTCATCGATTAATTACACTAAAAATTTTAATCTCAATTGAAAACTCTTATAATTTTCTCAGACCCAACTCAGCGACCAACACTATACGCCAATTTTTCACTTCGCACCAGTGGCAGACACCGGCAACACAACCTTCTGCAAAACAGCTCTTTATGAGGAACGGAACCACTGTGCCTAAAAAACAAACGGACACCAAAGACTCTGACAACAAAGTGTCGCATATTTCTCGATTGTGTAACTTTCAGAGGGAGAGCCAACATCTCGCTTCTCGTAGGCAGGACTTCTGTAGCGACAGTAGCAGCAACTCAAAAATTTTCTCGCCTTACCAAACACATCAGAATCACGTTACCTCTTTGAAGGAGCAGCTTGAAGATAAATGCAAACAGGTGCGATAATATTGAATTTATTTAGAGAATGTTTTTTTAAAAAAAGCTTTTATTTAACTTGACTTGTATGTATGTTAACAAATCTTGCAAGTTTAATTTGACCCACTTCCCGGTATCCTGTTGGCCTCAAATTTTGCATGCTGGTCCAGAACCGATGACAATGCATGTTAATCATAAACGTGACCTGATGCTGCTGCCAGGATCGGCTCCGTACGAAAGTTCTCCTCAGCGGTAAATAGCAGGGACACGAAATTTTGTATACGCATTCGTTTATAATAGGCAATTGGTAGGGCCACCATGAAATAGATGCTACATCCAGGGTTGGCTTCAATTAAAAAAAATATATTTTTAGAAAAAAAATTGAATCAAGCTTTCACCTTTAAATACCTAATTCCCGACTTAAAAAAAAAGACAATAAATGGTGTAGTATGTTGGGAGAACCCATATTTATTTGCATTGTGAAAAAATAATATTATCTACCACCCTCTAAGTTCCCAGAGTAAGAGGGTCCATCACGTAATGTGAGCAACAGACACAAGAGGCATACCATGACTTGTGTAATTTGGTGAGATGGGCGTCATTAGCATTGGTCTGCAACCTGTCTAGAAGAAGGAATACTCCAAAATCAAACCCGGAACGGTGTTTCGTCAGGCACGAGTAAGCTCTAAGCTGAAAAAAGTGGCGCATCTTTCACCAAATTACGACCCAAGTGAAGGTGAGGCCGTGCCGAGGACTGAGTGGCACCCTGTTGTATATTAGCTCTCTCCCTGCTAAACGAAGCTCTGGGAGGGTTGACAAATATTTCTTCGGTACTCGTGGGAATACTATGGGAAATAAAGAAACATCAACACAAAGGAAAAGACGGTTAGAGAAAGAGAAATTGAAATGAAATCAAAAACTTGCCAATGAAAGCGTTGACTTGAAACGCCAAAGGCCTCCTGATAGAAGAATTAGACTGTTTGAAATTAACTGGGACTCGGCCATGAAATAATGACGCCATCAATGAAATGAATAGACTAAGAAATATAACAAGCTAATTCTTCTATAAGGTATGCCGGAGGAGTAGGTACCTACCTACTTCTATAGAATATAGTTTATCCTAATAATAGTTTTCCCCATTCCTTAAGTTTTTCTGTTGAAGAATTCTGCATTTTATAGATGGACTTTCGTATTGATCGATAACTATCAATTGAAACTAAAAAATATTTGATAGACATTCATAAAAATAAATTAACACAAAATAGAAATTGTGATTTCCATGATTATAACACGAGAGGATGTGAATTATTAAGGCCAAGTAGATTCACACTACAAAAATCGAAGAGGAATTCAATTGATGTTAACCTCTACAATATTTTACTTCCCCATGTCAAAGAACTAAATCAGTTCATGTTCAAAATATATATAAAAGATCTCTTGATAACAAATTGTGTATACTCTACTGATGAGTATGTAGCTGTCCTATCCAATGCAACACAAACCATTGGCTAGTAATTAAAGCTGACATGTTCTAAAAAATTTTGTTACTTGTGTGATGCAATGTTTGCTAACTCCTGAACTGTAACTAGGCGTTTTATATTGATAACTTTATATTTTTTATTCCACTTTGTGCATTTGACTTATCTTATTTGTATTACTATTGTATATCTAAAAGATTAATAAATTTATCTATCTATCTATCTATCTAAAATAAAATAATGATGAAAACATTTTTAAAACAAGCTTTTATTTAAGTGTCCTAAAAAGATCAAAATAAAATTTTAAATCACATTAACCACATTCATTAATGACTTTACAGAGTTGAAATTATAATAAAAGCTTGTCACGATAATTTCAATTTGTAATTGAAATTTTGTAATTAGGTAGGCACCTACTAAACTTGTAAGCAATTCATAATGTTTGTGATTAAATAAAAGTGCCGTGAATGCTTAACATGTGTAACTTTAACCATGAATAACTTTTTTGCAGACATAGGATTTATCAGGTTTGAAATTTATTGCAATACCTAGTTGATCTGTCAGAATGTTTTTTAATTTGAATTTCATTTGACTGAATATGTAGAGATTTCTTCTAGGCATCGCGACAAGCTTTTATTATAATTTCAATTCTGTAAAGTCATAAATGAATGTGGTTAATGTCATTTAAAATTTTATTTTTATTTTTTAAGGCATTTAAATAAAAGCTGGTTTTAAAAGTTTTTTATCATTATTTTATTTCGATTCAACCAATAGTAGTGGAATTTCATGAAATCTCGGAAATAGTATATTGTTTTATCAGGGACCTTTCAAGTAATACGTAAGCAGTATGGGTGCGCCGGGGGTCTTTGCTGTGCTTATTTTAGATGACACGGGGGGCGGGGGGTCTAGATGATGATTACGTCAGCAGTATTTATTTACTTTTTTACACATATGGCAACCCACACATTGTCTATGTTTGAAAACGAAACGCATTTTTGGGGATTCCCACAAATAATGTTTACGTTGAGGTACCCGCTCAGAACCTAGTAGGGGAATTACTAATGTGCATTATTCAAAATTTAAAGGACCACGAATTTGAATTGCTTGATGAGAACGACTAGACATTCCAAAATCGAATGAAAGTGAGTAGACACCATAAATTTTAAAGAAGTTTTTTTTGTTTGAAATATTACTTGATATTATATTTGTACCCTACTCTTTGTTGTGTCAATAAAGTTTGTTTTAATGAATATTAGGGGCCATGTATGACGTCACATCAAGGGGGGGTTCTGAAAATGTGACGACCTGTGACCAAAGACAGGGGGGTCTAAAAGTTCTAAAATTCGTGTAACGTAATTTATGGATGCCCCCCCTATGTTGTTCATGAATCAATAAAAAAAATACAATACATTAAAAGAAGCATATAACAATGTTTAAGTAAGCACGGGAGGGGGAGTAAGAGCTTTGCTTACTTTTGCTGTCAGGGGGGATGGGGGTTAAATACTTGTAATAAATATGCTAACGTAATACTTGAACGGTCCCTTGGGAGAAAAGTGATATTTTGTGTGGCAACATGTATGGGAGTCCGTCAACCACGAGAGCCACACAAAACTTATTTCTTTGAATGAAATATACTGTTTTTTTTTTCGAATGTGGAAAATGCCAATCTTTTGAAAATATCAAGAAATATTTTAGTCCTTACACTTTCAATGCCTGTGGCAGTTAATTCCATTTTTATTTTAACAAGAATGACTGCATTGATTATCGATGAGTCATAATTTTAATTTTTTCTTTTATCTAAAAATAGGATAAGGCATGCTGTTCCCCATTACCAACACGTAGGCCTTTAGACAGCTCAGCTGACGCTGCTTACCAACATAGAAGAGTGGCCAGTGAGACACGATGGAGATCACCTAGTAGTTCACCTTTACCTTTGAGAAGTCAGTTCAAGACAGATGATCAGCAGTACAATTGTGGCAATACCAGCCCCATAATTCTCCAAAGATTTTATCACCAACAGAAGCAGCAGCAGCTGGTCAAAGAAGCCGAAGAATCTGGTAGGCATATTCGAATACAAATAGTATCAATGTTTATTTCAACGAATTATCTCAATATGAGTGAGGGATATAAAAATATTCTTATCAAATAAAGATTCACAATCTTCAGTTTATTCGTATGGCTTCAAGTTGGTTCTAAGATTGTATATAATTAATAACAATTTATCGTTATAAAAATTGAACTTTGCCTTCTGTTTCCAACTTATTCATATTTTTGTCCTTACTGTTCATTAACTGTTGAATCTTATTAGTTGTGAACAATAAAGACATTTATAATTATTATTATTATTATTATAAAAGTTGGTAATACGATTTTCAATTGCACTGTTTATCCAATTCATGATTCGCAATCAATCAATCATTAATAAGTGACCCCAAGAAATATGAATGTTTAAGAGAGAGAAAGAAATACGTTTATTGACCTAAGAAAGAGTTCTTGTTGACATTGTTGTTATGAACTATGTCAAAGTAGTATAAAAGTAATTCCTAAAAGCCCATTTATATAAAATAGGGTGTCAAACACATTTTTACGAAACAAAATTAATGCTATACAATTCAAAATTGAAAAAATTTCCTTAAAAAAAATATGCTATATTATAGTGACATACAGTAGTAAACTATAATTTATAAAAAGTGCTAAACTAAACTACAATAGGCTTTATCAATCAGAATGTCGCCGAATTTTTTCCTGAAAATATTCAAAGAATAACTCTTCAGATATATGGGAACTTTGTTGTACATCTTTATTCCATTGTATATCAATGAGTCCCTCACCATTGTTTTTGTGGGCAGGGGAAGTCTGATCAAGTTAGCTTGACGTGTATTCTAGTGTGGCTGGTTTGTATCATCACGAGCAGATATATTTTCATGAATCAGACTTACTGTTTCAAGAATGAATAGAGATATTATTGTCAGAATTCGTTGTTCATTGAATAATGGTTTGCAGTGATCTTGGAACTTTGCCCCGCACACATACCGGACAGCTCGCTTCTGTAAAACAAAAACAGTCTGCAGCATACTTTTGCTGCATACTCCCCAGAAAGCAATACCATATCTTATATGTGCATCCACAAAGGCAAAGTACGCAGATCTTGCAAAGGTTCTACCCAGTTCCTTCAAAACTGACTTCACTACAAAGCAGCCAGATGCAAGTTTTTTATTCAACTTGATAATATGTTCCTCAAATTTAAGCTTATTATCAATGTGAAGTCCTAAGAATTTGGAGGACAATTTCATCTCGAGAATGTTGTTATCAAACTAAGAGGTGGGAGGAGTTCACATTTGAAGGTGAGGAGATGGGTTTTATCAAAGTTTAAAGAAAGATTATCTGAGTTGCACCAGCTCTTAATTTTTTCCATGTCTACAGTGGCATCTTGAGCTAGTTTTGTAGGATCATTTCCCTGCCACAGCAACGTTGTGTCGTCTGCAAATAATGTGATGCTAGTAGTTAGATCCAGTTGCGTTATATCATTAATAGACAATAGAAACAAGATGGGTCCTAGGATGGAACCTTGAGGGATACCTGCTTTGATTTCTCCTACATGTGAGTCGGTTGAGAGTCTTACAATTTGCTTTCGATGCAATAAGTACGATTCATGCAGATCAAAAAATATGAAACTAAATATTAACAGGAAATGAGTTTTTTCTGAATGCATGACATATAATACATCTTGATTTGAGGATAAAAAATGGTAATCACTTTATCAGGGATTTTTGGGACTTTTTTTTAAATGGTTTTTGAAAACATGTTCTGGTGATGAGATTTTTGGATTTCGTGGTATGCTATTCAAGAATGGTTTCAACTTCTTCAAATTTGTGTCTCAATTATCAGGTTGTTTCAAAAGTTTAGTCTGTTTTAATATCATCTGTTTTGGTAGCTCCATTTCTTAGTGAACATTTATTTTATTGTGTCGTGGTATATGTACTTCGTACATTAATGCTGTTCTAAGATACCGTCACAAGTATCTCATGTGTTCTGAAACACGAGTTTCAGAACACATGAGAGAAAGAAACTAAATATAAGAAACCCCACAGCTTGATTGAGACTTACCTGAATAATCGTTTCCAGAGAGTTTTTTATAACAAATCATTTTCTGAGCTGAGGCCGATTGACCTAGGTGTACCGCAGGGATCGATTTTGGGCCCGCTTTTGTTCGTTATTTACATCAATGATTTTTACAACTATATGAAGCCATGTCACAGTGTACTATTTGCTGACAATACATCCTTGATATACTCTTCTATGAATTATTCAGCTCTTGTTGATAAGTCTATGGAAATACAAGAAAAAGCAGAGCCCTGGTTCATTGTCAACAAACTCATGATGAATGAGGAAAAATCCCAGAACATGATTGTTTCTATGGCTCTGCCATTATCTGAATTCCAGTGTGTCAAATTATTGGTTTTACTCTGGACAATAGGCTAAATTGGTCAAGCCACATTTCAAGTTTGAAAAGTAAGCTATCGAGTGCCTCATTTTTACTTAGACAGCTGAAACCAATAACAAATTTCACTACGTTGAAAATAGTATTTTGCTCGCTCATACAGTCTCACATTTCTTACGGTATTCTACTTTGGGGAAATTCTAGTGATGCCCAATGCATTTTTATATTTCTGAAAAAACCTTTGAGAATTCTTGCTGGAATTGGTTTTAGGGATTCTTGCCGTGAATCATTCATCACACATGAAATTATGTTGGTGCCTTCTTTGTATGTTTATTCAAGCCTATTAGAAATTCACAAAAGGGCCCCCTTGTTTCCCAAGCAATCCAGTTCACACAATCATGATACATGTAACAGCAATTTTATTGGACCTCAACGTTTCAGGCTGATGAAATTACAAAAAAACTCCTATGATTTCACTTCAGAATATTTAGAACATGTGCGTAGACACACTTTTGACGCAAGGAAGATGCTCGCCGAACCTCGACACTTAATTTGAATAGTATTAGGTTATAATGTACCCTGTAAACTTGTTACAAATTTTTACTGTTTATTTTATTTTATAGAAAACTTTGTACCTTGCAAAACGTTGCCAAGAAAAAAAATTGTTCAAAAATAAAATTGATCCTGTTGCCCAAAAAATTATTGGATCACTCAACTATTTAACGGATTATAATATAAGTTCTGTGATTGCAGGGTAGCTTATGTATTGTTGTGTATGTATGCTTTATAATTGAAAAAAATTCAACAGATATATTTGTTTCAGGTAAAAAACGGTTTGCTTCCTATATAAAGCTGCAGCTTGGCGGCGATCGGAGCGGGAAGTCTTCCAGACATCAAAGCCCGGAACCACCTCCTCGTCTCAACAGGCAACCAAGCGGAGACAACCAGAGTCCATTGGCGATGCGTAGAACCTTCCTGGAAAACCATTCGGCAAACTCTCCTAGCTTGTCTCGAAGGTAAGTAAACTGTAACTAAAGGATCGAATGTGTTTTGGTGGAAAACAAATTGTTGGTTACTTTTTGATAAAAACTGTTTTGACTAGTAATATAATTCCAATGAACCCATCAAGTGCTACATTATGTATTTTTTAATGTTGTTTAGAGGTATCAACCCATCTTATTTCATTATTTACCAGAACGGATGCCACTCAAATATAATATTATTCTGTTTTTGAAATAAGAAATGGTGAGGAGTAGCTATATCTCAAGATATAGGAATAATAAAAACACTTGAATTTTTTGTTAAACTGGAAAATAATTTTCTTGGGTATAGGAAGACTTTGATAACTTTCAATACTATGTGGCCGTTCATTGAACTTTGTGAAATAAAGAATTCATAAAACTTCATTTGTTAAATATGTTAATATTATTAATAGATCTTGTAGTGATAATTGTGATCTAAAAATCTTGGACAAATGAAGTTCTAAAGTTTTTGACGATTTTATCAAATGAAAATAGGTAGGAAAGTAGGTCGGTAGCCGGTTGGGTTGACGTGGGTGCTTTGCCCCACTCACTCAATCGACCACTGTGTGAATTGGTGGTGCAAGTCACAAGCCGGACAATTGATTTTCACTTGCTGTAGTCCATCCCGTGGTTAGGAATCACACGATAAAAGGTAAGACCTCGTTAGTTCTTAGCTCGCACAAGCTTCGACTTCAGTGAGTTGCCGTTCGTAGGGGGGCGACAGTTGGTTAACGAAAAAACAGATTTTAAACATGAAGTCATTGTAAAATATAACAATCTTTTAGCAATAGACTTACATAATAGATTCAACAAAAAATAAAATGAGTCATATTCCTTGGTTGTCAAGCATCTGGGGCTGAACACTTTGATCCAAATTGAATAGGTAAATAACAGAGGCACAATAATCGAAGTGTAGTCATTGTTGCTTTTTCACATAATAATGTTAGATTGTATTGAAAGACTAGGAGATAAGATATCCTCACAAAAAATTAGAAAATATAGTTTATTTTTTATTTTTAATGATATATTTAGAGTGTGGCAAAAATTAAAGAGGGAATATTTGTAGGCCCATGAATAAGGAAACTGATAAAGGATTAGAGTTTTCAAAGGAAAAAAGACTTATTAAATGAACTCATCATATAAAGCTTTGGGATGTAATATGTCCTCTAAAATACACATGCTGGACTTTCATCTGGGCGTTTCCTGCAAATTTGGGTATAAAAATGGAGTTCGAAAATGCCAACAAATTATTGTTGGGCACTTAGGACCCACCAGTAGCTATATATTCACAGAAATAATAACTATTTATTTATTTATTATTTTTACAAAAATATGTTTTGATTTCACAATGTGCCAATTTTTTTCTTTGAAATGTCATTGTTTGGTGGCCCTAGTGTATCCAAAATTTGATATTAGTTTTCATGCGACAAAAAAAATTAAAATTTTGTTAACCAGTGATAAAACATCACATTCATTAGCTTTCTATATGTTAAAAAAAATCAGTGAACTTGACAATGTTGACGAGGATGACATTTTCCAGTTAGCTCTCTGCTTTGTTGTTCACTTCAACTCCATTCAGTGCTATACTAATAAAGTCATTAGCTTCCATTTATGATTAACATCTATATTCTTCATTTATTTTATTCAAACATAACTAATTATCCCATAACGTAACGCCCATTCGAATTACCTTGTGTTGATAATCACTATTTTAAAGTCTTCATATACCAGTGGTTGTAAAGGAATATTTAATTCCATTTTGCTCCATCAATAATCAACAGAATATAAACACTCTTCGAAATGGTTTCTATCAAAAAGTATCTTAGAATGAAACAGTGTATTTGCTGTCAGTATATTTTACTTAATATTTATTTATTCCCAAGAAACTACAATGGTTTTTACAGGAAATTATACAAGAAATATTCATATATAAATATATAACTTCAAAGGGAGCTATTTCAGAATTGGACTAATTAATACAAAAAAAAACAAATTAATATGATTATTTAAATTAATGAAACCAATTTCTATTTTGAATTTTTTTGTGTTGGAAAATTGGTTAATGTCATTTGGTAATCCATTACATGTAATTATTCCCTTGTAAAATGTAGATTTCCTGGAAAATACAGCAATTGAAAACTCGAAATGTCATTGTGTAATCCACAACAGGAAAATGTAATGGGAGTAATTTCTACAAAAAAATTAAAAGTCAAACATACTTCAAATAGGCTGTAATTAGGTAATTATGAAATTCTACTATTTTGATAAATAATTGAAGCATATGTTCAAATATTGGTATTAGATAAATTCATTTACAAAAAACTTGGTGTTTTGAAAAATGTCCCATTATAATGTATTACAAAAGATATGTATGTCACATTTTCCAGCCTTGAAACAATAAAAACTTCAACTAGATATTTTTGCACTGCACTTGCCAATAATTCATCTAATTCTGTTGAGTTACTTGAAGATGATAGTGAAATTTTGGATAAAAGTTATATATTTGATATCCATTTCTTTCAGGTATATCTCGCCTTCGCCTCCCGTTCCTCCTCCCAGGAGGTTATCGGAGAGCACTTCAGTACCTGGGTCTCCTCAGCACTTGAGAGCTAGATTTCGCTATACTCCAGAACCCCAGAGAAGATTATTTCAAAACCATGATATATCATAGCAGTGGGCTTCTCGCCCAGTGGCTATTTAGTAAAAATTATCGGTTTCCACCATACAACAGTCGAAAACGGTAACTAGGTAAATTCTGGAGTAGGATTTTACACACCATGTGTCGTGAGGCTACGTACCACGTAGCATTTTTTGATACAAGGTAATTTGATCTTTAGCTTTTTATTGTATCTCGCTGTTATTGAAAAGTATTGATGATCCTCTTATTCGATCAGGCAGTTGTTGACGATAAGAGACTTTTGAGTAGATAAAACTTTACACAAATATTGTGCCTATAATGGAAATGAATCTATGAAGAATGTGGAATATATCTCGACTCCCTTTGTTATATTGTTGTTGCCTTCATAAATCCATATTTGGACTTCTTTGGAAACAGGTAATGAGGTAACTTTATGTAAATGTTTTGAGATGTTGATATTATAGAAATGAGGTGTTTGTTTCTGCAAACAGAATTTGCATGAGATTCAAATCTCACCCTGTCTCACCACTATGCATTTTTTCAATATTCTCAGATAACTCCACTAGAAGTAGTTTTCTATTGCTCCAAAAGTTTCTAAAGGAAAATAGCCTTTTGTGTTCATTGACGAAATAATTTATATGGCAGTATTTCATTTTGGCTTTCTCGAACAACGAATGTTCAATTCGACAGTTTCCTTTTCCTTTATACATTTCTCTGTTTTTCAATGATGATTCTTACACATGCTATTTGATCTCTTGCCTCGAGATGAAGTTGCTCGTTACATTTTCTTCAACTGCCAAGTGTTTGTCACAGAAAGGTGGCAGAAATAACGTTAGTATTTTTCCTGTTATTTACTTGTTTTTTTTGTGTACTTCCTCACGAAGGATTTAGTCATCTTACATTGCTAGTCTTTATAGTCCGTCAGGATTTTCAGTTGCTGGTGTATTATTTATTTTGACGAGTTAGACATGTTGCTCGATATGATATTTCCAAGTGAATGTGTTCGTATCTGGCAACATGTGTTATTTTAGAATAGTTTTAAGAAGATTTTTATTGGACTGATATTTATTACGAGAAAAAATAACTCAGTAGGTTTGTTCCTTGCAAAATCGTTTATTTTTTCTGTCATTTCGTCTACGAAGAAGCTGTGGTAGAAATTCTGACTTGAGAGTTGCTATTTTGGAATTCATTTAGTTCTAAAACTTCAAAATGGTACTGTTGTTATTTGTGAAGATACTTTTTTATAGGAATCTTGAAAAATGTAAATAGTCAGATCTTTAATAACCTTCAAATCAAAGGGAAAATTCAGTACTGCTTGTAATGCTTGTAACTAGGAATGAAAATAAATTTACAGAATTTTGATAAAAACTGTAGATTTCTATACCTCGCTGAAGGATTCTATGTTGACTATAATATCAATGGTCAGTGTTTCTATCCCTTCATGGTTTTTAATGCAAGTTTTAAAAATTATCTTGAATGTTATTTTTTCCGCTATGTTTATATTAGTTGAATGAATAATATAATAATATTAAATTTGACAAAGTTGCTAATTATTACTAATTTATTTTTACGAAGGCTGTTGAATCTTAGTTTTTCTCAAAAAATAGTGTATTTGAAATGAGTGTGTTTATATTTTGAAATATTTCTAATTGTTTTTAATTGTATATAAAATTTATAGATGCAATGCCATACCTGAGATATTATGTATAGTTTGATTTTACTATTGTAAATATACCTGATTGAAATATATTTTGAGGCGAATGATATATTTTTGTTTATTTGTAAATTGGTTATAGTTTCCGAATCAGAGAGATTGTATGAAATGAGATATATAAATTTGGCTATACGATATTTTGAGAAAGATTTGACAGAGAAATGGAAAAGAATCTGATTTTCTGTAGTATCCAACTACTTTTGATTGTATGGAAGTTGCTAGTAATTTAACGGAAAATCCTGTACACTTTCTTATTTTTTTATTCCATAAACTTTGAATCAGCATCTAAACTAATATTATGAAGAAAAATATTTGTTTGTTTTTTATAGGCTACATTCGTACTGACAATAATTTTGTCAATAAAATAATTTTTGAATTATTCGCGAGAAACCGTCTGAAATCTTGGGTTTAGTGGTTGAGATTTTTGTCACTTTCAGTAATGAATAAGTTGAAGAGTATTGATTTTGAGAAAAAACCCAAAAGTTGCCTGGAATTACAATCCCGCCCATGTACTTCTGTTGGGTGTAGCGATCCGACTTCTGAATAATGACAATCACGTCATCATCATGGCAACATGATGATGATGTGATTTCTTTCTTCTCCAGCTACAGGGTGTTTTTTAATCACAATTCGGTATTTTGCATAACAATTTCTGAGCTATTCTTAAGATGAAAAGGAATCCCTGAAGACTTTCTCTTTCGAAATCCATTGTGTTACAAATAATTTTTTCTGAATATTTTTTTTCGAAATATCGATATTTGGTCAAATGGTACGTGTCAATCTGATTTAAAACGGATTTCAAGAGGATATTACTAATCAAAAGTCATAAACCCCAAAACTTTTAATATTAACTATATACAATCATAGAACTTGAACTTTGAAATATATAAAATGGCAGTGGCAAAATATGTACATTCTTATGAGAAAATAAATAAGGGTGCTATAATGAAATACAATCTTGGATCATGACCCACGTTCAACATTATCCTTCTCCTATTTTCGTTATTTTCATCTATAACAAACAGGACCCACCGAGAAACCAAAAGCTTGATTGGGATGTCCATAATCCACAGGAAGGAAGTCGACTATCGGAAGTTGGGACAGTTTCTTGGTTGTAATCTCGAAAATAGTCTCGCCTTTATCAGTTCCTGTTTTACATCCGTCAGAAATTACATCTGGCTTTAGACCGTTATTGGAGAATTCCTGATCATTTTCTCCCAGCAACTTGATGGACAAGTCGTACTTGTAAGTTTTAGCGTTATACCAAGCTATGCTGTTGATACATGTGTATGTGAAGTTCTGATGAACTTCTTGTGATAGGAGTCTCAGGAAAGCCATCTGAACGGTACCGACAGTTTCGTAAGAGATCTGAAACAGAAATAATTCATTAGAGATATGCTGTATTTTGCTCATATTGTTCATGACAATAATCAAAAATAATCTTGAAAACGATTTTTGATGTAGCACAGGTCCACCACCAGGTAATTATTTATACAAGTAATATACTGCCAGTATCAAAAAATTGTAAGACTCACACCTACGCTAATGTTACTCAAATGTATATTGATCTTGATATGAAAGATTAGTCTTGCTCAATATTTTATTAATATTGAATCGTGGCTATGTGACGTCTCCAAGAAATATAATCTCAAATTAATTTCAAATAAGTCTTAGCTGATTTTATTTGGAAATCGAAAAAGTAAACAGATTATATGCCAATAAAGTATCTCGATATATGTAAATTATACAAACTTATTAGTTGTAAATCTCCGAATATATTATGATTCTGATTTGAAATTTTATTCAAATGTTAATCAATTCTTTTGGTATTCTGAAACTTCTTCACATACAAAGACATCATTTATTGAAATTTTATTCAAATGTTAATCAATTCTTTTGGTATTCTGAAACTTCTTCACATACAAAAACATCATTTATGTCTTTCACTACAGATTCAATTAGCCAACTCCTTAGTATTTTCACAGTTCAAATATTATGGCTCATTATATGGACCTTTCATAAAGGAAACCTATGAAAATCGAATCCAAAATTTTTGTTATAGATATGTTACTGGTCTTAAGAAATATGATCATACTAAAAAATACAAAAGCTTAAATCTCTGTTCCCGTAATTGATTAGAGGAGTGAAATGTTGACTATTTCACTAAAATTTTTATCGTACAGGACTATCAAAAAATCAAAACCCACAGATAAAATTAAACCATCTTTCATTTGTTTTGACACTCTGTGAACTAGTACTGTATTGAGTTAGTTTCTGATCATTGTGTATGATGTAAATTAGGTATGCATATACTCACCTTGAAACCACCTTTCAAATTAGAATACCACTCTTTCTTCTTGCTTTCTTTTCTCCATGGAATGTTGGGCATATTGGATGTATGCACATCTGGAAATACGCAGGTCTCTCCTTCGGCTGTCATATTACAGTATACATACACAGCATCGTCTTTCATACCCAGATTAGGATCTATCCAATACCAACCTATAATCATATTAAGAAAACTGATTTACTAAATGTACTTAAAATGAAATTAAATGCATATATAATAGTGTTGTGACAGGCCTAATTAATTTATTTGTGAATTCTCAGTTCTGAGAGTGGACATGAAGAACTAAAAAACTGATGGACCAAAATAGTCTCATTTTATACTGGATGCCTGTACTCCCTTAGAAAGGGACCGTCATAATAAGTGGGAAATGTATTTTAGGAGAAATTTAATTTACATTACATACAAACTAGAGTTGAAATTACATAATATAAATAATTTTCTCACCATCAGTGTAATGTGAGTGCCCATAATATAGATCTTTGCAAGTCATGGCAGGATTTTCTTTGGTTCCTGTAGGTTTTCGGAACTTCTCTAATTCTTGTCTCATGGAATAAATTGTGCTATACATATCCAAAAACTTCACATTAATATCCTCTTTTACTAATGTCTCATCAGCCTGGAAGTCGTCCTCTTTCTTTGATTCAATTTCGTCTTCATAGTCACTACTGAAGGGTCATATATGAAAAAACAAAAGTTATTTAAATAATAGATTTCATAACAGAGTATCATGGGAATGCAAACAACCACGCATAAGTCCGTGTATTCAAAGTGGAAAATTGACAAGAAAAGGTTTTTGTTTTTTATTTCTCAATATTTGAACAAATTTGGGAAACTTCCCGAGAAAGGAAAAAAAGAAATTACAATAACAACTCTTCAAAAAGATATGTAGGTAATGCAGGTCATGTGAGAGTAGTTGTTTCAAAAGAGTGTTTGTTTTCTTGTAGTTTGGATCTGAAAGGAACTTCTATGTATGATTTACACACCTAAATTTGTACTGTAATTATTAGTTTCTTCTTTTGTTTGGATATTTTTTGATTAGTGATTGAGAAAGAGAAAGCCAAAAGGTTTTATTTTTTTGCCAAAAAACAATTCTCTCCTGAAATATCCCATTTACGACTTCGATATTGAAATTTTATAAGTCGAGATATCATGATATCGGCTTTAATCTCAAAATTCAGACTCAAAATCAAAAATTTCGACTTTGTAAGCTGAAACTTCGACTTCTAGTCACGGAATTATACGAGAAACATTAAATTGAATTATAAATTATGAAAGTGAACACATTTCTTACATAAGTTCCTCCACACTTCTTCTTTTTCTGGTTATTCCCTTATCAACAGAGGAGGTCTGCATTTGAAACAGCATTTCCGGCGGCAATAGAGGCATCTCCGCTGGAGGACCAGGAGGGCCTTGGGGTCCGACTGGACCTGGTTCTCCTTTCATTCCCGCCTGGCCATCTGAACCTTTAGGACCTGGAGGACCTTCTAGACCGGGTAATCCCGGGGGTCCGTCGTTACCTTTGGGACCGGGGAGACCTGGAGGTCCCTAAGAAAAATATGGCTTTGTAAACTCAGGCAAATTATTGTACGAGGTTACAAGTAATTCTAGAGTACCTTCATTTTAGTAGAATATTTCACTGAATTGATAAAGAATATAATTATTACTCAATAGAGAACATGCATGTGTTTTTCATCCTTTCAAATGATTGATCTGGTTTCCAGAAATCTCAAAAAGTGAAAGAAACTTCTGTGAAATCTCTGTGAAAAATTGTGATACGTTTCTCAGCACTTTCAAATGTGTATTATGAAGAATTCAAATCTATTCTTTTGATACAATATCAATTTGTTGTGATACCATATAACTGTCACAAGAACCAAACGTGTGTGTGTAATTTCAGTTCAATCGGTCGAGTTAACTGGTTAAAAATTCAGTTTCAATATTTGTCCCACACCTACATAAACAGGTTATGTTGAAGTAAAGCTTATAAAAAATAATTTTGAACTTACCGCAATCCCTTTAGGTCCTTCAGGGCCTCTTGGACCCCTTTCTCCTTTCACTCCCATATCTCCTTCGTCTCCTTTCATCCCAGGATTTCCGATTTCTCCTCTGTGGCCCTTGGGTCCTCTTCGACCACGATCTCCTTTCTGACCTCGTAAACCTTTTTCTCCAATCTTGCCTTCAGACCCTGGTATACCTGGCGAACCAGGAGGCCCATTTTCTCCCTAATAATACATTTTTAAATATGACAATTATAGATCAGAGGATCAGTGTGTAGTGTGTATGCTAGATGATGTGATAAACTTTAACTGGTTACATTGGTTACTCTTTGGATGTTGATTGTGTATAAAAGTGTAATATATTAACATTCTAATTAGTCTAAAGCAAATGGAACTTCAAACGTTCAAGCCAGTCTCTATATACCTACACAGTAGATTTAATGGAATGACGTCTATCAGAAAACAACTACTCCCCTGGCTAATACCACGAAGGGCGTTGGATTATATCCGACAGGCGTCAGTGCAGGAATCTTCACAGAAAATTTCCTGCATATGCAATTGGCAATACAACTGAAAGAGTCGACCTTCAATTATGAAACGGGCACACTTGCAGACCGATTTCGGGCTTATTAGCCACTCATCAGTGCTCCAACCTAAAGTCAATGATATTTCACAATTGAAAATCGGAATTCTTTCGGAGTATTTCATTCCTCTTCCGAAGTTGGACCGAACATCCATCTAGGAAAAGAGGTACTAACCAACTGCATATCCGTAATTTGCCCGATTCCTCTGAATAGCCCACTGACTAATAAGAAAATTCTAATTAGTGTTAATTATTTTTTTTTCAGTAACTTGAGTTACAAATTAAAACAAACACACTATAATTTCATGTTTAAAGATGGATATTCGTTCATGATGATCATCATTCTCATCAAACTAGAGGTTTATAACATTCAAACAAGAATTCTGCGAAATAATATATTTCATAAAGAACTTCTGAAAGTCTTACTGTTACGTGATCCCCAATTTGAGAGAAGTATCTTTATTGAACCAAAATAATATATATTACATCAAGGTTTATTATTTAAATGAGTTTGTTCGCTTATAGGATTTGTATAGAGTAAAGTTTATTCTGTTGTGTGACAATTCGCTAAAACGAAGTTGTGACTACTTTAAAAATATACTGAAAATGAAAACATGTATAATTACAACATGAAAATGAAATATGGTTGAAATATCAAGAGAAATTCTTCTGAGCTCAACATGATCCTTATTATAGTATATCTTTCTGAACATTTCTTAAGAGCTTGCAAAAATACATAATAGTGAAAGAATAACCGAAATGTTGCAACCAGTTTCTTTAGTTAAGTCTGAATGCTTAGAGGCATGTCAGTTGTAAATGGCGATATTTTTGAAACTCACTGAAGCACCGGGAGCTCCAGTCAGACCAGGGGCACCTTGCGGTCCTGGAATACCTTGAGCTCCTGGGGATCCCTGTAGTCCAGGCGCTCCAACAGCTCCCTTATCTCCCTTCTCGCCAGGAAGCCCACTGCTACCTTGTTGTCCTGCTGGCCCTTCAGGACCCTGCGAAAGTAAAAGTTATGTAATAATATACCTATACTAAGTATATATTCAGAGGACTATATATTATCGATGACGGAAACTAGAAACATGAATCTAAAATTCAATAACAATGACTAAAAAATGCAACGAAGATAACCTATAGTAGTAAAAATTTTATATCTTCTTGAGAGTATTTGTGAAGAGTAATAATTGAGGGATTGATGTAGGACCGCCATAGGAAAGCGAAAAAAAAATTAGAATACATGAAGAATTTAAATTTTGCCACTAGAAAAAACTAATTTGATGAACATGAAATACTTTTATTGAATTTCTCTGTAGCTTTCACTACACTTAGTTGAAACCAGAGCACACAAAGCATTCAAGATCCAACACCAAATAGCGCTGTTTCTAACCTATAGTTCTTCCATATCGAGGTCCCCAAAAAGGCGGACATTGAAAACTTAACGAGATTCTACCTGTCTCTCTCTGCAGTTTCCACTGCAAGGTAACTTGCCGAAACCAGAGCCGAAAATGTAATAGTCTTTAAGAAACACAGGAAGAATCTCCTTCGATCTTAGATGTAGAAGTTTGACTTTGCATGGGATCGCTTTCGAGAGCCTCATTTGTCTTTGATATTCGTAAATTAGGCTCTCTGTCGATCCCACTGTCGTCTTCGTAAGGGGTATGCTATCGATGCATTTCACGGTTCAGCCCAGCACCTCTAATGGATAAATGAGAAATTCGCGAGTCTCATAAATTGAGTTGCCATAGGATATCAGGATCAACGATATTGGAATAAAAATACAGGGTGTCAAAAAAAATTAAATTTTGAGTATGACGCTTATTAAGGACACTCTCATCATAAAAGTTCCTTAAGTAATAACAATATCTTGAAGTGTTTGTATCAAAATTTTTACATTCTGATCTCATTTAAGAATTCTATAACTTGTTTTCTGTTGGTAGGTAATTAGGTAAGATTTAAACTCTTCTGAGATAAAATAAATATTAAGATAACAGCTTGCAGAAAGAGTTTTGGGTCCTCGCAGGAAAATATTCTACTACAAAAATAAAAACGACGTTTGAAGAAACCAACGTTTTGGTTTTGTACTGAATTGAAAAAAGAGTGGGGAAAATTACTTGACATTATTACAGAAGTTATATTTTTTAATGTTTTCTCGTCTAATGTCCGTTTGAAGATTTCAAAATTTGAAAAGGATTTACTTACTGGTTTTCCTGGGGGACCAGTCGGTCCCATTTTTCCTGTAATGCCTTGTTCCCCTGGAGGGCCAATTTCTCCTTGTTTTCCATCATCACCATCTTTTCCTCGATCACCCTTCACTCCAGGTAAACCAGGTTCACCAGGAGGCCCCGGAAAACCAGGTGCACCAGCATCTCCCTTTGGTCCCTCTTGTCCAGGTACACCTCTCGGACCGGAAGATCCTTGAAGACCTGCCTTTCCTTCTTCTCCCTTTTGACCCGGGGGTCCGCGTTCTCCCTAAAAAGTAAGTGGTTTAATGGTTGTCCAATCATGTCAGATTTTTTGGATGTCTTACATTTTTCCCATCGTCTCCAGGTGGACCAGTTGGCCCTGGTGGTCCGTCATCTCCCTTGGGTCCTTGTTTACCTTCAGGGCCTATCAATCCCGGCAATCCCTCAGTTCCTTTGGGGCCTCTTGGTCCTTGTTCGCCTGGGGTACCCATTGGACCAGGAGGACCCTTTTGACCTGAAATTAGAAAATATACATGAAACTTTATTTCTAAATAGTTTTATGAAATTACCATAATCGCCGATTTCTCCTTTCACGCCGGGTGGTCCAGGCAACCCTTGCGGCCCAGCAGGACCCGATGAACCTGGTAAGCCCTTTGGTCCATCTTCTCCCTTAGCACCATGCCTACCCATTGCACCTGGAGGTCCTCGTTCACCCTGAGGTCCAGCGGGACCTGGCTCACCCCTAAGCCCTTGAAGACCTGGACTTCCTTCTGGTCCCTATGATATATGAGAAGGATTTAACTGTTAATCGGGAATTTTCTCGACTCAAAGTTTAACTACTATAACAATATAACCATATATGATTCAGAAGAAAACAATAACTTACTGCCTCTCCTCGTGATCCTTTGAAGCCCTTTTCCCCCGGGGGACCAATATCACCCTTATCTCCATCCTCTCCAGGTGGTCCTATGGGGCCAGGTGCTCCAGAAAGACCCCTCAAGCCGGGAAGGCCATCTCTACCAGCTATTCCTGAAATTCGACATATTGATCTACTTCAAGGCTCTTTGTGCAAATTATCAAAAACAAAATCGACAGCGAAAAAGTAGGAACTTGAAAAACCTAATGAGGAAACAACGTCACATCTATTTATCATCATATCATCACACTTATATAATAATAATTATACTTTTTATTTTTCATCAGAAATGTAATACAATACAAAACATACAAATAAAATGTTTCAACTTGTTTTATCAAATTTTTAGATTAGGTTAGTAGTTTAGGTTGATGTGACTTTTGCGGAACCTGTAAGGCCAAATGAAAATAACATTATTATTATTAGTATATAAGTTCACCACTCACTGATTTTTTTTCCAAATGTTTATGTAATAAGTCATAGAAAAAGTACTGTATTTTCTACTCTCACGACTTCATTTCACAAGTAATGACCTAAAAGGATTTCGTTCAATTTAAAAAATTCAAAGTAGTTGAAGATTCCTGAAATTTTGTGTAGAGCCATAATTTCTGACCCTGAAAAAGTTTTTTCTTCAACGTTTTGACATATTTTGAATAAAAAGAGAAGAAAGTATTCGCTATATAAGGTACTCTCGAAGGTACTTGAGGTCTCATAAATAGAAGGTGTAATCATAAGAAAGCTTCTGTGGGTGCCCTTTGCCGAGTCAGAAATTACAAATCCAATACCGGATTCCTGGACAAATTCAGAACTGGAGGCTTCTTTGGTGGCCTTGCCTAGTGGCCAAGAAAGTAGCAGATTTGGAGAAAATAAAATGGACCATAAACTCATTCTAATTGTATAAGGCTACCGCCTAATCCAAAAACTCAGCGGCACTTTGTGGAGTGAATTGCAGTAGGCCTTAAATATTAAAACAAGAAAGACTTTACAAAAAACTCAGTTGAAAGTGATATTTGGCGATAGTTATCTATATCTTCTATGCATATTGTGCTACAAATTTTATTATATGTGAAATATTACTAATCCGAAATTATTAATAACAATTGGTTCAACTATTCTAGTTTTACCTGGTGAACCAGCTTCACCCCGCTCTCCTTTGGCCCCACCAGGTCCGGGCGGCCCCGTAGGCCCTCTACGGCCTTCAGGCCCTGGTGGGCCATCTTTTCCTGGTTCTCCTTGTTGACCTTTCTCACCAACCACACCGGGAAAGCCCATGGGGCCCATGTCCCCTTTTAAACCCGGCATTCCCTTTCAAACAGAATATATAATTCATTATGTGAAACTTTTGAAAAGTTTTTTCACTTACGGGTAAACCATTATTTCCCCTGTCTCCTGGGAACCCAGGTAAGCCTGTTGGTCCCATTGGTCCTGGGGTCCCAGGAGGACCCGGTGGTCCTGGAGATCCTTCTTTGCCCGCCTCTCCTGGAAATCCTGACTCTCCGGGCATTCCGGGGGACCCAGGAGTTCCAGGTTCACCTATTGGCCCAGCTTCCCCTGCAGGCCCTTGAGGTCCAATGACGCCGGGAGCTCCAACAGGACCTGTTTTTCCTGGTTCTCCCTGAACCAAAATTTAAAGATAATATCAAACCCAAAAAATAGGCTTTCGTTTCTTACCGGTGGACCTCTCTCCCCAGGCATACCTGGAGCTCCATCTTTTCCGGCCGGACCTGCAGCACCTGGTAAACCAATGAATCCTTTGGCCCCTTCAAGTCCTGGGGGACCCACTTCCCCTTCAGGACCGGGAGGTCCGGGCTGGCCTGTGTCTCCTTTGGGGCCTTGGAGGCCATCAGAACCACGTCGACCTCTTGCTCCTCTGAATCCTCTTGGTCCCATCTCGCCTCTTTCCCCAGCCAGCCCAGGATGACCCTAAAATATGGAGTGTTATTGAAATTTTATGGAATTTCAGGTTGTTTTCGTTTCTCTCACTCTGTCACCCTTGTCTCCATCGGGACCTGCTCTTCCTGTAGCTCCTTTGTCGCCTTTTTCACCCATCGTTCCAGGATATCCTGCTAAACCCTGCAACCCCTCTTTTCCTTTTTCTCCTGGAGGCCCCATTTGCCCGGTTTCCCCTCTCGGACCGTCAAATCCCTTGAAAAATTAGACTGTTAACAGTTTTTTAAGAAAACTAGATGTTTCTTCAAATATGAAATAGAGTTTAATTAATAATAAATTCAATCAAAATGTCGGAGGATATCCTTTCATTTGACACGCACATCACGGGGTTCTATATCCAATATGGCGTTACGCCATATTGTATATAGAATAATATATTAGAATAAGAAAAACTAAACATGTTTGCAAAATTTCAGTTAAATGGTGGATAAGTGTTTCGAAATTCAGTGCAAGATTTGACCCGAAGTAACACACAAACATTGCAAGGTGAAAGTCTGTATAAAGTACCCTTCAGATAAATTTTCATTGAAAATAGGGACCATTACTGACACATGTTTGGCATAACTTCTAAACCGATCGGTATATTCCTATAAAATACTGAAATTTTCTGACGGAATCCGAATATGTAAAGCAATATATATCTTATTTCATAAAAAAAATCACTACCTTGTATATTTGAGAATATTTCAAAAAGCCTAATGCTCTAATATCTAAAACTCTTTCCAGTTTTTGATAACTTCACTACTTCATCTCACACTCCTAGTGGAAGTACTATGTGACAAACACTGTATTTATTGGGAAATAAACTTCTCGATTGATTGAAACAATCTCACCTTCGGTCCCTCAGGTCCCTCCAATCCCAGAATTCCCTGTAGTCCTTGGGGTCCAACATCTCCCTTTGCCCCAGGCTCCCCCTTTTCACCTTCTATTCCTCTATCTCCTCTTTCGCCTTTTTCGCCACGCTTTCCTCGTTTTCCTTCATCGCCTTTAATACCTCGAGCTCCCGGAAATCCGATTGAACCTTGCGGTCCCTGTGTTCCTTGCTCTCCTTTCGGGCCCGGAGGCCCAGGATTGCCGTTTGTACCTGGTAGGCCTTCACTGCCTGGAAGACCGGGGATTCCCGGTTTTCCACGAGGACCCTGGAAAATAGAAAGTCTATATTTGAATTCAAAATTATTCTGGAAAGCATGTATGACTATTAGGAACATAGTAAACGCGGAGGGAAAGTGAAGGAGAATTTAGGTTACAAGCTCTGTTGTTTCTATTATACAGGGCTGTTGAAATTCGGGTGTATGCTTGGGAATCTCGGAAACGGTGTGATAGAGGGTAGATTGAGATATGGAAAAGTTTGGGCACTACTGAATGCTACTGAAAAATTGAATCCAGCATTTTCGGTCCTGGGGTTATACGAGGATAACCGAAAATCTTCTTTATTTTCAGTAATATTGAAAATGTGTTGTTTCTTTTTTGAAATTACCAAATCCTGAAAAGTATTCCGGGCATAGTTTTTACAAATCTTCTGCCACTCTACTAGTTGATGCATCAGTTGGTAACATACTGGGTTTGAAACGCCCTGGCTGATGGAAATTATCAGCAGTAACTGAGGGTTACATAGACGACTCCATAAGAAATAAAATAGATACCTACAATTAAAAAATATCAAGCTCCATATAAGTATATAATTATAATTCCTATGCCAACAATCAAATAATTTTTACTCAGTCAGAATTCAATTTAGGCATTGATTCTATTCCTGCGATTAACCTAACAAATTATTCAAATATTTCTATTGAATTGAATGGGGTATATTTTTAGGAGAGGTTTTGGATTTCTACTTCTTCATCTTCACACAATAAAATATGGGAATAAAGATGGAGAAGTAGAAAGATCATAACCTTTCTTTCCAAATATCTATTAACGTTCATATTGATATTCATTTAAATAACGATATCGCAACCCACAAGGGTTTATTGTGGCTCAAACATATTCACACTAGACCAAATAAACCCAGGTAATTAACGAAGCCGATTAGTTTGTATGGTGAGTGGTCTTTCAGGTCAGATGGTAAGAGTACGGAACTGCCATACTCTGAAAACCTGATTCGGTCCCCAGCGGGGCAAGCACAAAGTATGTGCTATGCTGCTTCATCATTTTCCAAACAGCGGCGACATACACTGTCTTCCGACAGTCAGAGTCTCTGTATATGATGATTCAAATGACAATGACCTGTGAGAAGGCCTGTTAGATAGATCATAATGGCCAAATATTCACACGGGTGATTTACAATACTCGCCTACAAATCGTATAAACTTTTCCGATTATTATATTCTTCTTGAATAATATATTATTATTCATTTCAATATTTGCTTATCACTTCCCGAGTCATTGCAGTTATTGGAACTGCCACGAATAGCTACTGATATAATTCATAAAGAAACTAACATCCCAGTTATGTGACAAAGCTATACTAAAAATTTCATCCATTCTACCAGTATCAAATTAGTTTATCCAAAGAATTGTAAGTTATGTCGATTAAGGTAACAAGAGAGAGAATCAGGGGAGAATCAGAAACCGTAAGACACAAAGTTATTTCTATACGAAAAAATTTGTCCATTGTAGAGCTTGTTTGAGTGACATTTCAAAATTCAGGAAATTTCGATTACGTGTGTGATTAGTTTATAATCGGTGATTCTTTTTTCCGGTCAGAATAAAACAGTAACATGGTTGATTGTTTTTTTGAGACGAAGTGTCTGAATAAAATATGTAAATGTCATCTCTTACAGTTTGAAAAGTGGCAATTAGAAAGTGTTTTATGTTTGTTAAAATCGTCTTGAATAACGCCAGAAAAAAATGAAAATGAAATGGCCATTTTTTTTAATTAACACGCTTTTATTAGCTTCACCTGTATGTATGTTTGTAACTCCAGAATTATCGACGTTATTGCTTGATCTATTCGCGAGCAGATGGCGCTGTACGTAACCTCCTTGATATAATTCGAACTCACTTTACATGTATTTTTTCATTTGAAAAAAGTATATTTTAATCAACACGCTTTTATTAGCTTCACCTGTATGTATGTTTGTAACTCTCCATTTCATTTCATATTTATTCCCGTTTGAATGCTCGGGATTTGTATTTGACCGAATTAAAAAAGTATATTTTTTTTAACACGCGCGCCTGCTACCTTATTTGTAACCCTCTTTTGCGCGCCTCTCCGGAATCGGAAAATATCGATGGTCATTTTTTTAAACAATATACTTTTTAAACTGATTGATCCCAAAGTTTAGATAAAATATAGTTTGAAAAGTTTAAAAACGCACTTTTAAAGAATATCGAATTAAACATATTTATTTAATAAGCTATTCTAATATCTCCAGAACTAATCGGAATCCTCTAAATCTCAAAACATTATTTGAATGAGCTTTAAAATGGGCAACTTTTTCCTGATTCAGCCGACTTTTATTTCTCACGTTTGCTATTTTGACCTGCTAGCCCGCTTTATCTTGGACAGGTAGTATATCGATGACTACACTCAACAAATATTTCACTTGAATTATTTGAAAAGTGAATGTCACTTTGAAATGTCAATGTCACTTTTTTGATTGGCAATGGTATTACATGGAAAAAAGACAAAAAAATATTTACTTCTTATCAAAAGACAAACAAAAATATATGGAATAAAGCATCTTTTGTGAGAGAATTAATTTATTTTGATGTATAGTCACACATATCTATGGGTACTTCAGCCTGTTATTTAAAAACATTCTTAATCTTTTAAAGAATAACAAAGGCTGTCCATTATTTCAATTATATATTTTGATATAATATAATTTAACATGACTCCATACATTTTAAAAATAAATAAAAGTATATACAATCTACAAAGAAACTACAATTTCTTACAAACATGCCATAACATTAGTATTTGGTATCACCCAAAATGCAATAGATTGTGGAGACATTGTAACAAAGGGAGTCAGTCTCTTTAAAACTGGCACAAAGATAGGCAAAGTATTATTTGGCAACATCTTCAGTGGCTTGCCATTCAGAAGAACTGACTTGGACTGTAGGGCTTCAGATGTTAGTTCAAAACTATAAACTTTTGAAGGTGCTTCAAAATTATCTGAAAGAAGCCCATTTATTCTGATTTTTGCTACATTGTCAACTAGATTCATTCCCATAATTGTTATGGAATTATTTTGTCTTTCAAATAAAGCCCTTTTTGTACAATATACATATAGTCTAACATATGGTGAGGTAATTGTATAATATGGTACAACTACTTCTCCAATAAATTTCTTGTGAAGTACACTAAGCCACCAATCAGGATTCGGGTCATAATTATTATCTAAAAGTGCATAGTTTCCATGAAAAATGGACTGCCTCATTACTACTCTCACACCCATCTTTGCAGCTAATCCAAGTTTGTCTGCCCATATGAAAGACCCAATGAACGAATCTGATAAGTTTGGTGCACCGCCACCATAGGCAGACGAAGTCTCTCCTAAGTAAATGTCTGCTTTTCGGTTGGGGGAAGACTTCACAATTTCCTTTACCTCTTTTATTTGGTGTTTCAAATAATCAAAAATCTTCGGATTCAGAAAGTCTTGTGCTTGAGCTGTACGGCCATTGATATAATACTGATGCCACGTTATTGCATTAATGGTATTAACTGAATTTTGTAAAAACTCCTCCAAGTACAGTTCACTCTCTTTGTGATTTTTTTGGGGTCGAGTTACATCTGGTCCAATCAACAATGAATTTTTGTAGAATGGATATTTGTTCAAGATCTTTCTAAGCAATGCAAAGTCTCGGGCCATTTGTGTTGCATTCACTACTTCATTGAATTTATGTTCAAATGAGTTTGGCTCATTCCCAAGTTCCCAGTTGACTTTTAGTTTATGGTAATTTGAAAATTCAATCAGATTTCTAGCATTTCGATAATCCCATGAACCATTCCTAAACCTAATTAAAGAGTTTAGGTCAAAAAATATTTCTAAACGAGCATTTTCTGCTAATTTTGTAAGTTGTAACCACTGCAAACCAGTCATGGTATAGTTTGGAATGTTGTAATTGTTGAGACCCTCATAATACATTGTTTCATAGAAGTTTTGAACATTTTCATTTATTTGGTCACTAGTTGAGAAGAATAACTTATCGGCTAAGGTTCCTCCTACTCTAAGATATCCAGGGGATAAGTACTGCATCATTCTTATCAGCTTCATATTAGTTGTATTGAAGTTCTTAAAACCCATAGCGATCACAAAACTATCCAGTGTCACACTGAGGAATTTCGAACTAGTTCTGAAATGAGCCCTTTTCTTGCTTTCTATGAATATTTCTTGAATTGGGGTCGATGATTTCTTAGGTATTATAGAAGTAAATATAATGTACATTGATAATATGGTTAAAACTAATGAAATACAAATGATGATACATATTTTAGCTGGTGATGCGAAGGTATGATATTTTAAAAACTTTTCTTCTAGTCGGTGAACCATTTTTTATGCTTGGTATTGTTACAATTTCAGGACTTTACCTAAATTTCCGGCCTGAATAAAATTTTCGATGTTTAAACTTTTTTCCAATGTTGCCACTATGTGTATTCAAATTTCATATTTTGTTGGCTATATTGAGGCCCATCGATTGGATATATCGAAAGGTTAGCCAAGTGTTAAATAAAAGTAAATGAAATACTCAGGGTGGTAGCATTGCCTCTTAAAAGACAGCTGCGCCCTCGGACGAAGCTTCTATTCACTATGAACAGGAGGAGTCTGCAAAATGCGCTCGAATGAGAAGCAACGGTCATAGAAAGGGCCATCAAGATAAACAATAATATTATTGTAAAATCGTTTGAAATCTAAATATGCTGTCAAACTTTAAATCGCTGACGTTCATTGGAATTGTTTTGCAAATTATTTCAAACAGAAATAAATAGTAATATTCTGTTTGGTACACTCGTTTTAATAAATAAACATATTTTTTGTGTTTACTCAATTATTAAATATTTATTAAACCATATATAAAATTTTTGGAATCCACAATTTATTCAAATTGTCTCTAACGATATAAGAACATAGGCTTTCACAACCGGAGCCATCATTGAAGAGAAAACGCGGGCTGGTAGGGCGTGGTTAACTGCTACTGGACAGACATCGTCAGTGGTATATGCGTTGACTGCGAGGAAGAAGGTTATACCTCGGAAGTCTGTGCAACGACTGAGTTAAAATGAATTATCATAGTAAAAATCATTGAATGTATGCAACATACTGATACACCAGTCGTGGGATTCATTAAGTCTTATCCTCGAGCAGTACGGTCGTTGACATACTACCACAGTACCTATGCTTCAGAACTATTTACAGGAACGTTCTAGCGACTTGGCGTTCAACAAATCCAAATAGTTCGAGTTGAATGATGATTTGATGAATACAGAGTTTCGATACGACAATTGACTCTCCGTAACTTTTGAAATGAAGTATTCTTTGGCAAAGTGGTGCTGCATCCATTTGGACTTATATTCTATATCACTAATCTTTCTGTTGGGGAACTCCCTATCATCAACATATTCAATGATAATTCTTGAATTATGAGGAAACACCATCTTATCGTCATCAAATTGCTTGATGATTCAGTGCAATGATCTATTTCATTTTGATGAAATTTACAATTTCCAGAAAGGTTGATTGCGTCACAGAATCAATTATTCTCAGAAAGTTTTGAATTTAATCAAATAAGTCATTGGATTCATAAATGAATGGGTGAATATTTTTCTTTGAGTATATACTACTGAAAGATTATTGTCCTCGAACATTTTAACTAGTTTGATTATTTTGCTAGTGTTTATCGACCATAAGCCAAAGATCGTCCAAGCATAAAACCACAGAACTCATCTTTGTCGTAGCATATAATTATAGGTTCGTTCCAAACTTGAATCACCAACAGATTTCTAACAGTTTGTAAATCGTTGTCAACGCGCATGTCTGGTAGATATTGGTTTCTGATTAATTTGAAATTTCTGATTGGAACAGCTGACAGCTGATAGTTCAACTGAAGTTTGGCATGGAATTTCAACATAACCTTTAAAAATAAATCTAATCAAGTGTATTTCTGGAGAGTAGTAGTAGTAGTAGTAGACTTTATTTTAGGAATCCTAATATACAATATATAGTTATGCATATATGAATAATTTATATACGTATATAATTTTACGGTGTGTCATGTATTACAATTTGATATATCCTAATAATAACTTTTTGAATACTTTTAAGGAATTTACATATTTTATTTCATCAGGTAACTTATTGAAACTATCAAGACCTTTAAAGAACAATGAATTCATTCCACGCTTATAGTTTGTTCGGGATCTATAAAATGTATTTCATGTTCTTGTGTTATATGAATGAATGTCACTATTTCGAACTAAATATCTGCTAAGATAAGCTGGTTGTATCCCACTCGAAACTTTGAAAATAAAAATCATGCTCAAATAATACATTCTTTTATGTACCGGCTGCCATTGTAGAGTATTCAACATAGATTCAATAGAGGTATACTGGTTGCATCTCAAAATGATTCTCATACCTCGATTTTGTAGTTTCTGCAACTGTCCCATTTGATTTTGATTGAATAGATACATCAGTGTGGCACAGTAGTCGAAGTGTGGCCTCATTATGCAGTTGTAACATGTTAGTCTAGCAAAGGTTGATAAAGATTTTGAAATTCTAGAGAAAAAATACTTTTTCTTACATTTCTTTCTAATGGTATATTCGGCATGCTTATTCAAATTTAATTGATGGTCTATAATGAATCCTAGGTACTTAATTTCATTTACAATTGTGAGTTGATTATTGAATATGCTGATATTAACGTCGTTAGTATCAATCTTTCTTTGATTCGAATTTGTTGTAACCATCATTGCATTAGATTTATCGATATTCAATTTGAGTTTATTCACTTGTAGATATAATTCAATGATCTTTAAAGATATATTGATATTTTGTACAGCTTCTTTTAAATCACAGTTTTCCGTATATACAAGGGTATCATCAGCAAATAAGAGTAAAAGAAGGTTGAAGTATTTTATATCTCTATTCTATTTACTAATCAACATGGAACTGGGAGGTAAAAGTGGGTCACCGCAATAATTAATTTGTGTAATTAAAGATGTTCACATTTTAGGTTCACTTAAAGAATTCCTAATTTTTCCAGCGCCAGCAAATACATAATTTATTTTATTACAATTTTTGCAGGTTATGTTGTTTGCAAGTTGCATGAACATAAAACAGAAACAGTAATACGGAATACGCACGCGTCAGATTAATGGTTAGAAGATAATCCTCAAACCATTCTGATAGATTTCGAACAGGTTTGAATCTTGGATGGAACAGAAAACTGATAGTTACTAATGGTTGGAAACTCACGTTGGAACGCAATCACATTACTGCGCACAATCCTGACTGTCAGAAACTGTTTCTGACGCTGGTTGGAACGAACCTTATGAGTTCTGCATGCCTCTGAAAATCTAACCTTGGAGCATGTGCAAGGAGCATGCGCACATATAAACGGTTCGAAATGTGAATGTATTACTAAGTACACCATATCATTCGGAATAATTTTTTGTTGGACACTCAATATATTTTGAGTTCGGAAAATTTGAATTGAGGATGAGAGGTGGTGAAGTTATATGATTCTTTCAAGGTTGCCTATGTCAAGTCCTAAAAATTTTATGATCTCTCTTATTGTCCCATATAAACAATAATTTTGTAGAAACTATAATAATTCACCATCGAAAGCAATGTTTGAGTTTTATGGTTCTTTCCAGGTTTCCTATATCAAATCTGAAAAATTCTATAAGCACTCTTCATTTCTTATATATACGAACAACGACAATTCAATTTTAAATTGTTCACAATCCAGAAATATTACCTTTGGCTGAAATTATCTAGGTCTAGTGGCGGCTCTAGGAAAATAAAATGTTCATACCTACTACAAATAATACATAAACATTCTTGATAATTCAACATTATTTCTAAACTTTTATTATTATTGTAATGATAATTATTATTATGTATTCTACTTTGCAATAAATCAATATCGAATTTTTATATAGTATCAAAATACTGCAGAAAGTAAATCACAATAAGTAAACTAGAAAAATTATTGAAGAAAATAGACTTGAGCTTTCTTTTCAACATAATATAAACGGTATAAAATAAAATATCTACTGACATCTCTCTAGTGGAGTTTGAAACTCAAACATGAAAGTCGATTTATGTTCACTTCGATGTAATTTAGAATTAACGTGGGATTCTAGTTTAACTTATACTTCTCCATACAAGATGACGATGAAGATTTGGTTTTCGAATATTCACCATTTATAATAATTTTTGGATAATAATGTTTAGTATGACAGCATGATGTTGCTGTTAAATTACTACTACATTCATATTTTTCTAATCTGTATATTGATGTCTGATAAAATTTATATTTACATGAATGTTGAGAGAATTTTCCAATTAGAATTGTTCTGGAATTGGAACCTACTTTTTTTGGTATATTTCTTCCATCTGGAATTTTGGGAGTAGATGATATGATACAGAACAGAACATGTTTATAATAGGTACTAAAAAATGTGTTATGAGTTTTATAATACAATATATTTTGTGGATGTATATTTAAAGCACAAAGCATAATCACAGTAAGTATATGCATTATATTTTTTTTACATAATGTTTATATTAAAAAATGAAAACAAAAATAATTTCAATGTTTAAAAATATGAAGCCCTAATACAACATATAGAGTAATTATAACACTCACCATGAATCCAGGAGGGCCTAGTAATCCTTGAGGACCAGGTGGTCCTATAGCACCATGGGGTCCTGGTTGACCAGGTTGACCGGGCTGTCCTGTTGGACCTGGGTGTCCTTTGCTCCCAGGTGGGCCTTCATTTCCGGGAATTCCTGGTGCTCCAGGTAGACCAGGAATTCCTCTTGGACCTGTAAAACCTCGTGGTCCCTGAAAGAAATATGTAATGTACTTTCCTTTACTGATTTCTATCACGTTGTTTTTGAAAAACGAATCAAAGGGTATACCATTTCTCCTGTTAGACCAGGTGAACCAGAAGGACCTTCTTCTCCTTGTATCCCGTCATGACCAGGCGATCCTTTCTCACCTGGACTTCCGAGTGCTCCTCTATCACCTTTTTCGCCAGGTAGTCCCGGAAGTCCAATCAGCCCTTGTTCTCCTTTATCTCCTGGAGGTCCACTAGGTCCTCTTTCACCATCCCTCCCAGATCTTCCTCTGTTTCCTTCCCGGCCCGGAGGACCTGTAATTCCTCTTATACCAGGTAGGCCCTGAAATTAAAAAATCATTTTGTTTCCAATGAACTGTTACAGTTCGTTAGGGAAATACAATGAATTTGGTAACTCAATTTGCAAACTTGTAATCGCTTGATTGTGAGAATATTAGTTGAATTCCAAATAGCTACTAAATATTGCAAATTTGAATTTATCAAACATCAAAATTCGACTGTAACATTATGTTTTATTATTTCAGAATCCTTCCTATTTTATCTGTAACTTCTATGACATAGGACAAGATGGCTTTATTTTTTTTCGTGTTTGTATTTCCATAGTTCATAGAGCTTATTTTTGCCTTATAATTTCTTATTTATTTATATAATATATGCCGTCCTTTGAGTTTTTGAGTTTTTGAATTTTTTGCTAACAACTGGGAATATTTTGTCTTGATTCAAATAAATTTTACTTATTGATGACTTGAAAATAAATAACAATTCAACGAAAGAGGGGAATTAATTCATCAAAACCATAAAAAAGTTTCAAAAACCGATACAGAGAAATTTTTGTGCGTATGGCCCACAACCTCATTACCGATGGGAGTAGAAAAACTATATTTATGCGGCTCGAGAAAAATAAAAAGAAGATAAATTCGCATTATGACAACTTGTCGGAATTCTGATAAAGTTTACTGGAAATAATGAATTTATTAAATTGCTTTCATTTCCTACACTACTATGCTTCCTCTTATATCATTGAGACCCGGAATAGTTCATTTGTTACCGTGGAAATGGAAAATGAAGTAGAACTGAATTAATGTGAACATTCTGTGAACATTCAAATGTATAATCGCAAAATTTCACGAAATGAAATTTGAATCAGACTTCACCAAAAAAGATTTTCATTTTTGAAACTTAACATTACATGAATTCATTGAATGAAAAGAACGAGTGGGTATTAGAATTTGGTAGAATACACCCTAGAAATTGAATTGTTGGCCAAAAATGTGACAATAGTACAATTAGAAATTTCTGTCATTTTGAAAATGACAAAAAATTAATGTGAACCACTGATATATATGAAATTTCGTTTCAGGAAATGACAAAATCATTTTTCCAATAAAGAAATCATATGGGCATCTCTTAAAAATAATTTATTGAGAGATCAAATTTGGTCAAAAAGGATGAGGATTTCCAAAATAATTCCCTCTCAAAAAAGAAGCACCCTTCTGATTGAAATCATTCAGTGCTAATTCTGCACGTATGCCACTGGAAAAAAATGGAAAATTATTAAAGAGTGTAAATTTTCACGGCCGGAGATAACTGTATTCAAAGCTATTTTCCGGTTTTTTGGCTGCGGTTTCGTCTTCTACTGCGGTAGACATTATTAAAGGCGATGAGGTAAGTGCTTGAGTTGCTGAAATTTATCTCTAATTGTTTATAATCATTGGTGATCTTGGTTTCATTTTTTTATTTGCATTGAATGATCTTGTTTGTATAGATTCAAGGCCAAGTAGCCAAATTTCACTAATGTTTATTGCCTCTTTCTATAATGATTTAGAAACAGGTACTCACAGTATCTCATTCGAAGCTATGCAAATGCTTGATAACACTCAAAATTACTATCCAAGAATATGTAGAGACGCAATAAGGATTCGGAGACAGGGACAATTTCAATAGAGGCAATGAACACCAGCGAAATCTGGTTACCTGTCCTCAATAAGATCATTTGATCTAATTGAGATAAACTAAACCACGCTCACCAACTATAATATACACTCGAAGACAAATTTCAGCATTGTAGTTTTTGCGTTCGAGCACTTCGACCGTTTCCTCATCACTTTAGATAATGTCTACCGCAGTAGTAGACGAAACGCCAGACATAAGAACGTAGGTACAGACCACGGCCATTTTGGAGGTATTTTCCTCCCATAATTTAGGGTTAAACCAAAATTAAGATAAATATATGATTTTTGCCAAAAACATCAGTACTTTGTTGTTCAGAACTTCATGTGAAGTTTTTTCCCCAAAATATAAATTAGTTAGGAAGTTATTAAATACACCTTGTATATCACATTGTACTTTGTTCGTATATCTTTCAATTCAACGTGAGAAATCATGTCATTAGACACTTTCCGAAAAGAACTACTCTGGAAAAGTATTTCTAATGTAATTCATTGCCCGGAACAATTGTGAGAGAGGAAACCACATTGACGCTGATCAAGGTATCCTCGAGAGTCAGTGTCAAGTACTTGGTATTTGGAACAACAGTTTTCGAGTTTTTTGAATACGACCACGAACCACGTGATTCCAATGTGTGGTTTGAGAAGCAAAGGTAAGTGTTTTTACCAGTTCATCGAACTAATTGAACTCGTAATCATGCCAATGAAGTCTCAGAGAAGGTCAGTGAAGGCTTGTTCAATATCTCATCAAGTAATATGAGCCAACGTCAGGAATATGAATACTTATGATCTCAGAGAGAGAAAGAATGAGTTTTCCACCCCTGAAGATGCTTATGTCTGCCAAACGTTGAGAAACTCAAAATGAACAAGAAACTGAAAATTCAGTATGTTATTTAATTTTTGATTTGAGATTTCAGATATATGTTGAATTGAAGTAGCGAAGAATCGTTTTGTTGGGTATTGAAACAGGTCTAAGACCAGTAGTGGAATATCGTGACTCAAAATCTACTGATTGGAGTGGTAATAAAAACCCCTTACAATCGTACTTTGGTGACGGATTCATTTGTTATTCACAGTTGTAATGATATGGATACAGTAGCAGAGCAATTTCACGAAAAAGTGATCTTATCCTATCACGAGAACTGTCCACTGAGGATTAAAAGAGATAACCATAACTCTTCTTGGTGGACAAAAGCCTTGAAGAACAAAAAAAAAGAAGTTCGAAGATTATTCAATTGAGCCAAAGAGTCAGGCAACTGAGAGCTTTATAAAACCACCCTAACGACATACAACAAGGAAATTAGAAAGGCAAAAAAGGAAGTCTTGAAAGAAGTTCTGTGAGAGCATCTCTGATTCATCTCGCAGCAAATAATTCACAAGATTTTCTCTCTCTATAGAACCGACTGCTGAAATTGGGTCGCTTAAACGACCCGATGGAACATTTACGATCTCTAGTAAAGAAACGTTAGAGCTTTTGATTGAAAACTTCTTTCCTGGAGATCTAACTCTTGATAACAACAGCTCTCCCATCTTTGAGAGCGCTAAATGCCCAAAAAAGAACGATTTGGAGAGGCTAGATGGACTGCATATAGCATATAGATGGACTGCACAATATCAATTACACAAATCAGTCTGATGCAGAGTACAACAAACTGATGGTTGCCACTGGAAGTCACAGCATTCTGGAAGTGACATCTGACTCCATGCCTCCAACTGTCAACTACGAACTGTCTTATAACGTACTGCTCCCTAGCAGAGAAGACTAGATCCTTCGGGAGAAGAAAATATTGAGAGTAGATAGTTGTTGGTTCACAGATGAATCAAAAACACCTTCAGGTTCTGATGCAGGTGTTTTCAGTCGCAGACCCAGGAGGGATATCAACCTGCCTAGGAACCTATGTGAGTGTATTTCAAGCAGAAATTCATGCAACAGGTTGTCTGTGGTCTTGATTCCTGACCATACTGGCCTGAAAGGCAATGAGGCTGCTGACACCCTTGCAAATGAGGTGCTGCAAGCAGCTTCATTGAACTAGAACCTGTCATTGGCACCTCTTTAGCTTTTGCCAAACAAAGATTGAACACCTGAATGGCAAGAAAATTTATGGACTTCTGGCAGAATCTTCTAAGATTGGTTCATTCCAAGGCGTTTATTCACCCTTTGAAGCTTGATACCAAACAGTTGTTGGACTACAGGCCTTCTCATAGGTCACTGTCATCTGTATCATCATATGCAGAGACTCGGACTGTCGGAAGACAGTGTGTGTCGCCTCTATTTGGAAAGTGATGAAACAGCAGAGCACACACTTTGTGCCTGCCCCGCTGTGGAATCAATCAAGTTTTCAGAGTTTGGTAGAGCCGTACTCTCACCATCTGACCTAAAAGACCACTCACCATACAGAGTAATCGGCTTCGTTATGAAGCTGGGTTTATTTGGTCGAGTGTGAATAGGTGTGAGCCACAATAAGCCCTTGCGGGTTGCGGTGGGGGTCAAATAGACCCAGTCACTTTTGACCTAACCTAATCTAACCTAACACAATGGAATATTACTCGAATACTTCATAGATTTTCATCAAGTATTGGCCAAAACCATTACTCGCAACATCAAGGATTGAGTAATCAACCCTATTTTCACATAATAAACATAACACAACTTTTATCGAAAATATAATGAATTCCCGGTAGTAAGACTGAAGGAAACACAATATTCGAAGAATTTAATTGAAACATAGATTCTGCTCTATACCAATCAAACAAGAGATTACTTTCCCATACCATCCTATATCTATATAGTGAAAATCTACTGTATTTCATTGTGGTATGAATTTTCTGAATACACAAATCTGACCATACATACCGGCTCTCCGCTATCTCCAGGTTCTCCTTTGGCTCCTTCAGGTCCAGTAGGGCCTTGAGGTCCAGGTACGCCGGTGAGTCCCATTGGCCCTTCGATTCCTGTCATCGCCGTCTTTAACATTGCGTCAAATAACTTCATTAGTCTATATTTATAATAATTGAGAAAAATGTTATATATTTACCATATGCTGTGCCAACATTTGCCTGTATGATTCTGCTTGTTGATCTGGGCCCTTTTCGTTTCCTTGAACGTTCATCTGAAATATATTTCTGAGTTAATATTCTGAATTACAACGTGTGGAGGGGTTTTCATCTACGTTTCGGAAATATAGACTATAAAAGAACTATAAATACTTATAATTCTACACCTGCGGAATCAATATGGCTGAATTAATAATCGGCAAGTAGTCTATATTCTTTTCATAAACTACACCTTACGATTTGATCTTCACAAACTTTATTTTCAAAAATATATCACGACACAGTAGCTTTTTCGTTTATTCATCAATCTATCCAAACAGGCTGATTAGCCTAATTATATGGATATAACATAAAGAAAATATATAATTTTAATTCGTACATGATAATGATACATAATAATCATTGTGAAAAACGACCCAATGTCGTACTTGAAGAATATTACAGTAACTTCTGCTTTCTTCTTCGCACCTACGGATATCTATGAAATAAAAGAAATGTTTGGTGAAATCAAAAATAAAAATTCGGTGGGGTGGGATGCCATTTCCTTAAAAATTCTGATAACTCTTCCTGAAAGGGCTTTGAGTGTGTTGGCGGAGGCAATAAATTTCTCATTCTCTAAAGGTATGTTCCCATCGTGTCTGAAAATTGCCACAATTATTCCTCTACATAAAGAAGGCGATCTTGGCAACCCAGCTAATTTTAGGCCAATTGCTTTGCTACCCGTCTTCTCTAAAATTATAGAAAAACTGGTAAAAAAACGAGTAATATCCTTCCTCGAGAAAAACAAGGTGATAAATTTATTCCAATTTGGCTTTCAGTCTTCAAAAGGTACACAAGACGCCATATTTTCACTCATGGAAAACCTGTACACCAATCTGAATGACAGAGAATCTGTGGCGGCCATGTTTTGTGACCTAACCAAAGCCTTCGATTGTGTAGACCACATGCTGCTTCTTCGCAAGCTGGAAGTTTACGGATTTAGAGGATCGGCATTACTTTGGTTTGAGACGTACCTTTCTCATCGGCGGCAGAATGTTCTATTAGATGGAATTTCATCAGAGGAACGCTTCATTGACAGTGGGGTTCCACAAGGTTCCGTTTTGGGACCGGTGTTGTTTCTCATTTATGTCAATGACTTGGTCCATGTTAACATAAGTGGTAAATTCACATGTTTCGCTGACGACACCACTATCCTCTGGCATAGCAATACATCCTCCAATTTACTTGATCAAATCATCGTCGACATAAGAACGGTTAAAGAGTGGTGTGATTCCAATCTCTTATCATTGAACATCGATAAAACAAAGGTGATCACGTTTAGATGTAACATAGGGGAAGTACACTTGGAAAATGTAAAAATAGAAAATTTGGAGAAAAACAAATTTTTAGGGCTTTTCATTGATGAAAATCTAAAATTTGATTTCTATGTCGACTACTTATGTAAAAGACTAGCAGCAGGATGTCATGCAGTGAGAGTTGTTGCAAGAGAGTTAGACACTACTATCACAAGATCAGTTTATTTTGCACAAATTGAATCCTATTTACGTTATGGAATTTGTTTCTGGGGAAATTGTGCAAAATTTCGTTTCAATATGGTATTCTCTCTACAAAAAAAAGCCATCAGATATTTATGCAAGGCTAGCTACAGGGATTCATGCCGCCCATTATTTGTGAAGCAAAAAATTCTGACCTCAGTATGTCTTTTTATTTTGGAAACAGTGTGTCTTATCCACAAAAAATATAAAAATCAATTTAGGAACACCGCAACTTATAGTACACGTCAGTCTTACTCCGTTTCCCTTCCCACACCTTCTCTAGCCCTTACACAAAATTCTATTATTTTCAATAGCAAGAAGTTATTTAACCACCTTCCCATTAATTTAAGGCGAATATATAATGGAAAGAAATTCAGAAAGAAAGTGAAAGAATACCTTATTGGGAGGCCCTATTATAGTGTGGACGAATTCTACCAAGGATCTATCGAATAATTGACATGTAGCTTTGTGTAAACAAGTTATTGAAACCAACACAAAATGGCTATCAATGTTCATTATGTAGAATTATATATTTACGTTTACTTAATATTCATAAATTCATGTACTTGTATTTGTAGCTGTTCAGCTGGACTTAATATTGTTCTGTCCATATACTCTGCTCCGGTGTTTAAGCATTATTTTATAGTTTATATTTGTTAATTGTCCCTTATACATGTTTTACTTTACTAAACTTTGCCAATAAGATGTTTATATCTTGGGTAATAAAGCATATTTTGATTTGATTTGATTTTGATTTAATAATAACAATACAATGTTATCATAACCGTAACTGTCAATATACAACAACCACAGGGAGAAATTATACAGAAATATTAATAACCAAAAAGTAGCATCTTCATTGATATTCTACTCAAAATCAGGAACTATATTCCCCACAACCGTATTATCTGATAATGCCAATAAAGCCACAATAAAACCTTTGAAATCTTCACGAAATAAATCTTTTGAATTATCGTACTGAGAACCTAAAGTAAATTTGTAAAAATAAAAAAAAACATTAGATTTGAATACACTATACAAACAGAAAATTTGTTTTATCCATTCGATGACAAAGTAATCAAAAATTTCAATCACGAATTTCACGGAAATCAATAATATCCATAGTTATAACAAAATTATCATATGATTTTGGAAAAACAGAGGCGTTTTGCAGCGAAATGATATTTAATATAATCTCTCCATACAATCGAAGAATGCACAATCTTATGGCGAGTGTATGAAGTGATAATCATAATGTTCCAGACAAAGGAATGGAAAGTTAATCAGCTGAAGCGTGCGTGTTATTGAGATTCCCGTAACTCCATTATGACATTTTATCATTACCGAAATAATTTGGCACCTACGTTCGTCAACAAATTGATTAATCGAAAATCTATCAATAAAAATGATTGACAGTTGTTTATTAACTATCGGGCTGGAACACTTTTAATGCCATCCAAACATTTCCGAGAATTCACCTAAAATTGATTCATCTAATTGAGTGTCACCAGAAAAAAATGTAAGAGAGATTTCATTGGCAGTGAAAGCTCTTATAATGCAGTCAATACCATATCAAATTACTGATTGATATCACCATTCCAGTTAATTAGTGACGCTTTCTACGTGATACGTATCAGTTTAATTAATATTCCAAATTTTTCGAAGGGAATGCAGAGACGAATCAAGTTCACCTGATTCTAATAATAATAATTTTATTCGTAATCTCGACCCCGATTTTGGAAGGAATTTCTATGTTAATGGATTTACTATATTTTAGCAGAAAATGAGATTGAAGTGAATGAAGTTTACCACCAAAGTAAGTAAGTTTATTGACTAGGTACGTTACATACTCAAATATGTTTGTAGCAAGTCATTTACAATTAAAATGAATCATGAATATTGGACAACACAAACATTTTGAATATTAGATAACACAAACATTTTAAAAATGATCTAAAATATCCTGTGGTCATAAAAAATATCTATGCAATATCAACACAAAACTTGGACCAACCTACAAATGAGAAAAAAAAGAAGAGGAACACATGAACTATTGTCAAAAATAGGCTAAAGAAATATGTTCTGAATATTCATTGACTGAGTAAAAACAGTATCTCAAAAGATAGTTTTTCACGGTTTTCTTAAACTTAGATTGACTGAGAACTTTAAACTCAAGAGGAAGACGATTATACAAATTATAGTCCAGGCTATTTTTTAGACATCTTGTTGAACGAAATCGTTCTGTTCGAACTGAATTGGCATTCCAAGGAACTCGGCTTTTTATGAATTTATACTAAAATTGCATATACAGGGTGTTTTGCGTCAAATTTTAAGGGACTATTCCTTGGCCTATTCTAAGGATATTTTGTCCTGTGATGATTTTTGATAGGGCGCTTTGTTTCGAAGATATAGAGAGAAAAAGAATTTAGACAATAACAATTTAGTACCAAAAATTATATGTATTGTTTCTTTATCTACAAGAATTGATGAAAATGACTACCACCCGTTTGGATGCAAGAATCGAATCTTCTCCTCATCGACTCCCAAACCCTTTCACAAACACCAGGATCGTTTCTCATTGCATTACACCCAGCAATTATCAGATTTCTCAAATCTTTCACATCTTCCACTGGAGTAGTATGAACTAATTATTTTAGGTGGCCCCATATACAATAATCCAGGTGTGATCCGGTGATCGAGCAGGTCATAAGCGAGGTCCACCTCGACCAATCCAGCAATCTCCGTTACTGTTAAGAACTCTCGAGCCAATATGCTAAAATGCGCTGGTACACCATCGTGCATAAACCACATTGCATTTCTTGTAACCAAAGGTACATCCTCCGGAAACTGAGGTAGCGTTTGTTCAAAAAAGTTGCGGTATACCTCGCCGGTAAGTCTTCCTGGCAAAAGTACCAGTCAAATCAGGAAGTCACCTACAATTTCCACCCAAACGTTTAACGAGAACTGATGTCGAGGGCGAGCTAGAGCACGCCATATGGATTTTTTTCTGCCCAAACATGGTTGTTATGAAAATTCCTTATGACATTTCTTGAGAAACTGACTTCACTAATAAGACTTTGAATATTAAACACAGAAAATGCACGTCAAATAGACAAAGTGAAACAGTTTCAACCCATGCAACACATACATATGGTCACTTACGAGATATACTATTCAAATCGAATGTCTGCAGCCGTTTGTAGTAATCGGAATGTTGTTGATAGCTACCAACGGAATTGTTAGATTTTCCATTACTTGGTAGTTCCAGTGTAGTACGCTATACTTTAATGTCGGCTACGTTGATCATTTTAAAATTACCAAAATTCTTATTGTCGAAATTCTTTTGCACCCCGTATCTTCGAAACAAAGTGCCTTATCAAAAATCATCAAAGGACAAAATATCCCTAGAATACTCCAAGAAATAGTCCCTTAATTTTTTGCCGCACGTTCAATAAACACCCTGTATATATTTTGTAGGTAATGTCATTATCTTAAAGTTTATTAAAAGATGTTGACAATATTGTCTATAATTAGAGTGACTGGTTATTCTTATAGCTCTTCTTTAAAAATATTCGCACCTCCCATAGAATTTCCCCAGAGAACTATACCATAGATAATGGAAGAGTGAAAAAGCGGAAAATAGCTTGTTTTCAGAATATTGGCACTAGTTACATCTTTCAATTGACTTAAAATGAATATTATTGAAATAACTGATTAGTGTGACAGTTCTAAGTTACTTTACTGTCCAAAGTTATTTTTCATAGTTTTACCTCTTTCACGCCATTAACAGTACGCGCAAAAAAATGCAGCTTTTGGGTTTTATTTGTATTTAATTTAAGATTATTCATTGTTAACCAACTTTCTGCCTATAGTTCAAATAAAATAGAATAGGGTGGACAGGATTGGATAGGATAGGATGTGATTGGATCGGATAAAATAGAATGGAATGGAATGGAAATGAAAGGAATAGAACGGAACAGAACGAAACAGCATAAAACGAAAAAGAATGTATAGCTTTGTTGACGAGGATCATGTAGCTTGATTGTGTTCGAAAATACAGAAGAATTTTTCGCATCTTTGAAATCCATCAGCCTAAAAATAAGGAAGTTTTCAATCTATAACTTGAAAGCCGAGCTTTTTTACACATATCTATTCTTGACTCCTTGCCAACGCCATATTAAAGATAATGTCAATGTCAACCCATTGACATTATCTTTAGATCATAACACTATTGCGGCCGTTTCTTTAAAGTAGAGAATATACAGGGTATAACTGAATAAGTGTAAAACATTTAAGGAGGTGATTCCTTATCAAAAAAAAGATAGGATCTTCCATATAAAGAAACTTCATTGGAGCATCTCTTGTTAAGATACAGCCCCCTAAAGGGGGTACATAAAATTTGAATAACAATTTTTTTCACAAGCACTGAAAAAGTTACAATATTGAAATGAACCTGATGTTTTGTACAACAAAAAAGACACTCAGCCAGTAATTTATTTGGTTTACCCCATGGTTGTAAAGGGTGGAAAACGCAACCCCTAAAAATTTATTTCCAATGTAACTTTTTGTCTTATTATTTGTTCACCATTTAAAAATTTATTTCCGATAGCTTGTTTCATTTTAAACAAAAAATGTCTCTTGGATTTTTTGCCCAAAATAAACCAGTTCGCAGCAAAAAATTATTTTACGAACAACTACAGAGATACATCGTCATAAATGCGAACTGGATTTATTGTTATTTTGTAGTTAGTACCTGCATTAAACGATTAAAGGGTAATGATTAAAACTATTTATTAATAACAAAACACACAACATGTAGAAATCATAGTAAATGTTCAATATGTCTACCTTCAGACATTACGCAAGCGTCTAGACGTCGGCGCATTGAGCCACGTATTCGCTCAAATATTCCTGGAATCTCTCTGATTACCCTGCACGCATCGATGATGAGGTTTCTTTAGTCCTCTACATCGCGAACAGGAGTACGATAAACCATATGCTGTAAATGGCCCCAAATGACCTATTCACTGATTTGCATATGTTTCAGTTAAATGCTGACGTGCTACTTGACTAAAATGGGCGGGAGCCCCATCATGAATTGAAAACATATCCCTTCTGATGTCCAAAGAAACTTCCTCCAGCAGTACTGGATGCACTTCTCTTAAAAATTGAACGTATGCCTCACCATTTAATCGAAGAGGTAGAAAATGAGGCCCAATTAAATCATCCTCAATAACTCCGATACACACGTTAAGAGAAAACTGTTCTTGATGGTTAGTTTCGACAATAGCGTGAGGGTTTTCATCAGCCCATATGTGGTAATTATGAAAATTGATAATCTTCTTCCGAGAAAAACTACATTCGTCTGTGAATTCTATCGTCTTCAGAAAGTCACAATTTCTTCTAATCATTTCCATCATCCAATTGCAAAATTCAAGACGGTTCGGAAAGCCTCGCGGTAACAGTGCCTGTACTCGTTGCAGATGGTAAGGGTATAAGAGTTGTTCCTTCAAAATTCGAAATACCATCATATGATCAACATTTAGCTGGAAAGCAATCTTTCTAGTACTGGTAGTAGATTGTTCTTCAATCAAATTAAGTACTGCTTCCACAAGCTGTGGTGTTCGTACTTCTCGATGGCGACCACAATCCTGCGTTCTTTTGTCGAATGAACTATATTCTCGTAATCGTTGATGAAGTCGAGGAAATATTCTATGTAAAGGATGCTGCCGTTGAGGATACATTTCAGCATATCTTCTAGAAGCTACTAACCCATTCCCCTGCGACAGATCATAAACGTAATGCATATCAGCCATTTCCTCATTTGTGTATGCCATTTTAATAACACGTGAATTATTAAAGTAACAAATTAAGAACAGAACAACAACATACAATTAGTATTGATTCAATTTCGAAAATTCACAAACTGACAGCGGCATACCAATTTAATTGTCACTATCGCCAATAGCGACCTACTAGATAGATAAATTTCGTATTTTCGCATTTATGACGAAGTATCTCTGAAGTTGTTCCTAAAATAATTTTTTGCTGCGAACTGGTTCATTTTGGGGAAAAAACCCAGGAGACGAGACATTTTTTGTTTAGAATGAAACAGGCTATCGGAAATAAATTTTTAAATGGTAAACAAATAATAAGACAAAAAGTTACATTGGAAATAAATTTCAGGAGTTGCGTTTTCCTCCCCTTACAACCATGGGGTAAACCAAATAAATTCATGGCTAAGTGACTTTTTGGTAGTACAAAACGTCAAATTAATTTCAATATTGTAACTTTTTTAGAGTGCTTGTGAAAAAAATTGTTATACGAATTTTATGTACCCCCTTTAAGGGGCTGTATCTTAACAAGGGATGCTCCGATGAAATTTTTTTATATGGAAGATCCTATCTTTTTTTCGATGAGGAATCACCTCCTCAAATGTTTTACACTTATTTAGTTACACCCTGTATAATACTTAGTGTTTAACTTTTTTTTTAATTGAAAACAAATTCTATCGTTACACTATGAGGACAATGTGTTTTATTGGGATAAGACTGACGTAAATATATTGAAAATAGATTAAGTTGAATATAATCTGTTATTGGGTTGGGTGCTTCTCCATAGAAATGAAAAGATGCATTCACATTTCTTTGAATCAACCAGAAAAAAACCCGCTGTGTTCGAAGATGATATCTCTCACACTAACACACTTACCGGAATCATGAAAACATGTCCAGGCGGACCAGGTATTCCTGGAGTGCCATACAAACCATCTCGTCCGGTTTCTCCTTTGGGACCTGGGAGTCCTGGAGATCCTGGTGGTCCTGGAAATCCTCTCGGACCAGGTGGTCCTCTTATTCCAGAGTAGGGATAATTTCCGAAAGAAGTATCAGGACCGGAAGGCGAGGCGTCAAAATTGTTTTCCTCGGGTACCTGAAAGTTGGCAAAAATCAGACCACAAATCATCCAAAAATTCATTTTGAAATTATTTAACATATAGTACCAAATATGTTTTGATTCCAATGATTATAGAGAAAATGAGCTACTCAAGGTTGCAAGATCTTCTAGATTATCCTTTACGTTATCCATAATGATATAATAAAGAGATTTTAGTTGATTGCCCCATGTTGAGGTTGTCAAATAGTCAAGGTGTGATATTCCCACCTTAATGATTGCAGGAACATTTCCTTATGAGGTCATCCGTAAGTTACCTGACGATACATTAGATTCAGCTAAGAAAGATAGTTGCACCTCATGATCGTAAGTTGGAGAACTAGAAGCTCTTGAATCGAAGCTCTTGAATCGATGGTGGTGAATATTTCTAGTTATTTGGTCGATGATCATCACTTCCGCAGACTTACGGTTGGATTCTTTCGTCACTATATGACCCATTAAGGTCCACGCGATGAGCTAGGGAGAAGCCTTACTGTGATAAGACTTTCTACGACGAGAGGCCGTCCAATATCTGAAAGTTTCCGATAGTGATACTGTATGGGCGCATGATCGTATATCCGTTTCATACACACTTTAGTAGGAGGCGTCGGATAGGAGGAGAGGACTCATACCTTCACGGGTGACACCCCATCTAGCAGGGATATTCTAGCTAGGGCCTTCCCTAAAATAGAGCTCTTTCTCACTGGTCCATAAATTTCATTGTAAGTACATTTGATAAAAATAATGATATTTATTGGCGTACTGAACGAAAGATTAACATAATACAGTTAGCATATTGAGATATGATGCGAAAAGAACTGAAAACAATCAAAAAGTTCTAGTTCAGCTCCTGGTATCCCTTTTCTACACAATAAAAGAAAATTCGTTCGTATGAAATACTTTCGAAAAATAGTTCTTCTTCAAATTGAGTGAGACTTAATAATTGTTTAGCTAGTAAAATTTCTTCGACTTCTGCCCTGAAGGCTATTTTCAACCTCATGAGTGGTGTATGAATATAATTATAGATTTTAGAGACATTAGAAGTGAATCCTCAGAGTCAAGTTATGAATTCGATATGTTTGAAATTTCTTGAAGCAATATATTCTTCAGTTTTCCACATTTCCGTTTCCCAAATTCACAAAGCCCGATGCAGTGATTTGAATTTTTAGTATCTCAGGTGACGATAGGTTCGTCCTTAGATATCAAAATGACTGCAAGGAAACTATTCGAAGTTGGAGAATCAATCACTTGTTTTAGATTGAATTAATTCACGATGTCACGGAAATTGATGGTACTATCATCATTCAATTCTATGCAATCTATGTTAATATCTCCGCCATAAATAAAAAAACAAGATATAGTCAACTTCAAAAACAAATCTTCTACTGTTTGAAAGAATCATTTATACTGCTTTTTGGTTGTCTATGAAGAAAACCCAGAATTTTTCAATCGAATTTATATTTCACCAAGGTTGTTCCAAAAATTTATATGATTCATAATTTCACAATCTTCATATTTTTTTTAAACAAATTCAGTCCTCCACCTCTTAACCCCTGCCTTTTCTAATGAATTGATACCATGTGTATCCATCAAGTTACTTAGTAATATTATCTAATTGCCATGTTTCTGACCCTCCTATAAAATCAAATTTCTCTTGTTTGGAGTAATTTTTAATCAGCAAAATGTCTCATTAGGAACCTGGTATTCAAAAATGCTCCAGTTATATCTCTCATAATTAAATAAAAAATAACACAAATAATGATGTTAGATCATTGATATAGTTTCAATACATTTTTCTCCGATTTTATTAATTTTTTTTAATTCACAATGGCGTATAAAGTGCCATTGGGTGTTTGGATCTTCAGCTTACATTAATCAATTATTTTAATTAATCAATGTTATTACAGAATTACAACAACTGGAATCTATGAAAAAATCTACTAACATCAAATTTTTCTGTTACAAAATATTTCATTTCTATGATGGATACTGTCAGATTTCATCATAATTAATGGATGAATAAGTTGAAACAATATTCGCTACTTTTGATTTCGAATGGGCTTGTTTCATGATTTTTGGTTTATAGTTCACTTGATAGAATTTTTTGAATTGAAAAAACAGTGCACTTTGTTTCATCTCTCTAAGTACCCACCGTAGTTTTCCCGTAATTAATTATTAAAAATCGAATGTGGTAGGGTGGTGACGTCACGCCCCTATTCCCGCTTCTTGTTCGATTGACCATTAGGAACAATAGAAATAATCAACATTGCCAAATCGTAAAATTTACGAAGCCTATAATTATCAGTTTAATTATGGAAGTGTATATGAACCCGTTGACGTTTCAATTAATGAAAAATTCTCCACATAGAATAAAATGTACACGACAAATCATGTTTGCAAATGAGTTCTATATCTAAAATCAGTACACAAAGTCGATAGATCACAAAATATTTACCTAAACTATGATTTTATGCATTATTCAATAATATACCGTTATGAAAATCAAAAAATATAGCAAACTGGATTAAAGAATCATTTCAAATATTCAATTCATTCTACAATCCTCAATCTGTACAACTGCAATTTATTATAAAAAAAAGATTCCTACATACATACCTCTTTCTAATATAGCTACTAAATTCAAGCGTTATAGGCTCGCTTGGGTAATCTGTTGAATCTTCCAAAACTTGAGAGGAAGGTTGAATGAGGTCAAGTATAGACAGAATTAATTGTACTCGAACTGATCCAACAAAAGCTTCAGAGGTAATCATATGATATAATTTAATAAATTTTGTTTCATACTTTCAGTAACAGGATTAACTCCAGATAATACTTTCTATGGAGAATACTTGAAGTTTAAACAAAAATACTCTGTCATCAAATTCAATATTTTCGTTCCCCTTTCATGTATAGTCACTTTTTAAATGATTTCTATAAAGTCTTGGAAGAGTAGAAGGGTTGTAGTTCTTTCTTTTCAACACTTTCACCCATTTTTTTTTTCATCATTTTATCCTTTGGGAACCTAAACTCATTATATGAAATAACTCACTTATAAACCAATACGCTTTCTGTTTTCTTGTGCCTTTCGGCACAATTAAAATCAGCACAAGAATGCACCATAATATTATTCAAATATATCTCTAAAACACTTTCAAAACATACACAACTCGATGAAAAAACGAATTGCTCCTACGCGAGCTGTCAGCTAAGAAAAAGTTGAAACTCAATGTTGCAAAAACAAGCAAACAAACAAATTGCGCAGTCAGTCGACATTGCCCCATTTTTTGTCTTTTCAAATTCCATCCATTTATCCATTTCGAAATATTGATTTTTTTTTAGTTATTAGCATATTATAGCATTTGTTAGCTCTGTAGTTTCGTAAATTTTGTCAACATTACCAGCTTTAAGAATAAAACTTTTGGCTTTCACCTATTTATTTTTATAAAAAAAAAATGTGGCAAACGTCCAAAAGAAGAAAAAAAGCAATTAGGTATGAACTAAAGTAATTACAAAGATTGAACTATATGACACACTCGTTTTCCTATTCAGTTTGTACTCCAAATGTTATAGAATTGGATCAGTCATCAGTGAAGACAGCCATTGAGGATGATAGGGTGACCCTTTCATGTATTGTATTGTGTAGCGTTTCTATGAATGACACCTGTTTTAAACCCATATCGAATATTTGGAAAACAAACTCAATAGGAAAAAGGGAATTTCGTATCGAAACGTATAGAAACATAATGAAGAAAAGAGAAATGAAACTTTCTATGTTTTTCACCACATTTATTCGTAACTAACGTTACTGCAGTTTCGTCCTATAGGGACATTTTCAAACTCATACATTAAACGTATACATAACGTTAGTTACAAATAAAACTGGTAAAAAACATAGAAAGTTTCAATTCTTTTTCTTCATTTCTACCACGCCGTAGTAACGGCTACATCCATCAATTTATTGTATAGAAACATATTCCTGTATAAACTGATTTTAAAATTTGTCTCAATATGCACAACCTGTCGTAACCATACATTTTCATTATTGATTCAAATGTGTTAGTAATTGCAATAGAGGAAATGTGTCTTTCCAATAATTACTTGTTTTCTTATTTTCTTTTTTTCTTATATATTGTTATTGGCTTAGAACATAAACTGAGGCCATAAATTGAATACAAAATAAATCAACTCACTTCATAATCTGGCGCGCTAGTTGTGTGTAGTTCAACGTCGATGATTCTGGGTGTGCTAATTGTACTCAATTGTGGACCAATAAGCAACTTTCCAGACAAGTTTTCATCAATTTCTCCATTTTCTTCTTCGGAATTATTTCTCGTTTCAGCATTAGAAACGAATTCCACGTTCACTGAACTCAGGCCACCTCCTTGGTTGATTGCGAATCTGTTCAGCTCTGTGACTGGAGTTTCATCAAAATCTGGGAAATCTGAAAAGGAAACAATTATACTTGGTTTACTTCAGAAGATAATTGATATTTTAGAGAAATTTGTTTTAATTTCTGAAGCGATTTTTCATGCCAGCAATAGGAGTAACTGGAATTCTCAAATAGTTACACAACGGATTTTTGTTGTTTTTTCGTAAAAACTGCTTCTGTTCCAATGACCCTCAGTCACCTAAAATAATCTCCTAATTTATCTGGATCGAGTTGAGGTCCTATATACCTTCCGACAAAAGGACAGTATAGATAAACACCTTGGTTTAACAAAGTTGTCATCTCAAAGCAATGAGTACATTGTTGCTTCCATGCTATCTGTCAACAAATAGGAAATGAAATATCGAATATCTATCCAGATACAATAAAAAACTCAATGTCAAAAGAAGGATTAAGATCTGTAACAATTCGACTGGTCTTCGTCAAAAGCAGTGATTTGAATTTCCAGCGCTTCTTCACGTTTCATCATAGATGACAAAACGGTAGCAACTTCTCTTCGAAAGAAAGCCAACATTTTTGCTGAATTCTTTAGCACCGATTAGACTTCTAGTAATAAAAGAAATTAACTTCCATACATAGAGTGTAAGTAATACCTATAGTGTCCTACCCGAAACACTCTCAGATTAATCCTTCATGATTTCAGACAATATAACTTGTTGGTATTATACAAGTGTTGAACAAGTACCTATTGGTCTCAAAATTGATATTTCTAAATTCACACTGATCTTTTCTGTATGTAAGGTGTAATGTCTGCCATCTGAAACTAGTGTGCTGGCAATCCCTAAAAACGGAAGTACCTTCCAGAAATTAACGAATACTCGTATATCCCCCAGACCTAAAGCCTCGGTAGATAATAACATTATCCAGAGGTGGATTAAAGGGCACGACAGAAGTGAAGGTAATCGCATTGATGACTCTTCAGCCAAGGAAGCAGCTGGACTAACAATTTCAGGACCCAGTGGCACCTACGGCGTGATGACTTCGACAATTGCGGAACTAGCCAAACGTCACACGCATGCTCAATCAGTAAAGAGATGAAATGAAATCAAAGGATGCAATCTTGCCAGGATCACCCTGGGCGACCCTGGGAAGCTGGCGCCGAAGAAATATCTGACGATAACCAGGAAAAATCTACGCTTAACAGTAGGATTTCTGACTGGCCACTGTCAACTAAGGAAACACCACCATAATATGGGGCTAGTGGACACACATCTATGCAGGATGTGTGAACAGGAAGATAAAACTGTCAGGCATGTCCTATGCGAGGGTCCGGAGTTATCGACAATAAGAGAGTGTGTGTTTGGCGAGTCTTGGCCTAAACCTGCCGATATAAAGGAGATGTCTCCTAGTGACCTGTCCACCATCCTGGAAAGGACATGGAAAGGACCTTCCTAGAAGGACAACTCCTCGAGAGGATGTACAATGGGTCATATGTGGCCTAAGTGCTGTGGGCCTATACTCACCCTCCCTACTCTATAGATACAGATCCCCCAGATCTAAAAGATCAGCAATGTGATGAAAAGGTCAATCAATAATGAGGAACACTTCAAATAATCGCCAATATGTCACCAAAAATCAACTGCATATCTTCTAGCTGGGTCAAATACTAGTTACTATCAAACGTACCACAGACTCCTCTGAAGACTGCATGTTTATGGCTTTGGCTTACTAACAGGATCATATCAATTATTGTCCAGCATTCTTAGTACCTATAGGTCGTTGGTAGGTAGAACATGGATTATTCTCTGAATTATTAGCCATCAATGCTGGTATACTCCAGAGTTAAAATCTCGGCCAGAGAATGCCACTTCTTAGTTTTATGATCACTCTTAATTGAAACAAGCCCATTATTGAAAACCTGCCAGAAATAGTAGAATGGAATCTTTTATTCTTGTATGTGATGTATTTTGAGATTCGTTTTTCATCGTGAATTTTATGGTGAGTTTCGAACTGAGGGGCATGTATTTTGTCCCACAGTTCTATACAATGAATGTGTCAATATGACTATGACCAATGATGAAGGCAAACCATCGTATTTTCGTTTGAATCCTGCTGAGTTAGGGATGATAGAATCTTCAGAGGTGATAATGGGACTATGTGGAAGACCTTTCTTGTTAACCTTCAGTAGTCCATATAGGAAGAGGTACAGTGATGTTGATGATGATTTCTCCCAATTCGAAAATGCAGTTGTGTGTTTGAAACATTTCAACGGCATAACATTCCATGAAATTCACAATGGAGAAAAAACAAAAAAATTATTTGCTATCTTTGAACAATGACGACAATCAACAAGTGGGAAACGACAAGGGTAATCAACCTACGAATAGGAAATTGATCGTAGAGTCAGTCTTTTGTAACATCGAAGGAAGTCTTGATAAAGAACTGAGCAGTATCGAGAATGATCTTGAGCAGAATGAATACTCCAAGAAACTGGTAGAACAGATAATGCCTGAAAAGCGACAAGAGCGTTGGAAGAAAATAATATTACTTTCAGTTCTATCCCTTCTACATGACAAAGAACTCTCAGAGATTGGATCTACGAAAAACATGAGAACCTTTGTTAGAACCGGATAAGCATTCTTAGCAATTTCACGAAAACTATGCCAGCGTAGGCTGAAAACTCTGCTTTCACCGGTTATCAAGTTAACGTGTCAAAAAGAGGCTTGAAGGTGTCGCTTGGCTAGCGAAAGAAAAACACCCAGAGAGGAAATACCAGCAATATGGGAATAGCGAAAGATCTATGAGATAATTCATAGAGAAGAACGATGCTTTCAGTCAGATCAATGAAGAAATCCGAAATATGTGGACACATTTAATTGGGCGGGGAAACAAACTGCACTGCAGAGAACCGGAAAATCGAGTGATTAGAGAGAAAAAAGGGAAAAGTGACTATTAAGGACTTGTAAATAGTCTCGAATTTGCCGAAACAAATCAGTCATGATTGAAAGAGAACCGTGTGAAAATCTAAACGACGTGATCTGAAAAAGTGTAATATTTTGAGAACTTGGATTCTTTCTCGCGGGGAAGAGAAGTAATCAATAGAAACCCACTAAAGGTTGTTACCACAGTGAATCGAACTGAACAAAACTGAATACAATCTATATTAACAACACGACCGATATAAAATCATGAAAACATGAACCTTACGAAGGTTCGAAATAGATGAATATTTCAATCTAGCAGACCACTATTATAATCTTCATGCATTCATTGTTCACTGTGGTTCTGACGTTGAATCTGGTCATTATTACGCATTGGTCAAAGACGAAACGGAGTGGTTCAAGATAGTCGTGTCACTAAATATTCTGGCAATATCTTGAATTTATTGGAACCTCTGGACACACCCTACATTTTATTCTATGGAAGAGGGGACATTGGCAGATCAAGATCTTCAGATTATGGTGTGCTACAAGTTTTCCGGGTTTTCCTGCAGCTGAAAAAGCAAAGGCGCCACTGGAATCATTCGAGTCGCCACGGAGCGCCAATTGATTTTTGTTGTTGTTTCATAATTTCATAATTTGTATTACTTTTTTTTTGTATATTAACGGTTTATTGCTTGATATAATTGTTATATAATTCATAAAAGTTTTTTTAATGCCAAACGGTATTTTGTATTGACTGATATTTCTTTTTCTATTAGCAAAAATATGTTAGTAAACATACTCTCAATTGATTTCATGTTGCGAGTTAATGAAAAATAAACTGTAGTAAAGCACAATTAATGATATAGCCATTTTACTTGCTAGGAGATCGATGTTTTCAACTTGAATCAATGTTATACGCTCGACTACTTGACTTTACAAATTCAAAATTCTCAACTTTTCGTCTATTCAATATTCAATCAATATTTTAGTTTCATTTGTCTACTTATACTGAATTTAAAGTGAATCCAAACTGAAATTTCTTGAAAATATGAAAGTTTTTCAATCTCTTAAAAACTCTATGTAATGAAATTTCATTCAAGCTTTTCAAAAATTAAACAAGTTGAAAATTAATCCTAAATATGTACTCTTGTTTACTTTCATCATCCACGTTGGAAAAGGGTCTTCCTTCAGTCCGCGAACGATTAGCTATCATCCCAGAATTTTCTTCGAACGTTGTTTCTTTTACTTCGCTGGAATTTCCTGATGTATTATCCTCAACCTCGAAGCCTCCAAACGAACGATCACCTAATAAATATTGGATTTAGTCGTCAGGTAACAAACGAATTCTTATGGTAATAATAATGGAAAACGGGGCAATTTTTAACCTCCTAGGATACTATACAAATAATACAAAAAAATCTTTGAACATTTTTTGTTTTTTGAATTCCACCAAGAAATTATAGCAATTAGAATATAGTTCAAAAGTGTACTCATTCAAGTTTTTCTGCATATACAGGGTGACTCAACACAAATAAAACTGTACAGATGAATCATATATACATGTCAATTTAACTTTCTGAATGTTTTTATTTATTTATTTTTTAATGGTCAAGTACACTACATAATTATTATAAAATCCCAAATGGTACATCAAGAAAGTTCCAATTGTTGAAACCAGTCAAGCATTAGAGTTCAGTTATGAACCCAACAAGTAAGATCCTTAATATAAACTATTGTAATTGCCTAAAAATAAATAATCCAATTTATTTTTTTATTAGTCCAGTACACCACAAACTATTATTAAAATACCAAATGGAACATAAAAAAGAAAAAATATTAAAAAGACAAGAATAAGCATAAAGACATTCAACACTAATGATCAATTAAATTATAAAACAAAACGTAACTATGTCAATTACATTACAGAATTGTAACAAAGTCCCAAATGGTACATCAATGTGCAAACAAACCCTAGAGTCAAGTTATTACTTCATAATAAATAAAAGTATACATTTTCATTTGTCAAGTAGTACATTAAGTTCAAATTCAAATAGAAGAAAGACATGTACAAACACAAACAATGATCATTAAAAGAAATAATAAACGACTATTCAGAAGTTTAATGAACAATCTCTGGGTGGAGTCGTCTGATTGCAATTTTTTAGAATTTTAAATATGACAAATGAAAAAGATCAAGTCCTGAAAAGTATATATTGAAATTTTTTTGAAGCCTACAACTTTTTGCCATCGAGCCATAGTTAGTCTTGTAGAATCGCAAGCCAAATGAAAAAATGTGATTGCTTCTTAAGGATCTTGAGTTAACGAAAAAGCAAAGGTCATCTAAAATAGCTGAACAATTGTAGTGGAAGTTTATAATTTTATGAAGGAATAGAACCAAGTTTACGTCTGTCCTCAAGTGATAATAAATCTAATACAGACAGCCTTATTTGCGAGGTAAATCCAAAGTAGAGTAGGCCAAGTTTCTAAATTATATATTTAGAGAAGCGATTTTGCACTTTTTCAAGTCTCTCTTTATGACAAGCTTAAAGAGGACACCAAATAACACTATTATATTCCAAAATACTCCGAACCAGTGAAAAGTATAATGACTTTATAGCATCATATTCTGTAATATGGCAGGTATTCATTTTGATGAAGCCGAGCATTCTGAATGCTTTATTACAGATATTATTGACATGATCAATAAAGCTTAGAGCTTAGATCTTTATCAAAAGTAATTCCCAAATCGCATAAGCTTTTGAAAGTTTGAAGACTTACATCATTAATGGAGTAGTTTCCAATGACAGGCTGTTTCATTCTATACAATCTCACTACATTACATTTCTTAACGTTAACTTTTAGACAATTAGTATCACAGTAGGTACAAAAGCTATCCAGGTCATTCTGAATACATTCAGTATCAGTGTTTGAATACTGATTTAACATAATTAAAAAAGAGTAGAAATAATATAGGCCCAATGTGCGAACCTTGCGGAACCCCTGAAGTCACATGAATTGTTTCTGACACATTGTCAGCTATCTTCACATTCTGCGATCTACCGGAAAGGTAGGATTCAATAAATTTCAAGTATCTGCCCGTTATTCCAAGATTATTAAGTTTTAAAATTATTAGTTCATGACAAACTGAATCGAATGCTTTAGTAAGGTCCGTGTAGATAACATCAACTTGGAACTCTTGCTCAAGCTTATTTGTGATGAAGTTTTGGTAGACAGCCAAATTGGTGGCAGTAGACCTTCCTTTGTAGAATCCATGTTGTCAATCTATTATGACGTGTTTGAAATTATTAAATAAGTATTTCATCCGTAATTAAAGATTCATATACTTTGGGAATACAATAAATTTTCGAAAAACCCCTGTAATTCTGAATATCATTACTGTTTCCACTTTTGAATACTGGAAAAAAGAAAGATTTTTTTCAAACACCTGGAAAAATCCCTGTATCAACTGATCTTTGAAAAAGTATTTTAGGGGGATGTGATAAACTGTGACAGCAATTCCTTAACAATACTGTCGGAATTCCGTCAGGACCCACGCCCTTTGAGACATCTAGGTTTTTCAATTCATTTTCATAAACTACACATCGCGATTTGATCTCCACAAACTTTATTTGATGAAATATATCACGACATGTTTCGCTAACACAGCTTTTTCGTAGTAAATTGTGTCGGTTTGAATGAAATAGAAATAATCGTTATGAATAATCTCAAAGATAATTGTTGGTTCTATGGAGTTTTATTTTTACTCAGAACGTTTTGTTAATATTGCAATACCTTCTGACTCATACGAATCTCCTCTGATCCTTCCATCTGTTCCAGTACTGCTGACAGTAAATTTGCCACTACTTCCACCTGAAGATCCACCACTGAAGCTGCCTGAAAATCCTGCACTACCACTACTTGATGAAGTGAAGCCATACGAGTTACCTGTGATGAAAGAGCTTCCACCGCTCACTGCTCTGTAGCTATTGTAAATCACTGCACAATCTGGAGCATATATTTTACAGAGTTCGTAAGCTGTGTCGGGTTTTGGAGCTATTTTGATCAGTTGCACGTCTCCCTGTGGATTGAAAAGAAGGTTGTTCATGATGAAATAAAATACAGTACATATGAAATACTAAGAACTTTTTCGAAAAATCACAAATTAGGTGGTGCGGTGAAGGGTCTATTCGACTCTCCACCGCAACCCGCAAGGGTTTATTGTGGTTCACACCTATTTACACTCGACCAGTTTTTTAACGAAGCCCATCAGTTGTTTGAATGGTGAGTGGTTTTTCAGGTCAGATGGTATGAGTACGGCTCTGCCAAACTCTGAAAACTGATTCGTTTTCCAGCGGGGTAGTATGTGCTCTGCTGTTTAATCATTTTCCAAACAGAGGCGACACACACTGTCTTCCGAAATTCGAGTCTCTACATATGATGATTCAAATGACAGTGACCTATGAGAAGGCCTCATAGAGATGGTAGTTCATCCCTACTATAGCCAACAACTGTTTGGTATGAAGCTTCGAAGGGTAAATAAAAGCCTTGGAGTGAGCCAATCCTGGAAGATTCTGCCAGAAGTCCATAACTATTCTTTCGATCCAGGTGTTCAATGTTTGTTTGGCAAAGCCAAAAGCGATGCCAATAACAGGTTTTGGTCCTATGAAGCTGCTTGCAGCATCCTCCTTTGCAAGGGAGTCAACAGCCTCATTGCCTTCCAGGCCAAATCAACTGAGTACTAGGTGTTGATGATGTTTTACTGACCAGTCTCGAAATTAATGAATATCCACCAGATGATGATTAGGTTCAATGTTCAATGTTCAATTAGAAGTTGAGGTGTGTCTAAGAATAAAGCAGAATTGCTTGGTTTCAGGCCGGAAGTAAAATATTCATGGAATCTGGCACATCTATTCACCATCACAGATGAAAAGCTCAGTTTCTCAGAATGATAAAAGAGTTGATTCAATTTCATGATACTGGTAGTTTAATGCACGAATTTATACGTAAATCAAAAACCTATTGCACATTCAGTATTTCAGTTGTCCAACTTTTCTTTGATGTTCCCGTTTATCAAAGTTGCTTGTGATGTTTAGGTCTGCAATCAGATAGTTGATACTCTTTTGGGTAATACTTAGGGCGGAGCTCAATATGTGTGAGCAACATTCCATAAACGTTCTAATTTGTTCATTATAGAGTATTAAAGTTGCTGAGATGTATATAACTTTCCAATTTGAAATGATGTTCCAGTTTATGAGAGACTGTCATTTGGTTTTTCATTGAAGGGATTGTACCAATTGGTATCCAATTTGACCAATATCCAACAATATCAAATAGAAAAACGGTACACTTCCCTACGCGCATTTCATCAACCAAGTTTTTGTCTTCAGGAAGTGAAATTCACTGAACCTTCTGAAGTCGCCAACTCGATTGTTGAAAATACATTGACTGTACTTCATCTCCTGAAGACGCCAACTTTGTTAGTGGAACGCGTAACGAGAAGAGTGTGGCTTGGGGACAGTACTTGTTCAGGATGAATTGATTGATGTAGCCACCACTACGTGGTAGGAAAGCATCATGAAAAATGAGAAATGAAACTTTCCATGTTTTTTACCACTTCTATTAGTAACTATTGTTATAGACCGGGAGCCCGTGACAGAAATTTTGACCCCATTTTTTACCGTCTGCCTTTTTTGGAGGACATATTTACAGCCACAAGCAACAGTATTATGCGTTGAACGAATTTTTTACCATGTTACACATGCTCGAACATTAACTCTAGATTTCATAAAAAAAGAGCTTCTTTGACCAACATTTTACCGTCTGCCATTCATGCGAGCGGAAGGCTAGGTTACGCAACCCACAAAAAAAATTGGCAGACGGTTACATGGTGTTCTGGCTGAAGCATACAATTTTAAATTGACCAAAAAAAATGGTTAACTAAATCAATTTTATACCGTCTGTCAAGCACAGCGTAGACTAACAGTAGCATGAAATGAACGAATTTTCACAAGGCAGACGATTTGCCGGTGTATTGATAATTTATAGGCATTAGTTAGTTAACAATTTTTTTACAGTGTCTCTGAACCATTTTTTACCGTCTGCCTCTTGAATGTGATAAAGTTCCATAATTAAAATGTCCTGCGACAACTGTTGGCAGACAAATTGGCAATGTTTTAAGTACAGGCAGACGCGAATGAACTTGCAAAAAAAAATTTATAACTTTTACCAATATTTTACCGTCTGCCATTGTTTCCTTGCAGTATATATGATTATTGAGTAAACTAATTGTCAATTGGCAGACGAATTAACCGTGTTTATACAACTGATTTTTTTTTAATTTTCAAAAAAAAACCTAATAACTTTAACCAACGTTTTACCGTCTGCCATTGTTCTCTTGCAATATATATTATTGAATAGACGAACTGTCAATTGGCAGACGAATAGACCGTGTTTAGATGAGAGTGGTAGACAATTTTTTATGATACAAGTGTCAATGTTACTTCATAAGAACAAATTCAGTAGGATCTTCAACAAAAAATAACGTAGCAATCTAATAATCAATTTTAGTGATACAGTTCAAAGGGTGTGAAAAAAATGCAAAATTATTTGAACGATACGTGAACATATGCTACTACAGTTATTTATTTTCGATTAATTACGTAAGTTACTATTTTCGATATATTCATGCTGGATTTTCATTTCATTGAGTTCTCATAATTTCTTAAATACTGACGTACCTGCAGATGTTAATCTAATTTTCTTGAATGTTTTCAGGCGTATCAGGTCCTTCGAACCAGTTAAATGTATACTGTCCATTATCATTGTGACACCAGCTATAATTTAATGTGTCTAATTGAGATGGATTTTTTTCAAAAGAATAGGTCTATATGTTTGATATATATGCTGTTAAAAAAAACTAATCAATACAGTTTATTGTATGATTCTAACTATAAAAGGGTTTTACAAAAACCTCGACACGTGTTTCGCTATACAATAGCTTCCTCAAGCATAAACTGTTTATGCTAGCTAATCAATACAGTTTACTGTATCATACAATAAACTGTATTGATTCGTTTTTAATATGGATTTTCAAGTATCGGCCAGTTCTATTCAAATATATGCTGTTCTTCAAATTTGTTGCTGTAACTTTCTGGCACATGGTGGTAGATTGGATACGTCAAACGATGAAACTTGTTTCTTGAAAGACTCCATATCATCTATCACTATGCAATGTCTTTCAAATATCCGAACTCTCGCTTCAGTCTTGAGACTTTGGATAATTTATTTTTGGTTGTTCCATACATACTGCACACACATTCTTCGATTATTTATTGGTGCAGTGTCGGCAACCAAAGAAGGATTCGCCAAGTCTGCAAATGCTTTTTCAAACTTTTCGTTGCCGATTAAAATCGACAAAGGTTTTTTTACCTTTTTTAATAAAAAGCTGGTGTAAAATAACAGCCGGTTAAGGCATGCAGGTAAACCAGCGCAAAGCTGAAAGCCAAGAGCACGGCCGATTTATGTGGCATTTATGAATCTGTAATTGTTTCCAAAACCAAATTGTGAAATAACATTGACACTTGTGTCATCACAAATTGTCAGTCTCATCTAAACACGGTCAATTCTTCTGCCAATTGACAGTCTGTCTACTTAATAATTATATATTGCAAGGAAACAACGACAGACGGTAAAACATTGGTCAAAGTTTGTTGGGTTTTTTCTGCAAATTAAAAAATAATTTTCACTTGTATCAACGGACGATCTTTTTGAAAACATACTTCCCAAACTGAGTTTTGAAATTCCCTTTTTAAAGAAATACGTTGACGATGTCATTTGTGCAATAACTTATGACAAATCTAATGAAATTCTTGATGTTGTCAATAGATATGATAAAAATGTACAGTTCACTATCGAAATAGAAAATAATCAAGACCCTTCCTTTCCTTGATACAAGAGTTATCCGTAAAACTGATAATTCCTTGATTACTGATTGGTATGTCAAACCTACTAATTCAGGAAGATATATTAATTACTATTCTTTTCATAAAAAATCAGTTTAAATCAATTTATTACCCTGTTTGAAAGAAAGAATAGAAAAATTAGTACACCCTTCCCTCAAGCAAAAAAATCTCAGCCTTCTTAGAGACATATTGATCGAAAATTCTTATCCCAGAAAACTTCTCAATAAAATAATTATCAATACTGGCAATAATACAAATTCCAATATAATCAATAGAAATGTATGTAATGATAGTTTACCTATCAATTTTTCTTATAAATCTATACTTAACCTTGGAAATATCTTCAAATATCATAAAACTATTTCATAATGAACAAAATATCAAAATATGTCAAAAAAATATCGGAACTATAAAGAATTTGAATACTAAATTGAAAGATAAAACAGATACCACCAAAAAGTCAAATGTGATTTATAACATTCCTTGTAACAACTGTAACTTGGATTATATTGGAACATCTAGAATTGTTAATGATAGAATAACTTCACATAAAAGTGATATAAAGCCTAATAAAAAATCATGCGCATTAGCACAACATTCTATAGAAACAGGACATAAACCAAAATACTCTAATATAAAAGTTTTACATACAGAAAAAAATATTTCTAAACGCCTTTTTCTTGAAATGGTTGAAATTAATAAGTCTTCTGTTTGTATGAATAAGAAAACTGACATTGATAATCTCAGCAATATATACAGTAACTTACTGGAACTACATCAAAAACATGATAATAATGAAAATTGTATCAATCAATAACTCTTTCTTAAAGTCAAAGATTATGAAATCATCATACCCATTGAAAAATGATATTTATGTGAAGGTATGACTTTTGTCAAACTAAAATAATCTTATACATGTTCAACCTTCTCCGTCAGTTTATATGTTGAATTTATTGTTTTCAACTCATTTTTACTGTAAGTATGAATTGTAATGTTATTCGATAGCAAAAAAAACCAACAACTCAATAAATTATAGATCCTGAAGAAGCTTCCCATTAGAAGTGAAAGCTTGGCAAAGTAGAACAGATATTTGATTTTTGATTAAACTAATGCCTATAAATTATCAATACACCGGCAAATCATCTGCCTTGTGAAAATTCGTTCATTTCATGCTACTGTTAGTCTACGCTGTGCTAGGCAGATGGTAAAAAATTGATTTTAGATAACCATTTTTTTTAAATAAAAAGACATGCTTTAGCCAGAACACCATGTAACCGTCTGCCAATTATTATTTTTGTGGGTTGCGTAACCTAGCTTTCCGGTCGCATGAATGGCAGACGCTAAAATGGTGGTCAAAGAACTAGAGTTGATGTTGAAGCATGTGTAACATGGGAAAAAAATCGTTCAACGCATAATATTGTTGCTTGTGGTTGTAAATATGTCCTCTGGAAAAGGCAGACGGTAAAAAATGGGGTCAAAATTTCTGTCACGGGCTCCCGGTCTATTACTGCAGTTTCGTCCTACATGGCCATTTTCAAACTGGCTGCTCAAAAACTAAGGTGAATGTTCAAATTTCGCGAGCTACGTACATTTGATTGGATTTTTTTTTTATTTTCATGTTGGTAATCTCTCCTCGAACATATGCTCACGCTTTCAGATATTAGGCATGTTAAGTTTGTTGGTGAGAGGCATACAAGTTAGATGTGTTTTGCGTGTTCATGCAGTCGCATGAGCACCAATGCCACATAGTCATACGGTCAATAAGGTGTGTTATCTTGGAAGTTATGCGCCGTTTGCGAAAAGCAATACGAAAAAAACTTCCGTTATGTTGAAAAAACAATTTATGTCTCAGCCACCGTATTCACCAGATTTGTATCTCTGCAACTTTTTTCCATTCTCAAGATTGAAGAGACTCATGATGACTGATGGGGTAAAAACCGAATCGCTATGATAGCTCAAGGACATACCAAAAAGTGAATATCAGAACTGAATATCATATAATAGACAGAACATATAATAGATAATTATTTACCATTACGAGATAGTAGAATAATGGATACTGAGAGGCTTAAATGCAACTGACGTTATCGAGTTGGAAATACCTCATGGGAAAATCAATACCAATGATAATCACTAATTGTATTTCATGAACTCCGGAATGAAAGCAAACGAATGATTACCATACCGTTCAAACTTTTATAAAACTAGATAAAAAATGTGATCTTTCGATTTGTCTTTGGTCGATTTCAAAACTTACATTGTAATAACCCTCTTCAACTAGTTCGTATCCGATGTTGATGAGTCCATCGTTGCTCAATTTGGATGTGTTTTTTCGGAGCAAAGATTTTGTAATGGTTTGATGACAGTCATAAATCAGTGTTATCGAGTCTCCTTTGATGCTGAACGCCAGACGATGCCATCTGAAAATATATTGTGTTTGAATGTATGCAATTAAGATTGTTTGATTGATAATTACAGTCCTAGGCGTTATTATTACAATAATTAAGACGAATATTTCATTTCAATCGATATTTTTTAAAAGTATATGTTGGATTACTGATACTTTAGTGCAATGCGATCCAATGGTTACAGAAAAAATTGATTTCCTTGAGTTACTAATAATTTTCAAGAGAAACCTTGAATTGAGTTGGTTGTTATTTATAAACTGACACTATTTTATATGGAAATACCTCTCTCTCTCTCTCTCTCTCTCTTTTCTTCTCTGGAAAATATAAAAACCAAAGCTTCCGTGTAGGACAAAATGAACATTCAAGTTATAATTCTTTGCTGTCCTTTCATTGCACCTTTCATTGTGCCTTCAATTCGTGTATAGTATAATTTTATTTTCCCAAGGTTTGGAAAAAGTATAATCACCGCTACCGATGGTCTCCAACGCAACAGATTTCAGTCAATTGAGGAGCATAATTATTCTACCAACGCTTTTTAAAGTTTTGGAAAAAATACTAGAACAACAAATTCGACCACTATGTGTCTAGTCGAGAATAAGTTGCTACCTGCTCATCAATCTGGTTTTAGATTGTTTATTTAATAGATGAAACAAAGTTATTATGTTGATACTGTTTGATTACACATTAAATCGACACATTAAATCACGAAATGTTGACATTTTTACATCACATCAGTTTCAGCAGAAATATAATAGTTTTTCTGAAATCGTATTTGGCAGATCGTAGGCCACAAGTTGAATTTTTTAATCCATTAATATCTAATAGCAGCTGGTTAACGAAAAAACAGAAATAGTCAAGGCAAAAAATATAAAGTCCACAGCGTAATCACCAGAAACATGTTTTCTGAACCTATTGAGCAAGGTAATACTGCATCTGAAGCTCTTTTCCAAGTAAGCTATAGAATACCACGAAAGTGCAAACCTTTTTTCGATGGAAAATACACCAAGGAAATCTTCGAAGTTGTCTCGTGTGATGCGCCGTATAGAAAAGATAAGTAAAAAAATAAAAGAACAACTACAAAAATATATCGTCCGCTCTGTTGCTTTTTCGCTACAACTTGAAGATCCAACAGATATCACCGATACTGCACAATTACTTATTTTTATTCAAATGGTTTTTGAAGATTTTCCGACGGAAGAAAAACTGCTATGATTTCCTTAAAAGGAAAAACTCGTGGCATTGATAATGGAGTACAAAGCATATATCAGGCAGATTAGACTACCTTTATATCAGTGACAACTGCAATAATAAATATTCATAATGGTTTCATTGCTCTTCATCACAAAGACGGATAATTTTCAGATTTCATTAGCTACCACTGCATAATTCATAAACAAGTATGTACTGGCTAGTATTCTTAAGAGACCTGAACACAATACATGTGATGGATATTTATTTCAAGATTGTAAATTCCATTAAAGGAAAATTTCTCCAAAGGCGGTTCTTTAAACAGCAATTAGATGAGAAGGAACCAGATTTTGCGTCGCACACTGACGTTAGGTGGTTGAGTCGAAGCAAGATTTTGCAAAAATTTCTAGATCTATTGGACGAAATGATGGAATTTTCCGAAGGGGGAAGTAATGACTATTAGTAATTGCGTGATTTGGACTGACAATGTCATTCAAAATTCTTTTACTGGAAAACTGGGAACATTAAATCTGGAACTACAAGGAAAAAATGAAACATAATCAGAAATTATGAGTTCTATTGCATCATTTCAAAATCAAACAACGTCCATACTACCGAAAAGAAACAAATCAATAATTCGTAAACATCAAGGATCCTGAATATCACTGGAGTTTCATCCTAACACCAAACCATCATTTTTAACACCTCGACACGTGTTTCGATCACCAAGTGATGACGGTTTGGTGTTTGAGATAAAATTGTACTAATATTCATTACTACATTAAAGGTTCCAAATAGTGTATCATAAGTATCAATGATCATATGGAAAACAAACTACCTACAAGTTCATTCCTCGAGAGAAATAAAGGCAGTGGTATCAGACTCAAAAAAATTGCAATTCATCAGTTACCCATTCCATTATTCAATGTGATATCTATGAAATGGCTATAGAATCTGCAGATTTATTTCAAATGGACCTCATGATATTTCAAAACGAAATTATTACTCTGCGCTGCGACATATTTCTAGAAGCAAGGTAATCCTGTGGTCTAGATTTCTGGGTATTGGTTCCAACGAGAAATATCCAAATTAAAGAAAATGTGTTGAACAACTGCATTTGTGTTTTGGTTCAATATATTTATATGAGTCAGTATTTTCCTACTTGAAACAAACAAAAAATAAATAACGTTCGCTCTTGACAGACGCTCATACATTGGATTCTTCTAGGTTGGCAATTTTCAAACCCAAACCTGATTTTGATAATCTAGCGGAAGATACTCAGACTTAATACTCACGCTAATATTAATAAGTTGCTAATAATAATTTTCAGTTTTATGTTTTCCCTACTGATAACATGAAAAATACTACTGAACTATTTTGTTTCATTTAGGATTTCAAGAAGTATGTAATTGATGAGTCCCACATGATTTCGTCAGTGATCTTGGATCTAATCAAGTCGGCTATCCCTGGCCTAGTTATACGGTAGGGTGTACCACAAGGAAGCATCTTAGTTCCTCTATTATACTCCCTGTACACATCAAACTTTCACACTCATATTTGTCAGTGTGATTATCATTTGCATGCTGATAAAACGCAAACTTATTATTCTTTCAGACATTCAACGATAAAATCAACCGTGATTTATCAACTGTAGCCACATTGTCTGAAAAACATCACCTCAAAATTAATAATTCAATCGATTAAGAATTCCAGTCAATAATCAAGAATTAGTTTTGAGTGATCCTGTGAGAAACCTAGATTTATGTTTACATGCCAAGCACCAATTCAATAAACATGTTACTGCGAAACTCAAAATGCATATGCTTCTCTGAAACTGTTATATTCCCATAGAGCAGATATGAGCAACATAACCAAAAAAATATCAAGTAATTCACCTAAATTATCGCATTTCAACCACTGTGATACAGTTTATGGCTCCTTCCCTCGAAAAACTGGCGTTTATCGTATTCAGAAAATACATGTTATGAAAGAAACTGAAAGGAACTGACAGAAATGAGTTGGCTGGCATTTACAATCGCCACAGGTTACATTTCGATTGCCCTTTTCATGAAATCCCCAGAATATTCATTCAAAAAAATCACATTCAGAACTGATGTTTATAATTTGAATCTGAGGAGGACAAATATGATTAATATCCCTCCAAACAAAAAGGAAATTTTTAAGCCTTGCTTCTCCTATCAAATTGCGTCCGTATGTAATTCACTGAATATACCAAATTTCGCTTTATGTCTTAAATAAGAAAAAGTGCTACTCTCACAGCAGTAACGTCACTTGTGAAAATGTTCTTCGTATATTTTCACTAATGTTTGATTCTATTATCTATTATGAAATTATGTGGAACTATCAAAGGATGGAAGGGAGTGACATAATTAGAATAGCAATAGAATAGAAAGTAAAGGTAAGAAAGCATAGTAGTTACTTTCAGATACAAACTGGAAAAAAATCCCTTCCAAAAATCCCTTCACATGTACATGGAATCACACGAAAGAAAAAATACTTTCGGAACAACTCTTTTCATATGAACTTCGAATTATACAAGAATCACTTTTTTCTATACAGTTTGTACTCCAAATACCCGCTATGGAAAAAAATCATAGAAACGCTACACAATATAATATACAGTACATTTCTTAAATGCCCCCCCTTTTATTTTTTGAACGGGTCAACTAAAAAAATTGAAATTTTTTAAGTGAAATTGACAGATGAAACTTTCAAGATGGCGACTGGGCGCCATCTGGGAAAAAACATTAAATGGAAAGGGGGTCTTGCGACACATCTTTCTGAAGCTCCTGACAAATGCTTCACAACCCTAGAATACCATGTCAATATCTTCAACTACTACAAAATTTGCGAAACTTTTTAACTATATAATATGAGGAAATAAGTTTGAGGTCATTTCAGAAGATGATCGAAATGGTTGTCTTGAACTTCTTGATATATAAACAGCCTAACCGATTTTCACTAGTTTGGACTTCCATTGTCTACTATATAAAATTATTTGAAATCCGTTAAAGATCATTTTTGATAATGTCTAGTTCCTTCTCGAGACCTTCCTTCGTATTATAAATCCCAAAAGCACGGAATGGCTACTCCAAAGCGATGGTTGAAAAGACTTTAGCTAGAAGACAGCAGGAGCCTCGCAACGAAGAGAAGCCGTCACAACCAGTGCTTGCACTTCCCTACATCAGAGGATTATCGGAGAGGATGAGAAGAATTGGTTCCAAGTACAACATCAGAACCTGCTTCAGATTCGGTAACACTATCCGTAGCAGCCTCATGAAAACCAGGCCACCAAACGCGGACTGCGATTCCAAGAATTGCATTTACCGGATACCCTGTGAGTGCGAAAAATCCTATGTTGGTGAAACTTGCCGAGCACAAGAAACACACACAGCGAGGGGAAACCAGCAAATCAGGAATAGCAGACCATGTTTGGACCCATCAACACAACATCAAGTGGTCCCAAGCTGAGATCTTGCACAGAGAGGAACATTGGTTTAGGAGAAAATTCAAGGAAGCCGCATACATGTTGTCCAACAACGTATTCAGCCAAGACAGCGTAGAAATACGCAACATATGGAAACCCATCATCAAGCGAAAAATGGCCAACTCCCGCCAAAACGGTCATCTCCCACGGAACCAGTGAAGCGGAAAATGGAAAGCGGGGATAAGTGAAAGTACTCGAACGACCTATAAATAGTCATCTCTCGGAGGAATCAGTCCAGTCATCACCCGAAGACGATTGTAGATACTAACAATCGAAACGTCGTGAACTAACGTGACTTGGAATCTCTCCACTCTTT